GATGTGTTGCGTGGCTGTTATGGCTGGCCTGATGACATAGCCTTCACCTGCACCCTCTTGCCCAAAGCGCCTGAAAAGTTGGGATAACAGTGAGACAAACTGCACCCCGACGGCTCCAAAGGGCACTAGCAACAGGTTTGGGCGGAAGTGCACCACCTCTTCATATGAGGCGGAGAGTACTTGCTGGGTGTCCGCTACGGATAGGTTCCCCAATTTCAGGTCACATTTGGCAGGTGTATACGATGGGAGTTCATGGGCCCTGGTGCTAATGTCGGGAGTGGCTCCACTGGCATTGTTGAGTGCCCTACGTCGCTCTCATCCAAAGTGGCTAGCAACTCGGCATCCAGGGTTTGACTGGACATTACGGTGGGGTGAGCACAGCCTGTGTGCTGTGTGTCGCTTCACTCACCTCGGCAGTGAGTAAGTGTTGCGCTCCAGCTGCATTGCTCAGGGGACATGTAGGCTGCGCAGCTGCTGGGGAACACTGGGTGTGTTGTGTGTTGCATCATTGGATCTCTGCACTCTGGGGCGTTGGTGGTGGGCGCATGGGGGTTGAGTCGGCCTCGCTGTCCTCATTTGCTGACCCGTGCACATGGTTGTGGTTGGTGTTCCCGTGACTGTGGGTGTGGCGGAAGCTTGGGAGTCTGGTGCTCTGTCCGGTGTAGATTGTTGCTCCTGCTCCACAGTAGTGTGGACCGCGGCGGCACTACCTCCTACCGCTGTAGCTGACCTTGCATGGTCCACAGACTGGGTCGAACTCAATAGTGTCTTGCCAGCAGTCGAGGACCACAGAGGTGTTCACGGTTGCGGTTGCTGGAGCTGGCAGCGTGGTGAGGCTACGCCTGCTGCTGAAATATCCGTTCAGAGACTGCTAAGGGTATGGGTATGGTAGCTGTAATCGTCGGTTGAGAAGACGGTTGGGATGTCGGGGAGCTGTTTCGGCAGCTGTTCTTCTTCAAGGGGACACAATTCCGACACTCTCGACTCTCCTTCATGCAATCGCACCGAACGCAGGTGCCGTTGCCGTTGCATCGGCAACAAGTGGCACCCTGCATCGGCTGGTTTGCAGGAGAGGCACGTTGAAGTTGGAAAATCCAATGAAAACTACAGAGCTCGAGAAACGCGTACCTACGTCAACATAAAAAAAACGTTTTTGAGTTTTCGAAGTACACATTGTGCCTGGAGAGCACTATAATATAAGTGGTGTTATTCAGGCACAATCTTCCTCAGCCTACTCAAGCTCAACTACTGAGGGGTGAATTCCCCGAAACACTGTGTGTTGAGCAGAGAGTGGTGCTTTCTTGCAGGTTTTCCGAGTGGAAGGTTCGATGGACTTTGCGTGTGCTCTGGATGGCAGTCGTGAGTCAGTCAAGTTAGAATTCAAGTCGGCAGGAATAGCGCAAGCTCCCACATGGGGAGCAACACGCAATTCCCCAATTGTCGCCGAAGTCGCACCAACCGGCCTCTTCTACACATTGTTGTCCCCGGCGCGGGCTTGCGAATTAGAGGGTTTGGAGGCTACAACGTTGTGAATGGCCAACGGTCCTCAGCGTTTGTTCAGCACCTCCATGAGCGACACTGACTCACGCTGCTATTTGGTGTTCACGAGGTGTTTGTCGCGCTGGAAACGGAGCATCTCTGTAAGTTTGTATCCCTGGTGCTGTTTGTACCTGGAGAGCACTATATAAGTGGTGCTCTTCGGCAGCAATCTTCCTCAGCCTACTCAAACTCAACTGATGAGGGGTGAATTCCCTGAAACACTGTGTATTGAGCAGGGAGTGGTGCTTTCTTGCAGGTTTGCCCAGTGGACGGTTCGATGGACTTCTCGTGTGCTCTGGACGGCAGTCGTGAGTCAGTCAAGTTAGAATTCAAGTCGGCAGGAATAGCGCAAGCTCCCACGTAGGGAACAACACACAATTTTTACGTTATGTCTAGGCATTCACATACTGAAATACACGAACATGATGGGATGATCTGAACCTCTCTATCCTAATGCCAAAGACCAGTGAAACTTGACCTGACCAAAGTAGCAGCACTGTGTTCGAGTGCACAAAGCAGTGGTGTTAGTGACATTCTATTCATGAGGTCAAATCTCACTGACCCTGTCTATCCCATGTTCTTTAACTTTTTTTTAATTTTTTTTACTAGAGCCACATAAACCCGTCATGTGTGAGCCATGAATAAGGGGAGTGGTGGCGTGGTAACTGCGAGTCTTCTGCTTTCGTGTATATTGCTCTGCACACTTTCGACCTCCCCGCGTACCTTGGTTACGTGTTTGGCACCTGCGTTGTGTGTGTGTGTGTCTGGGGGGGGGGGGGGGGGGGGGGTAATGCTGTTCCTGCGCCGCTATTTCAAAAGGTTTATCTTGCCGCATGCCCTGTGCCAGGCTTTACATACCAAGTTACCCAACCAAGTCAAGGTGCACAAGTGTATTGTTGATAAGCAGACCCTGACATACATGAGTACACATACATGAACATGTCGGAACTGCACAGCAACCACTAGGGCAGGCTCAGCTCTTTCAGCATCACATTGCTCTGTATAGGACAGTGTGAGAACAGCATTATTATTCATGTACAGATACATGATTCGTCACAATGTGTACTTCAAGTTCAACGTACAAATCTCTATGGTCACTTTGTACGGTACAACGAGTGCATGTCAAGTGTAACCCAAAAGCGTTTGCATGTGATCATTTGGGGCCAAAATCGATGTTCCCGCCAGGTTTCACAGTGAAAAAGTAAAACTGCTCTGGTTGCCCCATGATCCAGCCTCAAACTCAAAGCCAGAGCGTTCACATGCTCAGACCGATCCAGAACAGGTGCAGTCCCAACCTAACGTGCTGTTCTGCTGAATCCTGTTCTAGATTGTACAGACCAAACACTCTTAAAGTCTTTGTAAGACTGGTGCCCGATTTGCTGCCAAAATGTTCGAATTTGACATCACACCTACATGTAAAAGTAAACACCGTGAACACAGTTGATTGTTGTTCAGTACTACTGTTTGTGTTGTTTGTGTGTGTGTGGGGGGGGGGGGGGGGGGGTATTATGCAGAATGAATCACAGTACTATTAGCATGCCAGGTATTACTTCTGCGGCCCCTTGCTTGAGTGGTACATGGTATGAAACAGAGGGAACCACGGGCACATGTTATGGATTCACCAATTTCTGGAACAGCGACCAGAACATGCAATGGTTAGGCTAAACTTTAGCATTGAACTGACAACTGTGCATTGATGACTGCTGTAAGTCAACAACCTGAACCCGAACCCTTTGCACGTTTGGAACTGTTCCAGATCTCGTTGAATTGTTTGACACTACGTCTGTAACTCATAGCATGTGCTCCATTGTTCCCTTTTCTATTCAGCCGTCTCATCAACCAACCACATCCATAGGCGAACACTGAATACATATAGACTGATGATAGAGAGAGAAAGAGAGGGAGAGAGTCTGTGGGGCGAAGAGAGAGGGAGAGAGAGAGGGGGGGGGGGGGGGGAGAGAAAGAGAGAACTACCGTTCGTGACGGTGTTGACAAACCCTGAAGTCTGAGACATGATGACAGAGAATGTACGTGGGAGAAAGCGAGAGGGAGAGGAGTGGGGAGAGGGAATGCCACTATGCATGCAGGTTGTGACCTCCCTAAAAGGGTGATAGATAGCGTTTTGAACAACGCCCATTGTTTACTACATGCATGGACTTGACTTCCGCATTAATCGCTACCATGGCTTGTTTTCTTCAATCCAGAAAGTGATTAGTCAGTTGCATCTATCTTGGGATCGCGCGATGTGTGTCGGCCTAGTACATGTACTGGCTTGGCTTGCATCACACTTGACTGATTCAACAAGCACCCATCCCAACCCAGTGGGATAGCTACGATCGATGCTCCAATGCACTCTTGGGCCAGTTGGGGGTCCAGGTATCGTCAGTTTGACTGTCGTCTAGGGATATGTATCGTATTGAACACGGGTAGCAGCCCCCTCCACGATCACACTACACGCTATGGTGACACAAGTCTGCGACCAAGGCTGTACTGGCCTTTCAGCGCAAGACAAGCATGCAGCTACCAACTCCGAGGGAGATGGTGGAGTGGGTGGGACACACCAAGTTTTGTTATTCTATGTTTCGTGGGGGGGGGGGGGGGTGTCTGAAGATTTGTGAGTACCCATGAAACTCATGGATGGTGGGCAGGACAGTGCCCTTGTATTTTCCTGTTTTTTTGTTGTTTTTTTGTTTTTGTTTTTTTTTCTCGTTTTTTTTGCGTTTTTTCACACATACAATTGTTTTCATTTTTTGGTGTTGTGTTCTAATCATTCGCCATGCCACTGTCAATTGTATTCTGTTTGCCCGTAAAAGAGGCCTACTTACAGCCATGAAACTGAGAGTTAGAACCAAATAATAATTAGCCTTGTTCCATTGCCCACCTGACTGTGTCATATAACACGAGGTGTTTTGCGTTAATTTAAGTTCGTTTTCACTCTTTGGGCTATAACCATTCTTAAGCGCTCCGCATACTTGATAGACTGATAGGAGTATCAAGATTTTTCTCATCTCTGTTTTCTGGCGATCGCTTAGTGCGTGAAACTCGGAGTAACAACACTACACCTTTGTCATCCTCTTATTCTTGTAGGCGTACTTGTAAGTAGTAGCACATCATGTAGAGTGTACTGACTCCACACTATGATCTTCACTCTACCTAATTGAATTCGAAATGACACCTTTGCCAGGGTCTGCAAGTATTCTCGGTCTGGTCTAGAAGATAGGAATCTCTTGACTAGTAATGGCAGCTTGAAGCACGTGGTTTGCCTGAGTGATGTACCGATGCCATGGCACAGGAGCTGCAGGGTACCGATACATGTCCTTGACGGCCTGTGCTAGACACTCCAGCACTCGCGATGCGAGCCGATTGCGTTTCCTGGGTGCGGACAGCGGAATCTCCGGGCGACTACCCGCAGGCTACTCGGACTAAGGAGCTCTTTCACGCAAGACAGGGATAGTAACGCCACGAGGTAGTTGGACGAACAAGATAAGAGTATCATGGCCTGTCGATTATAATCCTGAGTCCGAAGTGTCATCATTCAAAGTGGTACCTGTACTGTCCTAGAATATGTTTGCATTTTCATCGCTCTCAACGCGTTAACGAGAAACGGATACAAATAGTTTGTTCTTTGAATCTCACTTCTGTCCAACCATCGAGGGGTGTAATTCTGTTTGACGATTCCCAGTCACAGGCGTGGTTTCTCGTCCGTACTGTTTGTGTGAGGATGCCTAGCGATCAGGTGCAGTATCTTCCTGGCCTCTAGCATTAGCAATATCATCACGCATCGGCGCAGCTTGACCAATAGGTAGGGTGCTAGAGTGTCTGATTTTCCAATACGAAATACTTCAGTCCTGAGAGCGAAGTAATTCGTTGCTGTGGCAATGATGGCGTGTTCGGAGACGAATCACTGCATCTGTAGTCAGTGGTGTGCGATGCATCACCTCCTCGTCCTAACGCTGACAGTAGTAGCTGGGAGTCACACCACTGACTCCAGCGCTGTTTCACCATCGGGTGTGCAGTTTCCTCGTGATCAGATTTCACCAGGTCCGGAGGCGGAATCCCAAGTGGGCATGGATTACAGCGGCACTACGGCTGTAACAGGACACTGGATCCGACAACAGGAGATTTCGGTCAATCGCGCAAAAGAGATTCGAGCACGGAGAGAAGTCACATCGGAGGATCGCTCCTTGAAAAAGTAAGCCAATGCCAGCACAATACAGAATATTTACACTGAAAATAGTGCGAAGAATATCGGGGGTGGGAGGTTAATGATATTGATTGTGCCGTACAGTCAGTACTAATCTTTTTGAGTTGTTCGATCCTCCGTGTCATGCCTTGCAGCCAATACGCACATACAGGTGAGATACAAACGTTCCAAATCACGTACATGACGTACGTAGCGAGGAGAAAGTGTACATACACACAGGCATTTGAGCACTACTTCGAAGTACATCAATGACCAGTTCCGATTCTCCAACTCTTACCTTGCGCTCTGGATTTGACTATCAATGCCAAGATACAAGTGTTCAAATAATTATTATAATAGTGCTGCTATACTTGTGGAAGGTGTTTGCTCCCCACAATGGAGCTCGCGCTTTTCCACCGACTTGACTTGACACTTGACTAACCCACAACTGCCATACAGAGCACACGAGGAGTCCATCGAACCCTCGACAGTGTTCCGGGGAATTCACTCCTCATCAGTTGAGCGTGAAGCCATCAGTAGGCTGAGGAAGATTGTGTCTAAAGAGAACCGCATCATAATAACAGGTTCGGTACATCTATAAAGGTGGTTTGAGGAAGATGAGTCTTGGGACATATTTGGCCAAGGACACACGTGCGTCTTACCAAACCAGCAGCCGAGCCAAATCCAATAATATTACCTGCTACAAGAAAGGGTGCGCTCCTACTTAGCTGAAGCAATCAGATCGATTGTGTTAACTTATAATCACGACGGAGAGTCACGATGAATGCGACAAGGCGAGCGACTGTGCAGCCGGCCACCTTGCTAAGCATGCAGGGAACATGTAACAGACTGTGCAGCGCTGCATCGTGGATCTACAAGACAGTCTGAGACTACAATACGGGTTTGTAGTGGTATGACTATCACACACAGAATGTCCAACCATTCCACCCTCAGCACGATAGTCCTGCTTTGGACAAAGACACAAAAGTCATTTATTCAGGAGACAATAATTGCATGTGCATGTATTGTCCCTGCATGCTTAATCGGGTGTCCTGCTTTCAATCAGACAGCTAAATGTAGCTCGGGAATCAAAATTCCCATTCCTGGCACTTGGGCACCGCCCATGGATCCATCTATCGCAACACTAGGTGGTCCTGTTATTTTCCGCTCATAATCGAATGTTTGCCTTCAACGAGTTTTGATAATGCGAGTTTGAGTAGACTTTCAGAGTAGTTTCTGCCAGCACTCGTGGTAGACTGTTTCGTTAGAAGTGCATGCCACTTCATCGTGCTGTGAAATCTCAATGAAGAGAAGCGCTGAGGATAATATTACGCACACACTCATGGCCAAGGCCAATCAAGGAGGAGGTGAGGGCGATTATAGCCAGCCATGGCAAAAAACCCAAAAAACCAAAAAACAAGTGCAAATCAGAACAACAACAATATCAGGGGTATAAAAACCAGTAAGAGCAAGGAGGGTTGCTGTCACTCGGTGTCAGATGGTCGCCCTTTGGCGTACAGTAACAACTAACTAACTAACACGTTCCATTGTGCGTCAAACCAAGAGTAAGTACTGTAGTTGTTTATCTACTCTTGGTCAAACCAAAGGAGATATTTTCTGCTGGTGTGATGATGGTTGTGTATGTATGGCTGGTCGAAGACCACTACTAGTGACTACTAGTAGTCTTCATGTCGTCACTTTCATCAATACTAGTATAGTGCAATTTTTACGCCTCTCCCCTACCACATCGGCTAGCTAAAAAAAGTATTATCAGTACCTGAGCGCATGTGTTCCATATGTCTCATCGCTGCCTTGCTGCTTTGTGCCGTCAAAATTAATGGTGTGTGTGTTTTTGTAAAAAAAAAAGTGAGTTGGTAGATGTCGTACGTCACATGTCAACACGACGTGAAATGTACTCGTCCGTCCTCGACGCACTTCAGGTTTTCAAGTGGCAACTATTTTGACCTGAAGAGATTCCATCAGTCACGATGGAGGATACTTGTGTCACGTCCGGATTCCACAGGTCTATCCTTCTGTAGTGTAGAGTGCTGAAGGAGTGGAAAAGCTCTTCACACTGGACGCACGATCCCAATCGTAGTGGATCACCGATCAGTGACAGGGGTGTCGGAAGGTGTTTTAGTGTGGTACGGTCCGCCATTAAAAGTACAATTTACTCGTGGGGGGGGGGGCGGGAGTGGTGGCTGAGCGGAAAATTTTGGAATTTTAGATCCCAGATCAGTGTATTTTGTTGCAGGATTCACGGGGTATCTGGGGCAAAAAGTGGTACGGTCAATACCGTAGTGACCGTACCGTGTGCGACGCCCCTGAGTGAGTTGTGAAAACCTCACTTATCGCCCCTCCCCCCCCCCCGAGACACACACATCATAGCACCATAGAATGGGGTTGCATTTTTGTTGTTTTTGCCATGTGATTAAGCAATCACGAGTGAAACGAGGGTTGCCTGCTGCTCCTCGTTGCTAGTCTTGAAGAAAAAAAAAATCACGCCCATCTGCTGCTGCTGCTAGCTGCCAATATTGATGCTGTCCCTGCGTTCGCCACCTCCAACTGCTGAGGTGCCTCGTGCTGTGGCACTACCACACCTTGGTCCGCCCTGCGATGATCCGGCCTCGTACTCTAGTACTCTGCTCATGCTGCCGTACTCTCGCGTTGTGGCCTCGTGGGTACGTCTTACGCTATTTGCGCTTGCCACGTGCTTATGTGGCCCGCCTTACCTGGTGGGCTCTCGCGCCTTATTTCCCATATAAGCATGGTGGTGTCTGTCATTGTGGGCGGCGCCGGGCGGCATCCGGGGACTTCGCCTCTTCCATACGTGGTATGTTTGCTCCGCCACACCGCCTGTTCTATCTTGCGTACTCGGTTAGTACTGTACCTTGGCTGAGGCTTAGTACGCGCGCTGGAGTCCTTTCGTGCCATAAAAGGAACTGCTTCCTAATATAGAGATTAGGTGCCATGAGCCCTGCTTGTAGTAAACATTGCATTAGTAGCGCTGATACCTTTATGCAAATATGGGGTATTCAGACATGGCACGTGCTTGTTGCCAGGAGACGGCCAAGGAGCGGCCAGAATAAGCAGTCAAGATCAGTCGATCTTGACCGCTTAGCCGGTCAAGAACAGCAGTCGTACAGCATCGCGCCGCACATGCGCATTTACCATTTTTCGAAGTCCTTGCCTTGGGCAACATCTCCGACGAGGACTAAAAATTCGTCTCCCTTCTCCAAAATTATTATATACTCACTACTGTCTTGAACGTCTGCAGGGAGACCAGAAACGCCAACCGACCTTGCAGCCGGTCCTGTTTCTCGCGGCGAAACGTACACAAGGGAAGCAGACCTCCACAAGTACATTTTGTACCTGCCCTAAGGCTGCAGCTTCTCAGCACTCGCATTTGAACCTTACTCTGGCAATCACCTAACTCGAAGGTCGGGTTTATTCCGAATCCGTCATATTACTGGTACTAACGTTACTACTGCCTTCACTGTACTTGAATACTTTCATCTCAAAACTGGAAAGTCCCGACCAAACAAATAACTGTTTGTGATGGTCACTGCACACAATGTGACATCAACTCATTTGCCGTCAAGGCTTTCTTTCTGTTTGAATCTCTCTACTACTGTACTGGGCCTTGTTGTTTGTGAGGTGGGCCTTGTCTGAAGCGCAATCCTACACAGTTGCGTCGGGCATGCCGCTCTGATCAGGCCCTCGGTCATGTGAGTGATCTTGCCCTCGGTCGCGACGCCCTCGGGGCTACGCCCCTTGGGCGTCGCGACCTCGGGCAAGATCACTCACAGACCTCGGGCCTGATCAGAGCATCATGCCCTCGCAACTGTGTAGGATTATGTATGTCTCGCCCGCGCATATGGGCGTACTCGTACTGCGGCCTGGGCTTTCCCCAGTACGGCTGCCCGCCATTGCATGCCAGACACCCCCATTGTTGCGCGCCTAGCCACGCGCATGGCTTTTGCCTGCTGCTCGGTTGTCAGCGATAACTACGGTTTGCCGTACGCTGCAAACCTACATAGTTCGTAACCACTGTCTTCATGTAACGAAAACACCGTGTGGAAGTTAGCCCTTGGCGGATAACGCCGGCAGAAAATTGGCAAAATTTGGTACGTTTTCTGGTATGTTTCTTCAACTTTCTTTCATGTTTGGTACGTGGATAAAGAAGAGGAGCAGAAACCAAAGTACGGCAGATATTGATTCCTCAGTACAGCTGTTTCCATGCCTTAGAAATCGAACCATGCGTTCCAAAGGGTTTAACTAACTTATGTTTCTTTCTACACGTATCGCTATCGTCATTGGACATCAACATTCTACATTCACATGGTGAATGTTAATGAATACTGCAAACACTAACCAGCACCGTCGATGGTCTCTTGAATATGCCACTGCAGTTCTAATCAGATAGGGCAGCGCGCGCGGGCACTCGCGCAGGCGTAATGCAGTGGCTGGCAGCTAGCTAGCTAGCTGCATGTAAAATACATGATCATTCGATTCTTGCTTGAAGCCTGCTGCACACCGTGGTACATGATACAGTCGTTCAGTGCTTGGTCCCCGATTTCGGAGCAGTTGTCGCAATTCGTCTGCAAGCTTGATTGATGACGCTAGCCCAGATCGTTCACAAGTCTCGCCAGCCACCTAGCACGCAAGCAGGAAAGCAGGCAGGTGTTCCAGCCGAAGAAAGGTGTGTGTCGTCTTTGGAACGCAATTTAAGGAGAGACAATTGCCAACTACATTCAGATCTCTAGGAGGTTGCGACGTACAAGGAAGACACAAAAGGAGCGTGTTGAAGTGGAATCTAGTGCAGTGTCCGCTATGAACCTGGTTCTATCACAAGGTGTGGAAGTTTGCTGTTATAATAATGCATGCATGTACATGTATGTTATCATTCAGTGAGTATTTTGCAGTAAAAACAAACAGACACTGTGGAACAAAAATCTAGAAATTTGAATCCCAATGGGAAAGCTGGTGATTGATGGCTTAGATCTTGAGTCTCCAATTGTAATCTGCACTTCATAAGACTGTGACTCTGCACTATGAACGTGTGCATTATGTACGAGTTGATGCACGTCACCACCTACTGCAGGCGCAACGCTGAATGAACTAACTTCACTCGCAGAGGACATTCAGCGGCCATAGGTTTACTTCTAGGAGGCTTTAATAGCGTTGGTGAAGCATAAGCTGACACTACTTGACGCGACATAGACAGCACAGGACGAGTCACGACCCAGTTATATTCAATGAAGCATGCAACTGGAACTGATAACTTTGAGGGAGGGAAAAAGGGTAAGGTCTGAAGAAAGGAAGAATCCTGAGTCCTGGTGGTAATCAATCTGATTGATTAGGACACTAGGAGCCGGGGACCTTGGCTGTAGGCCAATGTCAATGACGATGTACCCCTACATTGTCACTTTTAAGCCAACGTGTAACTGTAGTGTACAAGTAGCTTCGACCCTATCCTCCTCCATTCCACCAGCTGCTCACCACACCTATACCCTGGGTGATTCTTTTCTTATCATATTTCACTGCTCTAGCCTACACAGCACTCCACGGTCCATCTATTATATTTTCGGTTGCTTGCCTTTAGTTGCTCAACCTGATGATGGTGAAGGAGACCGGAGAAAGTGTTGTACAGCAGAGGAGTCCGGGAGATCATAGTTTTACTGTGCGTGCTGAGATCGTATGATGTGTACACTGTTTCAGTACTTCCAAGTAAATGACTGCATTTGTGCGTGAACATTCGTAGACATGTGTTTCCTCTGAAAGTTGTCAGTACAACCATGTACATAATATTGCAAATCAGGAAGGTGGAGTCCTTCACAATGCAGTACAGTGTTTGTTGCACTGGAAAGTCCTGTTGACGGTTGTGAGGCTCGTCATTCTGACCGTGATTGTGTCTGAAGTTTGAAGTTCGAAGCAAGGAAGGCCGAGAACGGTTGTGCATCGTTAACCTTAATTTGGCCGTCACAAGAATTCAGCGTATTCTTGCAGTTTTTTTCTTATGTTTCGGCTTGTATTGGACCAATTAAGCATGTTTATAAGTTTGACCTCAATATGTCCATGCGTTATGGAAATATTTATATGTTCCCAAAAGGGAACGTTGGCCGGATCGCGTACCGAAAAGACCCTGGTTTTTATGAAGGGAAGATGCAATATGATATAATGGATTATGTTGCATTCTAAGTGTTTGTGGAGCAATGCAAACATGAACAAGCAGTAGTGGAGAAGAAAAAATATGTAATAGTCGTCAAGGAGTGTCCAGCAATGTTTCTTAGTGTTTTCGTCTGCTACCGTTCGCGTCTCGTATACACCGTCGTATTCGATCCACGATCGAAATGCAGTCGAACTCCACACTTAGAACAGTAACATATCGTGGTTTGTCTGCACCATTTACAACGACATTGTGTTGTCCACATTCTGTGTTGTCAAACGCCCTTATATTGCACATCAACAGCAAGACACTGGTGGTTCTGGGCGGGGTCGGCTATAATAAAATAGGACGGCGATCTCGGGATGAAACTGGATGTAGGACGTCGGCTTGGCGCTCGCCGCTGCTTGAAAAATTGGCACTCTCAGATCAGTTGTAGGACTGTGGAGCCAGACAAAAAGAATTACAATGAATCTCTCAAGATTGTCGGTCTCCGAGCTAATGTGGGCCTTGTCCGTATCGCGGGTATCGCGCGGTACTTACTCGTCAAATAGTGTTTAGAGATGTACAGGGTATGTATATCTCGCGATTGGCAAGTGGGTGATGCTGTAGTGATCTCGTGGTGATCGTGAAGGGATTTGTCCAGTTCAATTTCAGGACGCCTATCGTAAACACCAGCCTATTTCACCCAAAGCGTTGCTCCAGCGGGTTGGCGTTTTTTTGCCGTCGTACTCACTATCAACAGGACAGGCACCAACATCATCATCCTCTCCATTCGTCACCTGGTAGTTGTCTAGGTCCATATATCTTGCAAGTTCGATGAAATCCTTATCATCCGTTGAATCATCTGAATATTACTCTATTTCATCGTCCATGTTCAGATCAACGAGAGTGGTGAGAACACATGCTCTTTCCCTGGGCACAGCAAATTCACTGCATCAGAATCACTGAATCATTAGCACCATGCAGTGAACTGAGTTGTGAATTTGCAGTGCTCAGGGAAGGAGCAAGTGTGCTCACCACTTCTTTTCGAGTTATGAAGCTGCAGGATGCCTTACCCCTATAGCGCTTACGTTCAGATTGCCAGTAATCGGTGGCGCTATGACTAGGTCCTGAAGTGTGTTGGAGTTCTCAACAATGTCCTTACCTTCCATTGGAATCACTTTTGAGTCCCTCAGAAAGGACTCTGCTACTGTAAAAATTTCCCTCTGCCATACCTAATTACAGCTAAAGCGATATTTTCTGACAAAAATGCAACCGCGCGGAGGAAAAAATCATCGAAAGTCCAGGAGAACGGCATGAAGCATCCATACTTTGCTGAATATTGTTCAAGTGAATCTTGTTACACAGAAGAAAACCTACTTCAGAAGTATATCCCTTTGGAGACTGTTTAGCAATCTTTACTTTGGCAAATGTCAGGCTCGCAAAGCATTGCTGTATTCCGCATGTCAGTGAATCACAAATATATCACCAAATTTGGTTACCATGGAGACGGTCCAATCACCATCAAAACATCAAAAAGGCTCCATCAGTTATATATCAACGTTTACGGATGTTACAAACAAGACATATGCGCTAGATATACTGGTTCCTGAAATCTGGTGAAAATGAGGTATATCTGGGTCTCGGATCAGGCCAATGTTCCCTTTTGGGAACATCGAAGAAAGACGGCGGGTTTCTATGTGCCATGACCAAATTTCCGGTGAATCTTCAGGCCAGTTGGGTGGTTATAGTAGCAGAGTGCACTTCTTACATTTGGAATAGTCTGATAAAGACTGTTTTTCACACCAGAATTCTCAATTTCTGAAGTACGGCCGAATTCCGAAAATTCACCACATTTCGCGTTATATACCGATACTCGAAAATTTCAAAAGCCTGACAAATATTCCAAGATTCATGATCATCAGCCTTCTAGATATGTATATAAACAGAAAATGCGGAGGAAAAATGAATTTCCCTTGACCAAATCGCATGCGGAAAGATATGTTCCCTTTTGGGAACATTGGCCTGATTTAAGGATTTAAGGTTTTTGGGTGCATTCTCTGATATTTTTGTATTCTAATCCAGCTCGTCTCCACGTGAACGCCGAAGCAGCCAAGGAGGTCAGCAACACCGGCAGCAAGGTCAGAGTGGCAGTACGTCACCATCGCCTGCACTGGACCACAGCAGCTGCTTCCGAACACTGGTGGCTGCGCGGTACATTCCCGTGTATGGTACTGTGCGCCATCAGCGACTGACATGCTACACAGGTGCACCATACTCAGCGGGGAACCCGTGGTGCAATACTACAGTCCAGTGAGTGTCCTCATCATGAATTCAATCATGACTTAACTACTTAATTCGAACACATATACCGCTTGATAAGAATTTTCCTCAAATGTGAAAAAGTTAGCAAACACATAAATGCATTGGCGACAAGTAAAAGGCATAATGTAATTCCCCCGACTGTAGTCGCACATCTGACTGCAAATCCCATGACGCAGCTCTCCAGATCAAGATCTGGGTCGTCTTCACCCGGCCGGTAGAGCCGAGTCAAACGAGCTCGTACTGTCGGTGCTGAGAGGCGGGCTCACACATGGCAAGCTCCCCATGTCTCGCCTCTAAGACGAAGTGAATAAAGTAGCAGCATACAGGCCGAAGATAAAAAATATCCCAACCAAGAGGAGAAACTGTGCGGTAGCTACAACAATGTACTTCTATTTTATTGAGGATGCAAACTACAAACATGAGAGAGAGAGAGAGATTTAATTTATGTGAAAGGCACATGACGTAAAAGGTAAAGGTGTTCAGAACATTTTTCTCGTTATGTTCTTGTTTATCTCGCTCTCATGTTTGTAGTTATGCATCCTCAATGAAAAAGATGGTCACCGCACAGTTTGTCCTCTCGATTGCAATTATTATTTTACAAATTGTTATCTCCGAAACTCTTGTTTAGACAATTGTTAAACACACTAATACTAGTTAGCGACGCGGAGACAATAATTTAATGGTAGCAATGAATAATCCACTGATGAGAGTGACAAGAAAATCGATTTTGGTTAAACCTCTTTTGAGACTTCTTTTTTGTGTGATATGACCGCGAAACTAATATTACTCATTGCTATCGTTAAACACACTGCTTACAAAACTGCCAAATGTGAAACAGCTAGCAAAAACACATTTCCCTGGCGACAAGTAGTGTATACGGGCTAAGACGCTGATTGTATCTGCTACGATGTTGCAGGTTTTCACGGCAAATTCTGCGCTACCAGCAGCGAACGGAAACAACAACCAGGTGCTGCCCCGGTTGGTCGACGGAATCAGCACACTCGTCAACAACACCCAGCTCTGTGTCGGAATGCTCATTACGTGAGTAGGTATTATGCTCGATGAGCTGTTGACTGCGCCCTTTTGCAGGATAATATCTTGTAAAATGGTGGTCAACAGCACATCGCTAGAAAAGTACATGTAGAGTCTTGAATCATTATTCTGTGCAGAGCCTGCGCATGCACACTAGCACATTGCGGACTCATTGCTTCGCTGCTGCCTGAGCTTATGCCTTACTGTATGCCTTTATGCCCTTACTTTATGAAATAGTGATTGCGACTTCGGCGATGGTTTTTTTAGGAATGGGTTTGCTCCCACACTGGAGCTCGCGCTATTCCGCCGACTTCACTTGACACTTGACTGACTCACGACTGCCATCCACCTTACTTTATGCCTTACTTTATCATGGAGTAGATTGTTGAAGACCTCAATGGCAACATCTTTGGCCGCACAACAGTGCATATTGTATACGCATGACCACCGTCGACGCTCTGTCTTCTCCACACTGTGTAGATCCTGATGAACAACCGACAGTTGCTGCACCAGTCACGCTATCCCCAGTAGATGTGATCCAGACCTCTACCTCTGGTGGACCCTCTACAGCTCTGGTAAGCACCGGTCTATGGAAGTGGTAGTAGTTGCACGTATGCAGCACGCATGAAGCAGAAGAGCAGAAGCAAGTTGCGTTAGCATACCGGAGGTAGTTGTTATCATATCTGAGCTGAGACTGGCATTTAAATCAGGAATTGGAGGGAAAATGTCAGAAGGTATACTGTTGACTGTGGCCCCACACTGGTATGATTTTAGTGTACCTTATTTTTCCAGAGGATGAGCCGCACTCAGATTGTTTTTCACAAAATACAGACATCTATCCCGTTTATCACTGTTATTTGACCATCGTGTATGTACATGTAGTATAAGCTGCAGCGACTTTTTTTGGCTGAGTTACTGGTGTTGAAAGTGCGGCTTATACTCTGGAAAATACAGTAGGTCTACGTAGTCTATGTGTCCCAGTACCCCAGCTGATGGAGTAATCTCCTTTTGTCCTGCAAACAGACAGTGGATACTCACCATGAACTGCGAAGACTGCGGCGTAGAGTTCGCCAACTGGAAATGGAGCAGGGAGTGATGATCGAACGTCTCCATCGAGAAATCAGCCTGGTTCAGACTATGCAGCAGCAACTCTCCCAGGCCCTGGAGACTGTGAGTTGTTAATTAATATCCTGCTGGCATTGCTGCAGAGACAAGTAAAGGAACGTGTGGTGCATTGTACACTTATACCTCGTTTATCCTGGCAGTCCGGGACCGGGCACTGCCCATAACTTTCATCTGTCCGTATCTCCGAATCACATACATTTTGAGGAGGAAGGCCGTAGATATGGCATATGACGTCACTATTTCCACACAAAAGTGACAAAAGAGTAGTAATATTTCCACTAAAACTCGCCCAAAGGGTACCTGGTAGACCGAAGCGCCCGTAACTTCGGGGTCCGGATAACCGAGGTATGAGTGTACATGTACATGACATATGTGCATGTGTTTGTGTGCTTGTCATGTGCTTCCATGTATGCAGGCTATCCAGCAAGAGAATGCACATGTTGATTGTACTCTGGAGTTGCAGTACACCCAGTCCGACTACTTGCATTGCAGGAACAAAACGCGAACAATGGAAGCACAGATGGTCAGAGGTGAGTTGGTCATAAACAACAAGCATACTGTTTATTTCACTCCGCTTTAGCTGCATCTGCGCTTTGATCATTGAATGGTAGTGGCGTTCCTACTAGTACGGATGCGGATAACTCGACCTCTGGCAGAGTCTGACGCAAATCGTGAATATTTTACTTCACAGGCGGAGGTGGTGGTGGAGGTGGTGGCGGTGGTGGTGGTGGTGGTGGTGGTGGTGGTGGTGGTGGTGGTGGTGGTGGTGGTGGTGGTGGTGGTGGTGGTGGTTGGGATGGTGGTTGGGATGGTGGTTTAGGTGGGGACAGGCATAATCATCAAAACCTCATAAACTAGAGTGTTGGTTTTCTGGAGTATGATAATGCAAGGTACACGACTCAAATGAAAAGCACCAGGTAATACTCCTCTTTCAACTTGTGCTCACTGCTCAAACTTCCCCTCCAAATGCATGTAGGTTACTCATCGAGAATCAGTTTAGCCTCCACCATTACACGTCATGTGAAATTTGCCGGCAAGAAAATGTGTACCTTGGCTGATTTACTTACTAAATTGCAATACAGATATGAGAGAACGGAGACAGACAACACTGCAAAAATCACTTTGCCCTACAGGACCAACAACTTTCACTCATGTACCCTTGTACCCTTTACACCTGTCCTTGGACTATAGCCCCAATGCAGATGTTCTCACTTTCAATCATGTCCTTTTTGCCTTGTGACTTGCAGAAGAAGCAGTGAAAAAGTACCACGGCCCGTTTCCACCTCGTGACCCGTGCCATGGCTTGCAGTGTGAGGGCTATCCGGAGGCGATCTGCCTGCTGCAGGACAGTGGCTGCTGCCAACGACCCAGCATTGTATGGCTGGACCTTACTGGTGATTATGTCACGTGTGGATCCAATCAATGACGTCATCCACAATAGTATGGATGTGCTTTCATTCTTCAGTGTGGCACAAAGACAATTGGAAATATTACTACCGAAGTACACCTAATACAGATCTTCCACAAGTAACGCCTTATGCCACCACCCGTTGATGATTTCAGATGTTAGGTAGCAGCATCATTTCAAGGCAGGTGCAAACAGTCACCAAACGCTATTCAGTATGCTTTCGATGCTGTCTGTGAGAACGTTGATATTAATGAACCACTATCAATATTCATACTAAATACGGTGTGCATGCACTGAGCAGCTGCATGTTGCAAATGATGCCTTTTATAAGTTGCTGGCCATCAGCACTGCACAAACACCAGCAGGAACAACGCAAGTGAGCTATGCCTATCAAGAAACTTGGTTTGACTTGAATTTCATGAAGGCTGGTGTATCTTTTATAACACCTGCTCTACGGATTATGTTGTGCACAATGCTGGAGATGTTCAGATCGCGATACACTAGCACAGAGTGTTTCGTGGTCTTGGCTGTTGAGTTGTGGATTATGACGTCAGGGAATCCGCATCGAATAAGCCTAGCAGTGTCTAAAATATCAAGAGAAAATAGGCTAAGGGGAGCTTTCAAACTCAGCTTTGTACTCTTCTTGTCTCTTGCTTACAGTTCACGTATTTCTAAATAAAATGCAGGGAGGAGTGAACCTCAATGACGTAACAGCTTTTGTGTTTGTTGCTCTTCGACATGACTGTAGTCATGAGTCACAATAATTATCATGACATCATGACACAGACATGCATCCTGGTCACTGGGGATAAATTATACTAGTAAAGTGGTAGACCATTTTGAGAACGGATTTATTCACAACACCAATATCGTGAAACCTTGAAGTAATACCCAAAGCAAAAAGGCAACACAATTCGGAAATAAACAGACACTCAGACAACTACTAGTACGTCAAGTAGTATTTGAATTTTTTATCGCCGGGTTCATCTCCTGTATCTGTGGTGTTCTTCCTTCTTTCCGTGTCAATGTGTCATGTTGAATCAAAATTGCGCTTCCCAGTAAGTATGTGTATGTATGTATATTTTTATTTGAATTCGCAAGTACACACGGGCTACAAGCCCAATTACATGGAAGCGAATGCCATAATGAGGCCAATTAAGAAAGAAAAAAGGTGGAGGAAGGAGGAGGACGGTAGCAAAGCAACAGGGAGGACAATTCAGGACCAAAATCAACAATTGCACAAATGTGAGAGCACCTGAGACCGAGGGTACCTGTGGAGCGATAAAATGCCAAGCAAACAGAAGAAAGGAAATCACAAGCCAATACAGAAGTAGAAGACCTGCAGAATCAGATACAACACCCAACAACACCCATCAACACCCATCAACACCCATCAACACCCATCAACACCCAACAACACCTATCAACAACCATCAACACCCATCAACACCCAACAACACCCATCAACACCCATCAACACCCATCAACACCCAACAACACCCAACAACACCCAACAACACCCATCAACACCCATCAACACCCATCAACACCCAACAACACCCATCAACACCCATCAACACCCATCAACACCCATCAACACCCATCAACACCCATCAACACCCAACAACACCCAACAACACCCAACAACACCCATCAACACCCATCAACACCCAACAACACCCATCAACACCCATCAACACCCATCAACACCCATCAACACCCATCAACACCCAACAACACCCATCAACACCCATCAACACCCAACAACACCCAACAACACCCATCAACACCCAACAACACCCAACAACACCCATCAACACCCATCAACACCCATCAACACCCAACAACACCCAACAACACCCATCAACACCCATCAACACCCATCAACACCCATCAACACCCAACAACACCCATCAACACCCATCAACACCCATCAACACCCATCAACACCCATCAACACCCATCAACACCCATCAACACCCATCAACACCCATCAACACCCATCAACACCCATCAACACCCATCAACACCCAACAACACCCAACAACACCCAACAACACCCATCAACACCCATCAACACCCAACAACACCCATCAACACCCATCAACACCCAACAACACCCAACAACACCCATCAACACCCATCAACACCCAACAACACCCAACAACACCCATCAACACCCATCAACACCCAACAACACCCAACAACACCCAACAACACCCATCAACACCCATCAACACCCAACAACACCCAACAACACCCATCAACACCCATCAACACCCAACAACACCCATCAACACCCATCAACACCCATCAACACCCATCAACACCCATCAACACCCATCAACACCCAACAACACCCAACAACACCCAACAACACCCATCAACACCCATCATTACCCATCAACACCCATCAACACCCATCAACACCCAACAACACCCAACAACACCCAACAACACCCAACAACACCCAACAACACCCATCAACACCCATCAACACCCATCAACACCCAACAACACCCAACAACACCCAACAACACCCATCAACACCCATCAACACCCAACAACACCCATCAACACCCATCAACACCCATCAACACCCAACAACACCCAACAACACCCATCAACACCCATCAACACCCATCAACACCCATCAACACCCAACAACACCCAACAACACCCAACAACACCCATCAACACCCATCAACACCCAACAACACCCATCAACACCCATCAACACCCAACAACACCCAACAACACCCATCAACACCCATCAACACCCAACAACACCCAACAACACCCATCAACACCCATCAACACCCAACAACACCCATCAACACCCATCAACACCCATCAACACCCATCAACACCCAACAACACCCAACAACACCCATCAACACCCATCAACACCCATCAACACCCAACAACACCCATCAACACCCATCAACACCCAACAACACCCAACAACACCCAACAACACCCAGCAACACCCAACAACACCCAACAACACCCAACAACACCCATCAACACCCAACAACACCCAACAACACCCATCAACACCCATCAACACCCAACAACACCCATCAACACCCATCAACACCCATCAACACCCATCAACACCCATCAACACCCATCAACACCCAACAACACCCAACAACACCCAACAACACCCATCAACACCCATCAACACCCAACAACACCCATCAACACCCATCAACACCCATCAACACCCATCAACACCCATCAACACCCATCAACACCCATCAACACCCAACAACACCCATCAACACCCATCAACACCCAACAACACCCATCAACACCCATCAACACCCAACAACACCCAACAACACCCATCAACACCCATCAACACCCAACAACACCCAACAACACCCAACAACACCCATCAACACCCATCAACACCCATCAACACCCAACAACACCCATCAACACCCATCAACACCCATCAACACCCATCAACACCCATCAACACCCATCAACACCCAACAACACCCAACAACACCCAACAACACCCATCAACACCCATCAACACCCAACAACACCCATCAACACCCATCAACACCCATCAACACCCATCAACACCCATCAACACCCAACAACACCCATCAACACCCAACAACACCCAACAACACCCATCAACACCCATCAACACCCAACAACACCCAACAACACCCATCAACACCCATCAACACCCAACAACACCCAACAACACCCAACAACACCCAACAACACCCATCAACACCCATCAACACCCAACAACACCCAACAACACCCATCAACACCCATCAACACGACAATACTAGACCAATAGTGTCAATGACTTACCAGTTCTACAATGATTATGTCATTGTGCTTTGTAGTGCGTCATCACGTTACCCAGGGCTACGGTTTTCATGACGACTTAGACACCACTAATACTAACTGTCTTACTACATGTACTTCCCTTTGGGAATGGACACGACATTATTAACTTTTTACTTACATGTACAATACTTGCATGACTCAATCTGCGGACAGAACTGTTTCGTCCTTTGTGGGCTCATCAGCGCAACACAGAGAAAATGAGGTCGAACATGACTTGTGCTTTTAAACTTAGTTTTAGTTTTACTTACTACGAGTCGTAGTACGACCAGTGCAGCTGAACTAACTGACGTGACCATGGTGACAACGATGCTGACTGCATCATTCATTCATTCTGTCCCTCCAGGAAATCGCGATTCCACGGATGCAACAAATTTCGCGATTTTCGCCCAAACCCGCGATTTTCAGCAAAATCTGCGATTTCCCGCGTTTTTTGTTGTTTTCTGCACTATATCTCACTTTTTATGCACTTTTCACGCAGTGCTTTCCATGATCCTGTTATGTTATGTGCACAGTACGACTCGGACTACTCCCGAGTAGATATACGATGCAACAAATTTCGTAATTTGGCCCAAATCCGCAATTTTCTGTAAATAATTCCGCGAAATCTTGGCAAGTTCTGCATCATTCCGCACTTTTCGTCGCATTTTTTGTTGTTTTCTGCCGCAATTTCTTGCGCAAGTTTTCGAGAGTTTTTTCCGCAAATAATTAATTCCCGCAGGGACAGATTCATTGCATGCTCATGCCGGAAACATTCCAACCCAACATCCTGGACATCTAGTCCCCCATGGGTGACACGGTCCCTCGTATCTGAAGTGAAGCGCAAGCGTGATCTTTTCAGCATCTACAAGAAATTCCCAACGCCGGTTAACCGGGAGGCTTACCGAGTTCAACGCAACTTCGTCAAACACCTTTCTCGTACCTCACACCGCTCCTTTCTAAACTCTCTTTCTGCAACACTCTCCTCCCCCGATCGCCCATCACTCCACCAATTCATTCGCAACCAGTGCCGCGGGACCTCCCGCGCGCCAATCCAGTACCTGACGGACTCCAATGGCAACTGCCAGCACGATGTGAAGGCGATTGCAGACACACTGAACAAGCAGTTTGTTTCATCCGGCATTCCGGAAGATCCGAATTGGGTCATTCCATCGCTGTCCCCAGCCCCTGAACTTAGCGCACCACTCACACGCGTCGTTACCACGACTGCTACCGTCTGTAAGCACCTCAAACTCCTGAAGAATTGTAAGTCCCCTGGCGAAGATGGCATACCCAATGAGGTTCTCAAATGGCTTGCGCCATCTCTGTCCTATCCCTTGTGCCTGCTCTTTAACATGTCATATCGTACAGGAGTATTTCCGTCCGTCTGGAAATCTGCTGTTATCGTCCCGATCTATAAGAAAGGCCAACGCTCTCAGGCTGGCAACTACAGACCAATCTCTCTCCTTCCCGCTGTGTCCAAGGTCTGTGAACGTATTTTCTTTGAGTCTCTGTACTGCCACGTCACCCCAGCGCTTTCACCATCTCAATCCGGTTTCTGCCGTGGAGACTCCACAACTTTCCAACTAACACGTCTAGTACAAGACATCTACACCCAGCGGAACCTCAGGCGGCATGTTGGCATCGTGTTCTTTGACCTAGCGAAAGCTTTCGACACCGTCTGGCATCGTGGTCTGCTTGCAAAGCTAGAGTCCGTCTTCTTGGTACACGGTCCAGCCCTGCAATGGCTCTCATCCTATCTTTCCTGCCGCCACCAGACTGTCAGAGTATCTACCTCCCTATCAGACCCATTACTAGTCGTGTCTGGGGTACCCCAGGGGTCCATACTTGGGCCGCTCCTATTTCTACTGTACGTTAATGACTTGCCAGCCCTTGTACCAAATGTAAGTCTTTTTGCTGACGACACTGCTCTGATGTGCTCCGACAGCTCGGCAGACAACCTCACGGCCTCCATGCAGTCCGGGGTCAACGCTACAGTAACATGGATGGAAACCTGGAAACTGAAGCCTAACCTCGCCAAAACCGAGGCCATGTTCTTCTCTCCCTCGCCCCCCACTCAACTTCTGTATTTTCCTGGTCTAAATAGTACACCTATTAAAGTTGTTAACGAGCACAAGCACCTGGGCGTTATTCTCGACCGCCAACTCTCCTGGTCTCCACAAGTCCAGTCTGTGTGCAAGCGTGCGAGTGCGTCCTTAGGTATGCTACAACCCCACTGCCAACACTTGAATGATAACTGCAGAGAATTGTTCTTTAAGTCGTACATTTTGCCTATATTTGACTATTGCGATATAGCTTGGTGCGGGTTGTCTCAGACTTTACTCCACAGACTGGAGGTACATCAACGCTTGCTTCTGAAAATTCTGTTTCGAAAAGACCAAACATTTGCCTCCCTTTGTCTTTATAAACTTGCTTCCACGCACCCTCTTCTTGCCCGACATCAGCAGCATCTTTGTATCCTTGTGCAAAAAATCTTCCTAGCCCAAGTCCCGAAACATATTGCCAAGTACAACTGGTTTGTTACCACTAGCCCAACACGCAATGCCTTATCACTGCCCCGCGCTAGTTCCTCTCTGTTTTTGAAATCCCCTTTCTTCTCAGCATACTCCCTTTGGTCTAACCTGCCTACTAGCATTAAGACATGCCAGGATATCAGGAAATTCACAGTCCAGCTTTCCACACTGTCTCATCCGAAGTGATCCCATGTATTATTAAAGGGGAAGTTAAGGCAAAAATTAAAATTTCACCAGTTGTAATCTTCGGGGTGCTGAGTCGAATGGTCGTGGTCCGAGGAAGCTGAGACGCTCCCTTCCTACTTGAATCCCAATCGAACTCGCGCACTTCCACCGAAACTGGGTGACTGCGCCCTACGAGATGGGGATTTGTATGCAAAATGTCACTAAAAGCGCCATTTCGTTCTTATAAAAGCACGGATGACCGCGATTGGCCCATATGTTGTAGCCTTTTGGACGCTGAGTCGACTGGTTTTGGTCCGAAAAGGCTGCGATACAGCGTTCCGCCTTTATTCCCAATCGAACATGGTTGAACAAGCGGTCACGTGCTCCTGCGTACGCCAGTCACCTGGTCACCGTGCCTGCAGGGTACAACTTACTAGCCTGTTTGACCTTTTTTGGGTGCAGTCCTGTCACTCGAGTTGAACTCGAGTTGAACCTTGGTGTGAAAGTTGTCACCTGCTGGCGTGGTGACCAGGTGATTTGGGCACCCAGGAGCACGTGACCACTTGTTCAACCATGTTCGATTGGGAATAAAGGAGGAACGCTGCATCGCAGCCTTTTCGGACCAAAACCAGTCGACTCAGCGTCCAAAAGACTACAACATATGGGCCAATCGCGGTCATCCGTGCTTTTATAAGAACGAAATGGCGCTTTTAGTGACATTTTGCATACAAATCCCCATCTCGTAGGGCGCAGTCACCCAGTTTCGGTGGAAGTGCGCGAGTTCGATTGGGATTCAAGTAGGAAGGGAGCGTCTCAGCTTCCTCGGACCACGACCATTCGACTCAGCACCCCGAAGACTACAACTGGTGAAATTTTAATTTTTGCCTTAATAATAATAATAATAATAATTCGCGGGATTCGCGTTGGCATCGCTTGAATGTTCAGAAACACACAAACTAGCCTTCGCTTCCGCAGGCCACCACTATGCCTACTACTTCTTAACTTCCCCTTTAATGTGCCTCCCTTTCTTTTTCTCTCCCTATCTCCTTTCCCTCTCTGACAGCATCTTTCTTTTCTTTTTTTTCCCTTTTAGCTTGCCGTGGTTGGCTATCACCTGACCTCTCATGTTTATTGGCAATCTTCGGACGGGCCAGGAGATGTTGAATAAATAAATAAATAAATAAATACTCGCGCCATGCTGACTGAGCTAGCTGAGCTAGCTAGCTGCTGTCAGCGCTGTTACCAAGGTTTCATCATTCTGACATTCATCTCGTTTTCAGCCCCTGACATGGCACGACACCATGGTGCCGGACACGGCGCTAGCGCTACATTCAAATGTTTCTTTGAAAAGTTTCTTATCGTGCATAATTAGCTGTTACGCGTATTACATGTTACCTAAGTCCTTTGTTGATTTCCTTTCTTTCTTGTCGGCGTTTTGCGAGTAGGGGCTTGCAAGTCGAGCATGGCTATTTCCAAATGCATGCTAGTAGTACCCATATGTTGCTTCTAGAGGTAACATTGATTTTCACGGTGCGTGTGTGGTCTGCAGTTTACCTGTGTTGAGAGTCACCAGCTGAGAAAGAGAGAGAAAATAGCTTTGAGGTATTCTTGTCTCAAGTTGGCAGTGTATTGAATTTTCCGTCAGTGCATCTTGTTTTACAAGTAGTTACAGGCGAAGGCAGTAGGCAACTATGCGTAAGCAGCAGAGACAGCCGGTGCGTAAAGCTGGCAAAGGCGCGGACGAGCTGCTGCCGGGTCTGGTCGTTCGCGATGCCAAGACATCACCAGCAGTGTGGACAGCCGTTGCTCTGCAGCAGGCCAGGTTGAAAGACCTGGACATGTCGTTTCCACAGTCTTTCTCTCTTCCGCCTGTGCACGGTCAAGCTAGTAAGGCCCAGCGTGCTGGAGCTGGGAAGTCACTCAGGGTTAGTACTAGTACATACACTGTAGGAGAGTTAGGGAATCAATGGGAAAATACGTTGATACACGTTCCGTAATTATAAGAAATTGTGGGTAGAATTCCATTCCAACCCGACGGGTTTCCAACAGAATCGTATTTCCAGAGGGGAGGGGGAGGGGTGTGCAGAAGGTAAGCTTACAGTCCGTTTCAAAAAGATTTGCAATCCTGGCGATCGCCCGCGGAGTTTGGTGTCTTACCGTATGAGCACTCGAGCGCTGCCTGGAAAAACTCACTGTGAACTCGAAGAAATATTCCGCGCGAAAGCAGGAAAAATGACAACTCACTCACGTTGATACAGTCATGTACGTCTGGTTTACAACAAACAAGTTCTTCCTCGTATCGATAATGGTGTCAGAGAGGACATGTCGAAACGAAACTGTTGTAAATGTTGACGAGCGGCATGGGTCCCAATTCGTTTTGTGACCAAAATAGTTTCTTTGAGCTGCGATGCAATTTACTCACCGTGTGACGAAAACGACATCGACACGGACTCATTCCCAAGGCCATGACTTGGCAAAGCTATCCGTGTGACTTCGACGACATTTTGAGAAAAGCAGATGCTTGTGAACGCTGATAGAAGACGCGACCCATAGAAGACGGTGTTGACTGCTAAATTCAAATAAATTGGCGATCTTGAAATACTAAAATAAATCTCTAAAAGCTACAGCGCGATGACTTCCATTATAATTCACTCACATCATTGCAGTGTTGTGGGTGTGTTCACATGGCGTGAGCCAGTCAAGTGTCAGTCAGTTAGGCAGGAAGCGCGAGCTCCAGCAACAAGTCGTTTGGTGCAGCCATCTTCTTTGTCTTGTACCAGCTTGATCACCAAAACAATGAAAAAAAGTTTGACTTGTAGGATAGTTTGGGATTTGAACTCACAACTTCATGGTCCGGCAGCAGACAGCATTCATAACCAAAAGGCCAAAAAGGAAAGGATAAATCGTGGGTTTTGATAAAAAATCGATACTGGCTTCCTGGGCAAATTGTAAACCATGGGAAAAGGCCGGAAACCTGGCCGAAATTCTAACTCCTTAGCGGTTGGTCCAATTGTTCCGAAACCTTCACAGAACAATTTGCCGTGTCCTAACAAGCCATTCTATGTACTTTGTTGTCCAATTTTCCCTTATCTTCATACAAATCTTCATTGCCCACGCTGCAGTCCAACAAGACTATAAACAACGGAGAACCATATGTATGCGGGTCACATTTTCTCCCTCAAACCATCTCCAGAGATTTATTAGAGAGGGTGAATTCGGAGGTGGTATCGCGAGGAAAGCTTGTCTAGCCTTTACACAGGCTGCTCCAGAGTGACATAAAACAAGAAAATAAATGCATGTATGAAAGGGAGGACAACAGCCAGTAGCCAGCTGCCGCCATATCGGAACAAATGCTGAGGATATTGAATGAGCATTCAGTTGGTTGTAACTGCGAGATGTAAGCAAACAGCAAGATGTGTTTTGTCAGTAGTCACATGATTGTTGTCGTCACAAGTTGGGTTAGAAGCCAGTCTTAGGTTATGGCCAAAGAGGTGCCATCTTGTTTCGACAAAGATCTTCCCCAGGGGCTGGGAATTGGTAGGATAATACAGCTCGTTGTTTTGATAGCTTTAGGGTACATCATCCTGATTGCTGTTCACAGTTGTTGTCAGTGGAATGCCTCTTACTCTTTGATGAACCTGCTCGGCACTCCTAGCGTTGAACGGTTGGACAGGAGAATTGGTGTGATGAATGCTTTGTATGGCTCGCCACGTCTGTCCTCTCTTATCAAGTTATCTGTTGACCTCTCACCCACAGTGCGCAAAGCCGTTGAAATGGACTTGTGGTCAGCTGCATGCGGCAATATATTTCCTCTCTGCCCCACAATAGCGATCCCAGCTTCTGGGTCAGCCACCATTCCTCTGCAATGCAATCACTGAACGTCTCAATATGAGTAAACTCCGTCTTGCTGGAGTTACCTATCAGAATGCATTGCTTTAAAGTCTCCCCGATGACAGGGAGGCATGCTGGAAATCAGCTCCCTCGGATGATAGAAAGTCTCAATCGTCGGCAAACAAGCATTATGTGTCTGTGGGAAGGTGCAAGTCGACATCTCGTTGGGTGTGAGTCAGTAATTTATTGCACGTTTTTCAGTCTCGGGACTCTCTCTAGATATGCTACGAATAGCACCGGGGAGAATAAGTCATGCTGTGGAGTGCTTCTGTTCGTTGTGAACTCAATCCTAACTCTTCCCGGCAGTCGGACCTGCAATGTTGTGAACTTGAGAGGATACAACACTGTAGCATCGTTTTTTTTGCCAAGAAACAAGGTCACAACGCTGATCAGCTTTGGATGTGAGCTATTGCTGGATGCCTTCGACATAAAAAACAACAATAATGTCACACTTTTGCTTTTTGCGTTGGTATCGGGCCATAGCCCAACGGTAGGGCCAGATTTTGTCCTGGCACAGAAGCCATATCATTTCAACTACACTGAATCCGAAAAGTCAACGTTTCCATGACTCCAGGCTGTCATTACTTTTCAAGTCGACAAAGTAGTGATTGAAGCTGCAGCAAGCAAGCCCATACATCGGGTACTTAGTCTTGGGCGGTCAGAGTAGTGACAACAGTCGCACCTAAAAAAGTGCTAGTGGTGTCCACTACATGTTTAGATAGTTTCCCTTCACAGCAGGGTGACACATCCGCGTGTAGTGACTGGCCTGGAGCCCGTCCAGGTCGTCAATCCACTGCTGCTACATAAACCATTCACACTTGCAGGCAGCACGAGGGACGTACCCCATCATGTAAAGTACTTCTTTATTGGCATAGTGAATCCAATTCGACCCAGAAGTCGATATTTATAAAAACTCGGATGTTGAGCCAATAGTAACAATGTAAAGAGAAAATGACCTATAAGTTACTAGTTATGACCAGCAGTCCACCAAGGTAAAGAGATAATATACAGTCAGATAGTGCGACAACTAGGTTGTTGTTGGAACTAGGTGTTAGGTCGTCGAATTTCTCGATATCCTTGTCTGTTTTGTGAACTCATGACGGCCGCTAACACCCGGTAAACCCTAGCGGCAGATGCAGCGACTAACGGTGGGGGTGAGTGGATAAGTCTCACAACCAATGGCACAAGTGCTGAGAAACCCCATTAGCTGCATCCATGTACTGTACCCCTTGTGCCTGGCCGCAAGTTCCCAGTTGACTGTCTCGTTACCTTGGGGGACTGTTAGTCATAACTAGTAGCTTGTAGGTCCTATTCTCTTTACAAGTCGATATTTGTTGACTGCTGGTATCATTACTTACATTGTGAATTTAGGTCCTCTACAGTAGAGGAAAAGGTTTAAAGTCCCAAGCTACCAATATAAGGAGTCTAAAAAGTTGAATTGAAGTCTTCAAATACTATGTGGCATTTGGATCAGGAAAACTTGTGGGGCCGGCCTACTAGAAATATAGTGACGATTATTTTTGGCCCCGTACTGGTGTCCCAAATCCCTGCCGCCACCCACGCTTACCTAAGTGAATATTTCTTGAGCCTTCCCAGCAGATCAAGCCGATCAGAGGCATTTATGTGGTGTTTCTTCTCACTTTCAGCCCTGGCTAGAAGTGGTCGGAAAATGTCTCTAGATTCACTGTTCATCACATCCAATGTAACGAAAAATGCATACTCTATCCAGGAAATTTGATACTTACTGTTACACTTTGTGTTTGCTTGCAGTCGTGTGTGTGTGTGTGTGTGTGTGTGTGTGTGTGTATGTATGTGTGTGTGTGGTGTGTGTGTGTGTGTACGTGCGTGTGTGCGAGCGAGCGTGCACACATGTGCTTATGAATGTGTCTGCTTGTGTATACATGTGTGCGTGCGCGCGTGTGTGTGTGTGTGTGTGTGTGTGTGTGTGTGTGTGTGTGTGTGTGTGTGTGTGTGTGTGTGCATTGCATCGATCTTTTGTAGAACAGCACTCGGCCGTGTGGCAATAAGAAGGCTCTTGATCCGAAAGCCAATAGCAAGCAGGAGCGTGTGCTAGGTCCAAAGCAGAAGCCATTGACGCTGGCACAGAAGCTAGGTCTTGAAGAACAACCATCGCCATGTCTCAGTGAAGGAGAGTGGAAACAGGTACTGTCACTATGCTATGTGCCAGATTAACGGTGCGTCCTTAACCCCTTTAGCGCGAGCGTCGTACTGGTACGACGCACATGAGTTGCATGCCCCACGGCCGTCGTACTAGTACAACGAGCGCTGTACACTGTACAGTGAACCTGCATCTCATAGTCGTGGGGTCCGTGTTGAGTCCATAGTGACTTGTTCAAACTATCGTAACTCACTCAATACTTGGTCGATTGTCACAATCGAAACATGTATCTGCAAGACAAAACTCTCAGCTGGCGATAGAAACAATCGCCGAAGCGATGCGACTGCCGGTTGTTGAGATATGCGACTCGACACGGCAAATTTCAACTCGTTTTTTTGCGCAGTCTGCAGAACGCGTATTTTCCATCATGGATCATTTGTGCGCTACCTGCTGCCATGGAAACAAGATTCAAATGATTGTAGTGGATCCCGTGAGTCCTCACAAAAAATTTGAGCTCGATACGAGCAAGGAGACCGAAATGGCAGCTGAATATTTGAGCTTGGTTAGTCTTGGCCGTGCTCAAGTCTGTCGAGCGCGTGGATGAAGTTTGCCAGACTGTAGCACGGGGTTTTGGTTTTGCTCCGAGCTGGGTTTGACACCAGTTTGTCACTCGTCTCGAGACCTTTCCAGGAAGCTCAAAATCGTGCAATTCGTCCAAGGGAAGGTAAAGTTATCGATCCTTGAGCAGCTAGTACTTTCATGGGAAAATGCGACTTTTACAGGTGTTGTCGTGGGGCGCGCTCAGGTAGCGTCGTGCTAAAGAGGTTAACGTCTAAGAAAGTGGGATAAATTAGGAATGGGTCTCGAAGATTTCAGGTATCTTTTGCACATGTGAAGCGCCAATGGGACCGCGATTTTGAATGACACCAATGTAGTGAGTATATACGTATGTGAAAAGGGAATGTCCAAGTTTCAACAACCTTCGAAGTTCGGAGAGCATGGGGAGCTTTGGAGAGTCTCCCGAAATTCAGACAGGATATAAGAACACTAACTTTTCCGAGAGGATATAGAACGCACATTAAAACTCAGCGCAGGCCTTTACTCAAGCACAGTGCCACTATAATACTTCCTCTGTCAACAAAAACTTCGTGATGCATTTAGATGGATATGAAAACGCTTAGAACAGGTCAAGAACAGTTTGTATCGACTGCAAATCACTGGACGAAGGTGATTCAGCCTATGTACAGCGTCTTTACACGAGAAACTGTTGGCGGAATGAGCAGAGAGTTCAGTTTGCGTCGCTTTCGCTCGATTCATTTTTGACCTGCGTCGCTGTCGTCATCTGCTGCACGCAAGTCGTCATCTGCGGTACGCGAGTCGTCATCTCTCTCAAGTCGTTGCTCAGCTCATTTCAGCCTTGCCTCGGCTTCTTTGATCACACTCCGCTGACCTTGATGTCGCCGTCGTTCAAGTAAGTTGGCTTTCAAGCTGCGTGATCCGCCGCGATGGCGATTACTCATTTCCACCAGGGAGTCGTGAAGAATATTTCACGACTCCCTGGTTCATCTTCGCTCTCCAGAACTCCTCGAAAGGTCGCTTTCCTTGCATCGTACCTCTGTCATGGCATGCCAGGGAAGACCAAGAAAGTGATTGCGATTCAATTCACGGCAGTTTGTGCCCAAATCAGCCTCTCAAAATTCCATCACGAAGTTTTTGTTAACGGAGGAAGTATACAGTAAAGTCTGTGACTAGCGACAACCCCTTGGGGCCAGAGAAAGCGGTCTTTAGTGGCAGGTGGTCCTTAGTTAGAGGTTTGCACCGCACAACCATACATGAATGTGAAACCGTCCGCGCCTGGCGAAGTGTTTTGTAGTACCAGGCTGGTCGCTAGTCACGGTGATCTTTAGTTACAGGTTTTTGTGTAGTGACTCTGTAGAAGTTTCTATTCCATTATTCGCCCAACTGCTGAGAATGCTCAATGTCATAAACGTCACCTCTTCTGAGCCTGCTATGTGTAAACGTTACCGAAATCTGCTGTTGTGCTGACGTGTGTGAGGTTTTCATAGCAGTGTTGTTCGTAGATGACAATGTCGGTGTTGGAGATGTGCTGTGTTGAGTGATATCGCAAGGACTGTGTGCCTCTCAATGCAAAGCATATGACATGATGTCATTGTTTGACGTGGGATGTGCTAAAAGTGACATCACAAGCACTTCACGCCGCTCGATGCGAAGCATGTACAGGGATGTTGCTGCTTGACGTGGGATGTGTTGGCTGGTGTCACAAGCACTGTGCGCCACTCAGTAAAAGGCATACCCGATGATGCATACCTGTCAACCATCCCGATTTGGCCAGGACCGTCCCGATATCGAGGGTGGTAATAGGCACCCAAAAGTGCACTAGTTGCATACCTCACAGCTCCACTTGTATACATGTTCATACCTAGGTATGTGTATGCCATTGTATCGATCTCAGGTTGGCAGGTATGCAATTTCATTGGCATCAGTTTCACACATGTCAGTGTCACACTCTGGTGAGTCTATTCTGTATTGTGTCTTGACTCTTGTGTCATGTTCAGGTCAAACAGAAATCATCAGTGCGTGGTGATTCTGAAGCTCCCTGTCCAGTATGCCATGATGTCTTCACGGCAGAGAAACAGCAGGTCATTCTCTCGTGCAGGTAAGATGGATGTAGCAGCGTTTACGGCCATGAATGTAGCAGTGCATTAAATTTTGTGTTTTTCGTATTATTGGCACTATGCACCACAGGCATACACAGAGTGTAGAAGGGGAGGGAGGGTCTGGGCTGCAAGTTTCTATTCACCCATTTTCTCTTCACCTGTCTGTTTCTCCTCTGTCCTTATGCTTCTTTCCCTCTCTCTCTGTCTCTTTCTCTCTCTCTCTGTCTCTCTCTCTCTCTCTCTCTCTCTCTCTCTCTCTCTCTCTCTCTCTCTCTCTCTCTCTCTCTCTCTCTCTCTCTCTCTCTCTCTCTCTCTCTCTCTCTCTCTCTCCATCTCTCTCTCTCTCTCTCCCTCTCTTCCTCTCTCTCCCTCTCCCTCTCATCCTCGCTCTGTTTCAGTCACACATTTCACCTGGCATGTTTGGAAGCGTTTGAGAAGTTCACCGCCAAGACCCGCGGAGGAGAGAGGACAGCATCATCCGGACACCATGGTTGTCCCCTGTGCCGTCGGCGTGACTACGAGAAGAGACTGATATTCGATGGCGAGCGCTCGCATCTCTGGAAGTCAGCTTGTCTTATTCAGGCTGCATGGCGTAGCTACGCCGTTCGCAAGTGGTACACGAAAATGCTGTACTCAATGCCAATGCCCACGGACAAAACATTACAGCGACGCTACGTTGAGAGAAAGATTCATCAAGTGTCTGATAGTGTAGTCAAGGCTGAAGCCAAACAGACGGCCGAAGTGGACAAGCTGCTAGAGGAAGTTGATGATGCTCTGGCACTGAGTCGGCAGATAACCAACGAGGCAACTCTCTTCCTCGAAAGCCGAGCAGAGCCAGACGACCTTCCCAGGCAAGAGCATTACGGTGGTAAATGTGACAAGATTGATTGGGATTCTGTCTCACGACAGGCCAAGACACGGTACGGTCTTGACGGCACGTGTGCTGTGTGCGTTCGACTGCTGACATCACCAGCTGAGTGTTCAGCCGGCCGCGTGCCAGCTGCACGTGGCCATACGGTGGCACTGCTGTCCTGTGCACATGTCTTTCACACTGCCTGTATTCTAGCCGTGGAGAACTACAGCTGTACGTCTGTGTTACGCTGCCCGCTGTGCCGATGCTCGTATGTCAGAACACAGTGGACACCATCCAGAGCTATTGATAGTCCTTGATTGTAACATTAGAGTGTCCACTGGTACCTCACTAATTTGAACAAAATGGACATTAGTATGGGCAATCCACATTCTATCCCTTCTTCTCTCCTCTTCAAGAATATTTTGTGGCAATGGCTTTAGTTCTTTTTCCTTGGCAATTCGTGTAGTACAGGTACTGTGAAAAGAGAGAGAGACAAAGTGAGAGTGAGTGAGTGAGTGAATGAGTCACGGAGAGAAAGTTTCCATTCGCAGTAATGGTAGCATGTCCCTAGCACGGACCTTCATCCGGCTTGCCCGTGTTTCCCACCCGGCCTAGTTATGACACCGTCAATACTCAGAATTCTGATCATTTTTACCTTACCCTAGCAGAGCTATTTTTCAGCAATATCATATCACTAATACTCGGTTTCATCCGTGACAGACTGTGGCCGAGTCTGCATCATCTATCAGTTATTCTTATCATTGTTTGCATCCTGGCAATCATCACTAATTGGAGTATTTAACCTGTGGAGGAGTAGTAGCTTGGTGCTGTTTGATGCCCGGGAAACCCGTGCACGACCTGTGTTGTGCTCGCATCCTTGAATCTTGCCCATGTTGGAGGAAAATGCATGGTGTGGTTTCAAACACACCGACTATGTAAAGTATATGTATGACCTCTGAGTGCTGCAAGTAACAAGGGTACAGGTTGAGAGATTGGTTGACTGCTTGAATTGCCGTGCTATGGCTGTGTTAATTTGTAGAGGTTCGATTCCAGAAATAATAAGAAAAAAGTTTGTTCAAGATGTGAAGTGTCTATGTGAATTTGTGTAATTGCCTGAAACTTTTGGCGCTGATCTGTTGCTCATGTTGTCATGTACCGGTACTTCGAAATATACAATTAGTCATGGAGCTGTGTGGAGGTATATGCCTTTTTTCATTTTTTTCTTGAGAAACTTTGGTTTAGAGTGGCAGGGCTTGTTTCTAGACCCAGGTCCTTCTCGTGCTGCGAATGTTGGTTCTTTCCCAAGACCCCACCATCCACCCTTTTCGGACCACTCAACATATAGACATTCCTACTCCAGCGGCTATACTCTCACAAATACATCCCCGTAGCAACCCCGCCAGCAGGATCGTTTCGAGTTCCTGCAAGAGTGCATGAAAACCAGAGCTCGGATGGGTGGCTGTCACGGCGGAATTCCGTGATTACATCATTTTAGTGATGTAGTGCGTACAAGCAGGATTCAAGCAGGTCTCTTTCTGCACAACTGCAGCTCAGTTGTACGCACTACGCCATTTCCCGCCTCAGATCTGGGCCAAATATGATGTAATCACGGAATTTCGCCGTGACAGACACCCATAGCAGAAAAGGCCCCAAGCTGCACACTCTGGTTTTCATGTACTCTTGGTTCCTGGCACACAAGCGCCCGCATGCAACCACACACCACATGGACAGCTGATGATGACAACAAAAACACTTCCGTAACGAAAATTTAACAAAGCCAATCATCAGCACTGTCATGGCAATGCATCACAGCATGCCATCCAGTAACCATGGTAATGCATCACAGCATGCCATCCAGTAACCATGGTAATGCATCACAGCATGCCATCCAGTAACCATGGTAAGCGGTCATGGTTAGGGAAGGACGCGATAGGGACGGAAGATAGGAAATATGCGGGGATAAGTTGCAGCATACACTTTTAATTCAGCAAAATCACACAGTGACATCTGCAAGAGCGGGAGACAACTGTATAATTGTATTCCTACTTCCTTTGATGCATATCACAACAAAAAGAAATGGTAAAGTGTTCCGACTGTGAAGCTTCCACCAATCTAAACTTCTACTGAACTGTGCTGAAAGGAAAAAAAGTCTGGGGCATGCTCACTTTCCCGGCCCCGGCTTACCCGGCGCTGGTAGAATGATGATAAATTCTGGTGAACATGATGTTACAGTGTTCATGACCTGCATACTCTAATCTAAAGAGCTAGACCGCGTAAGCACTCACATTCTATAGTAGAAGTAACCTTGCTGTAAGAATTTCTACGTTGAAAATCTCTAAGGCATGCACACATAACTTGCCACAGCTTCCAAACAATAGCTCAGTGTCAGTCTCCAAACTGTGAATACCAAACAGCAATTACACCGATGGCCACACAGCGGGCCTTAGTGCAGAAACGTATCCATTAGAATGGCATGGTAGCAGATGAGGTTCTCACTGATCGGTGCTTCATGCAATGAAGGTCACGCACGAGGTTGTAGGACACCGGCTCAGATCAGTTAGTGATGGCATCATCAGCACGAGATCACTTACGTCACGGCACTGCTTACTACTGCACGCACCCATCCATGCATAAACACTCTCCCTCTCACTCTCTCCCTGGCTCTATGGCACTTCTGCCTGGATGAAATGGACTGTACAGGCTGACCAGAGCTGTGTTGAATCTGCAGTGAGGAGTAGAAGCCAAAACGGGAAAAGCAAACACAAAAGCATTATGGAATGTCACTCTCAGCTTTGTCCTTATAAACTGACCCTAAGGTGGATAGGAATGCGCAGGACATGAGTGAGATCCACATCCACCCAGGTGGATAGATTTCCCTTGTCCTAAGGACAACTGGAAAGGAGTGGAAATCGCATTCACCCCCCCCCCCTCCCCCCCCCATGTCGACTCCCTGGATGATACAATTCCAGCCTGGTTCTGACCAAGCGCGCCTCAATTAATTTTGAAATGCTTGACTAATCCGTACTGTGCATATCACAGGGTCCTTTGTACGGTGATGACAGCACACCACATGCACAAGGGTGGAGGACGCGCTGTTGGGACAGACTAAGTGCTCATCACTGCAGCCAGAGACCAGTGCAGTTGGCAGGGCCTCGGTCACGTGGCCATATGAACCATGTGGGGTTGTGCTCTTGGTTCAGATATTCTTCGTCAAAAAAAAAAGGGGATATCATGCCTGGTAAATTATCAAGCAAGGCTTAAGATAATTTGGTGCAGTGCACATGAAGAGGGTGCTTAGCTTCACTTGACAGAAACAGAGCGAAACGCATTTGAGCTGTGAACTTGCACACATTTGTGACTTAAAACTAGTGTTTAAACCGAACACGGATTCTTCGAACGAATAATCTATCGAATAACTTTGCCCTCCATCGAACGAATAATCTATATTCTATCATACGCATGATGGCATTTTTCAACACTTTTTCAGCACTTTTTAAGTAGTTTTTTTAATTTTTTGCTGATTAATATCGGATTTTGTTATGTGGAGGTGCAAAACCGGTTAACCTATACTCGTACTGCCAAGAGTACATAACCCCCCAGAGTGTGCAACGCCTGATCCAGCTCTACATAGGGTCTTGGTCGAAAGTGGTCAAAGACCGAAAATCACATTCACTGCATCCATGTTTCCCTCGTATGGAAAGAACAGAAGTATTACTAGATACCGATAGGAGATTAAAACTTGGAGGAGAGGAGATTGAGAAGAAATACTACGAGCAGATCTACGCCGTGCAAATATCAACAGGGTCAGCACCAGGGAGTACATGTAGTACATACTAGTATTGTACTACTCCCTGGTCAGCACTGAGCATAGACTTTTTTTTTTTTTTTTTTTTTTTTTTTTTTTCGATTTCTGATAATTCCTACGACTATTCGATTATTCGTTCACCCCACGAATATTCTAAATTATTCGATTATTCGATTATTCGTTTCAACACTACTTAAAACCGCATACAAAAAAACACCACCACAGCATAATGTTCACTGTTCGAGGGAGAGACACAAACAGGAAAAGTCTGAAGAAAATATTGACTGTCACCACCAGGACTCGAACCAGGGACCCTCGCTTGTAGCCAGCAATGCTCTAACCACTGAGCTATGGTGTAGTCGCCATCCCAGCAGAGACCGTTCAACGTTTTCTTCAGACTTCGTGTCATCATTTGTTGACGGATTTCCATCTGGTGTTTGCTCAATATGAAAGCTGGAGGGGCACGCTACCACAAGGGCATGATAACTCAAAACTTCAAAATTCGACCCCAAGCACCCTTTCCACGTGCTCTGCACCATGTACCATACAGGGTTCTTGTAAGCAACGGATCAGGAGAGTAACAGGCTGTAGCACCTTCTTACTCTAGGTGGGGTGGTGCTTGCCCTGGGGTATTGGGACCGCTAACTTGTGCCAAGAGATTTTGGAAGTTAGAACGAACGGCCAAAGGCTATAAATCTTGGATAATGAGCCAGTATTAAATGCAAAATAGAAGAGGAAAACACATGGGAACGAGTTATTAAGCAACTATCCACGACTGCAACAAGATAAATTTAATGTTGAATGTCTTAGTAGCCTGTCCGTTTTGTGCCGTGTTATCGCACGTTCTGACTGTTTATTTTCTTGTTACTGTCGTGGATAGTTGCTGCATAACTCGTTCCCATGTGTTTTCCTCTTCTATTTTGGCCATAAATCTGTACTGTAATTCTTAGCTGAAGCACTGAAAACATGACGGACAATGTCATTCAGGAGTAGTTAGCTGCTCACTGTCACAGTTCAGGCTCATCGAAATCTCAGTCGGATAACTGCAACGTAAGCTAAGAAGAGGACACATCTACGAAATATCTTTAAAGTAAAGTGAAGTTTGCACGTCCGCGTTACAACTGGCTATACCTTTGTGTTGGGAAAGTTTAAACGGCAATGAAGCAGTTTCAATGTACATGTAGATGGATTGTTCTCAGTCAGGGCAATGTTCTTGAAATTTATCCTACCGTCTTGCACGACTTATCCAGATCATAATTATCCATTCCTCAACAGTGATGTTTGCATGTTGTGAACTGTTTCGCATATGGGCGTGTGGGTCTATGAGAGTTTCGTTTTGAAAATATTGATAACTGAAAGCCTGAAACATCAATCCAATTTTAGCTGTCAAGCCCATAATAGTTATATTTTTTTCGTTCAGGAGGGTGGGGGGGGGGGGGGGGGGAGGGAGGGGCGTAACAAACCTTACGGTCCGTGAAAATTATTCAGAATGCCAGATGGCTCATAGCTCTTTGTGGTTCTGAACACGATTGTATAGTCGGTCGTAACATGGACGTGCAAACCTTACTTTTACTCACACTGTATGCCTGTAATACTTACCTTGATTGGGTGGCTGTCTACACGCATGTCATCCTGTCAATCAGTTACTGAGCCAGTCCAGACTGTCATGTGCACGACACCCATCCTGCCGTACCACTGCAGTGTAGCATGATGGTGTAGCATGCGTGTGTCCGTCTCCATGCTCTAGTCTAGATGTTCAGCTGACTTTGGCAAGCAGCTCATCATGACATAGGAGTTTTGGCAAGCAGCTGACACCAATCATCTGCCTTGCACTTCATCGTCTTCAATCCATATTGAGCTCCACTGACATAAGATTACAAGCCACCGTCCATTCATGCAGGCACCGATGACAGCAGCAAGTTCTGTGTAAGCTAGCTATGTGAGCAATATATCCGCCGGGCCGATCTACCAAACTGTCCAAAGGCACAAAAGTAGTTGAGTAACCCAGCCAAAGCAGTCCTGTACTCCTGACTCAGGTAACCTGGTTTATCAGCGGAGCTCACGACTCATGGAATGATTATAAAGTGATGACTGTGTGCTAATCATGGTAATAGAGAGGTGATTGCAGCAGCCAAATCAAACCATGGTCTCCCAGCTTGTCATTTCTATACTTCAGTAGATCAGCAGGCTGCTCCCAGGCGATCGACCTTCTCTGGCGCTGGAAGATCCCTCGTAGTATCGGCATAATTATTATTGTTACATCTCTCATTATCTGCTCCACGCCGGAGCGTAAGACTATCCATGGCGACTCCCACCGTGGTGCACTACACGGTGGATGGAGAGGATGTTGTGGCATGGTTCGAGCAAGTGTCCAAGAACGGTTACGCCAGGACTATGGGTGAGTGGGGCGAGAGAGCGGTTGGTATACACGCACGCGCTATACAGGGCGAATGCCAGGGACTACTGGAGAAGGGTGCTGGCGTGGTGCGCCTGGAAGCTTACCAGACAAGCAAAGACGAGGGTGGCAAGCTAATTCGCGTGCATGTGAGCAAACCAGAGGCTTGGCAGGTATTCACAGACCATCACTACTGAGACAACATTTGCTAGAAATTTGTTTCCTTCTGCGGTATGATTAATTTTTACCACGTGAGTGCAATAGATAGATACTCGCTGTGGATTTTATCTTCTATTTTCTGATCTCCCCGCTCCATTTTCACCATAGTTACGAGTCTCACCAGCGCTAGCTGATCTGAACTTTTTTTATTACTTACTTCTGATTGATGCAATGTTTATTACACTAGATTTAGCACTTCAAAAGTACTCAGTTCAAAGACGAAGTACATGACAATGGAGTAGCTATCTACTGTAGCATCAGCGCAGCTGCATGCACTCTCGGTCTCCCCCTCCGGCTCCCTCTCTCTCTCTTGCACTTGGAGATAGAATATCACATTTTGAAATTAAGTTGGGGGTAGAAGCCCCTGCAACAATTTTGGCCCAGTTTTTCGCGAAAAAGGCGACAGTGCCAGTGGCCTCGGGGAAATACGATAGGATGGGAGGATAGGATGTCAAGAGAAGCTGATCGCTTCCTGCAGGGCAATGAGTGGCATGCAGTCCAACGGTTTACCATAATGGGCGTATCATCGATATGTTCATCACGCGGTTGATATGAAAACTCAGAGTCGCAGCTAGACACATTTCTCTATTCTTCATGTATCTTCATCAGTCGGTGGTAAAACAACAAGGGAATGATTGGGTCACTCTGCAGCTCCGCACAGTGCTTTTGGCTAGCACACAGAACTAGCACACCACCCCATCCCTAGCTACCCGAGAACAATTCCCGGTTGACGTACAGGTATTGATCATCAAGGAGATACAGTCCAGATAGTTTTATCGCACCTTCACAGTTCATCAGTGATGGGGGATATAAAGGCATACTTCAAAGCACATGATCACGTGCACTTTTGTGCCAAAATAGAGAAACTGAGCTTTGAAACAATTTTAAAAATAGGACACCTTTTTCCAGCTGTGTAAAGCATCATCAGCATAATCACAAGAAAACCTCGTCTTGTTATCAAGGTAGTAAACAGTAATCGTTTCTCGTGTTATATACGCAGTCAATAAAATCAAGAAAATACAATGAGAGAAAGGGAATTCTCTCGGTAGGTAGTTCATAGAGTAGCAGCTGAAAACCTGAGGTGTATCCCCAGTCATTTCATGCACACCCATACAGGGCCGTTGGAAGGTATTTCCGGGTGGTGCGGCCAGCAATCTGAAGCATAATTAGCTCTTGGGGGGGGGGGGGGGGGGGGGGGGGGGTGGCGCTCCGTCGAAACCGTTTCGAAACTTTAGAGGCCAAATCAGTGAATTATATAGATTCGCAGTGTACCTGGGACAGAGATTGGTACAGTGAATACCGCAGTGGCCTTAGCGTGTCCGACGCCCTTGCCATAGCAAAGGTACTGGACACCAAACACCACGATGATTGTCCTCGAGCACGGTGACATGAACAGCAATGTGATCCATTCCGGGACCAAATGACTACAGGGGTCATGTGGGAATACTCTTAGGGTATGTATATACGAGTGTGTCAAGGCCCTGCCGAGAGAGCACTGCCATGACCAATGCTGCTGCACACAATCATGTACATGTGCTATCAGCCAAAGTTTCACTGCTCAAGTACTGCTCACAAGCATGCTTCCAGCTGCTGACTCGGTACCTGCACTGTACGTGGAGCACTGTGTTCCGTGTAGCCCCTGGCCTGATGACGGCACCATACCACGAATGCATTGCACTGACCATCACCGGGTATGTATCACCATGGCATTGGCATGGCAACACGGGTAAGATCGAGGCAGCAGTCAAGCCATTATCGTCCGTCAAGAGTTACAGTTCACCACGGGCGGCACTCGGTCAGATGATTTTCTACGCGCCGCGGCAGGACGGGGACGGCTTTGCTGGCTAGGGGTGCGATCGCTTCGTGCCGCTGAGCTTACTGTTACTTTCTTTGGCTTACAAGCGCCCTGCAGAGCAGAGAGCAAGACGTGGAAAAGAGCACACAGTTAACCTCACATAATATACAGTATCAAATTCTGAGTGAATACTCCACCATGCAGGCTGGAACCTTCGGCACCGATAGCATCAACGTCAGAGTGCCTTGACTGCGAGAAAGACAGCTAGCTTTGCAAGCCCTTTATTGCATACATGTAGGTTGTTCATCACACAAGTTGACAATGGGCAATGTTGTCTGATTGATCGAAGAGTTACCGTACAACAAACCCCCCACCCATTGTGAATGTGTCTAGCGGGCTCATTTTCGTGCATTGAGCAATTCGCACGCCGATGGTAACATTACTTTGTCCTATTTTGCGGCACTCATATATTCATACCTAAACGTGTTGAGCTTGAAGTGTACACAACACACGAGCAAATATGAAAATTCCATGCAGCGGACATGACCAATACTACTTACTGATTTGGGTTGGCTTTCCCTCCATCTCGTGATGGCGGCAACCTTTGATGGCGGCAGGCCGTACTTTTCATCGTCGAACGGTACGTCAGTGTCTGTATCCATATCACTCATATGCCTCCGCTCTGCTCTACGATGGTCTGAGCTGTGTCCATTGTGCTGTGCGTGCGATGTTCCCGCCTGCAAGGGAGATTCACTGAAGCTCACCAGGCGCTGGCGTCGATAGTTCCCGGGGATGGCCGAGGAGTCGGTGTCGTATGCTGCCGACGAGTGGCTGGTGACTCGCGTGCGAGTGCTGCTGAAATCCGATTCGAAGGAGCTGGAGTCGGCGCGGGGCCGCTGAGAACGGATGAAGGAATCGGACGGCGTTTCAAACGCGCTGCATATACTGGTGACACTGATGCTGCGTGCGCGACTTGCGTAGTCCGAGTCGTCCATTGACTCCTGTAGCTGGGACCGGGACCCGAGGCGTTTTCTACCCGAAGAAGGCGGTCCAACACTACTCGCACTGGACATTCGACGAGAAGAAGATGCTGACTCGCCGCCAAAGCATGCTGAGACTAGGGCTTCGTTCGGCCTGGCAGCGGTTGGAGAGGCCACCTTCGGTGGATTTCGGGGCAGCATTGGTGATCGGGCAGTCGTAGCCTGCTGCGGCTGCTGTTGCTGCTGCTGCTGCAGCTGGGAATTGCGAATTATTCCCTTTGCTTTGGGAGCCACGGCTGGCGCTGGGCGTTTAGGCTTTTCTGCGTCGGATTCGGGCGGGCTGGGTGACTTCGCGTGGGGAGAGTCTATACTTGTCGGTCTGTTTGGCCTCTTTGGGGGCATTTTCTTCTTGGCCTTTGTCGCAGACATGCTGTCCTGTGACTCCGAACCAGATTGCGCAGCAGAAGACAGGTCAGACACCGACGGTACAATTCTCTCATATGTATTGTCATCGGCCTCGTCTTGTTGCTGGTTTAGAGAACCGGTGGGTCGGATATTGACATAATGAGAAATTTCCTCTGCCCCGGCGCCAGACCGTTGTAGCGTTGCTACCCTCTGCGCGGCAGTGAGCTGTGCTCCGGATGCTGCGGACGGCATGTTGCCTTGACTTAGCGCTCGCACTGGTCCACTTTTCTTCGTTGCTATGTGAGCAGCTTTCTTCTCCTTCAGTCTCGCTTTCAAACCGCCCAAGTCGCCTTCAAGGCCGTCGAAAGCACTGCTCAGTCTGCGCCGAGTGCTCCGTTCGTCACAGGACTCCGTCACGAGCTGGGCGGTTTCACGCTTTCCACGGGACGTGGAGCGTGCTCCCTTGCCTTCCGGTGCCGAGAAATATCCGCTAGATGCGTTGCGAACGGCTATGTTCTCTTGAGGAGAGACGGGCGAGACAAGTATGCCGCTGCGGTCGTTCACGTCTCTCTGCTTGATGAAGCTGCTCTTGGTTAATTGATAGAGACTGGCAGAGTCCTCAGCTGCAGTGGTGGCAGCGGTGGTAGCTGGTACGATGGTGAGCAAAGTTGACGAAGAAGACCGGGACGATGTGGCCGGTGACGAATTTCCCGTGTTGCTCGCCGAGATACAATTCATGTATATACAGCTGTCCTCGCTCTCAGAGTTCCCATTGGATTGTGTTATGACCAGTGAATCTGGGTTGTTCGAGGGTGCACGGGTCATTCTCTGTGGTGTTGATTCAGAGCCACTGGGCTGGTGATTCTCATAAACATTTTCTTGCTCAGACCTTGCCGCAGATTGCCCCCGCAGCAACGTGGCATGAAACTGGTAGACGTCGGTGTCTTCACCGAAATCCGTGTCAGATTCTGATGGCAGCGGAAAGCTTTCGGTGGTGCGTTCACCGATGCTTAGTTTACTCAGCGCTGCTGTGGCGGAGCTGCTCGTGTCGGACATACTGCCAGAACGGCCTCTCGTTCTGTCTTTTCCACCGCCGCTGGACTTCTTGCTGGACGAGGACTTGCTGGGTTTTGTTTGAGGGGCTGATTTTCTTGGTGACGACGGCGACTGATTCTGTAAATGAGTGGTAATGTCAGTGATGGATTTCAGCAGTGCTGTGATTGCAGCCTGGTTTCCCAAGGTGTTGCGTTGCTTGCTGACAAGTTGCTCAGTGAGCAGCTGTAGGGCGGTGAGTGCTGCCTCCTCCGTCTGGCTTAGCTCGCCCAGTTCAGTTTCCGACCCACTTGCCGCCTCCTCCTCTTCGTTCTCCTGCTCCTCCTCATCTTCATCCACAGTTACCTGCTCCTCAGCTTCCACACCTGCACAAACCACCACATCTGCACCATCATCGTCGATGTCATCGTAAATGGGATCCGCAGTATCGCTCGATGCCTGCTCTTCCTCATTAGACCCTGGCTTGGAAGCTTGCAGAGTTGATTGTGAAGCTGCCGATGTAGCTGTGGCTGACGCTGCCTTAACACCACCTCGCTGACTCTGCAGTGTCGATTCGTTTGACCGCTCGGACACGCTACTGAGTATGCTGGCACGCCGTGACTTGAGCGTAGCATTGCGTGCCTTGGCCTTGAGTGAGGATTCCTTAGCCCCCTCGGCGGTGTTGGGTGTGGCCGGGCTGCTCTGACTGCGCTCTGTACGAGTGCCAGTGTTTGCCTTGGAGCTGCTCGTGTCCGTCCCCGGGCCCACATCGGAGTTTGCACGGTGATTCTACAGGTCAAAACAACAGAGCATCGAGAGCATTCATTGTGTTATATGTGCGCATTCATTGTGCCATTATTGTGGAATAGTAGACCAGGGTTCACCTTGGACACCCTGCAAGAAGACCTCAGGGTCTGTTGGGAATGCCCAAGTAAAATACTGAAGTAGCTAAATACAATAGAAAATACAAAAAAAAGTGGAAGTGTGCTGCACAGGGAAGTCCGGATGTGCAAGCCAGCTACCACTGGGTGGCCACACAACCCTTGCATGCACCAGGTGCAGGGCAATAACCTAATCATGGGACCTGTTTCAATGAGTAACAGTGTTGGACAAAGCACGATTATCATTTGTAGCACAAGCACATATGAAAGGTCAAGCAACACCATTTTTATGACGAGAGAGCTCAATTGTGATCACCACGGCCTTGACTAAGGACATCGGTTAGTAAGTTTTCAGCGCTCAGTGGACGGGGAATCCGTTTCCTCGTGCAAGCATGCGATCATCACAGCGTTACCTACCCTGGGTTCACCCCCGCCACGACGGTGCTTCTTGAGAGTTTTCGACAGCGCCAATGCCAACGGTCCACCGGCCGCTCTTTCCCACTCGCTCTTCACGGGCAATGGCTTGCCTGCTGCTTTAGCCTAGGATAGACAGGAATGAAAACACGAAACAGCCAGCAAGTGAGATTGTTGAAATGGGCATTATGATGGCTTGCAAGGATGGTGCTTGGAAAGCTTCATGCACAGTGGTGAACATGTTCATGGATACAGCATGAAATAATACTTAGATTCAACTTTTAATGTGCAGAAGCTCCATAGAGGGTGGTGGCATTCCTATAGATGCAGAAAACTCGGCCGAGTCTCACACAAACCGTGGATTTCTGTTCTTTTATGAGCAGAAGCTCCAATGCAGCACTTCGTGAAAAAAAACTCTACACTATCTCCAGCGCAAGTGGTCTCTTTGCTGCAAATCTGTACGAATCAAATGTCAGTCAAATTTGCAACCAGGAGCCAATATCAGGATTAAATCACCATCTCAATATGCCGTAACTCCCCTCGATCTACACAACCAATACGAATAGGGAGGCGAGTGCTCATCACATCTGTGTTTCAGACCCTGTGTAAGTCATGTGATTCACTGGCAGATCGAGAGTTAAATTTAAAAGGCATTGCGTGCGTGCACATAGCTATATTTATGCTGTACCTGAGCACCCTCAAAGCCAGCTTCCTTTTGCGATCCCAAGCAGTAGAGAACCTGTGATGAGCAGCATCGGAGGACAACACCCGCACAGCGAAATAACATCAGCAACGCCTAGCATCAGCCAAAACAAACTTGGTCGACAAACAGACAGCCATCATCAAATATGCACACGTAGGTACTTCATATACAGCGAAATCTCTCAAACATAAATACCCGTGCACCCAGATATATCTCGATAGAACTCTGACAAAATGTAGCGTCACGGGCAGCACGAAAGTGTACTACTCGACATGCAGAGATGACATGAATTTGTTCACGTGCACTAGCTTTACATGTCATATGATGTTATCTGCGACTTCGGGTTTTCGGGTGCTATTCTGTACCCGATTATCAGAGGTCCTCACGGCTAGCACGGGTACCCACCCGACTACCCGTGCACACCACTAGTACTGAGTATTTGCGGTACTTCCTATCCCAGCAAACTGCAATGTGGACCAATAAAGCTGTGTTCCGGACAATGTTCAATAAAGCTGTGTTCCGGACAATGTTCACACTAAGTAAGAGTATATATTTTTATAAATTATCAGAGTACCAGTGTCAGAGTACCAGTGTCAGAGTACCAGTGTCAGAGTACGTAGTAAGCGAGGTTCAGAGCATTGCTGATTCCCCAAAACATGTAGGTGATTGCCCATGCAACACTTCTGCTTAGGGAGCCATTGCTGCTATCAATAATTGATAGCAGGATTATTTTAGATGAAAACACTGTTGATCGAAGAAGTGCTGGTAGTGGTGGTGGTGATGGTGGTGGTGGTGGTGGTGGTGGTGGTGGTGGTGGTGGTGGTGGTGGTGGTGGTGGTGGTGGTGATGATGGTGCTGGTGGTGGTGGTGGGGGTGGTGGTGGTGGAGGGGGGGGGGGGGTAGGGGGTTGAGAGGGGGCTACAAGCTATGTATCAACATAGACTATACCTTTGCCTTGCCCATGAAGTTTTTCTTGATCTTCTGCGAGGCATGCAGCCAGAGCGATGACAGGCCACGCGGTCTGAAGATGGGTTGGGGATCAAGCTGTAGAAACGCGCATGTCTTCTCTTTATGATTCTCCGTGGCGTCGCAGTAGCCCACCAGGTCAGAGACGACGTCATTGGGTAACGCAATCTGAAGACATTGCACACAGTCAATGACAGTATACTCTAATTTCAGGATTTTTAGGTGCTCAATATGTTTCGGTATGAGGGCAAAAGGCCAGGTTAGGTGAACAGAAACTTTAGGTACAGAGGAGTAATTCCCTATTGGATTATGTGTGTTAGTGTTTTTTCGTTGTATTGACATTTTAGGTATGAAACAGACGCACTGAAAGTACCGAAAATAAAAGTACACTGAAAATTTGTGAAATTACAGTACTCTACTTGTGAGTGTGCCAGTATATCATAGTGCACTGCATGAAGAACATACAACTTGTAGCTAGTGTATGGCATTACCAACTATGCATACACCATTAGAGCTGAGCAACACTGAGAATTGCTATACGCTTGCCAAGGCACTTGATTGGTCATCCGAATGGTGACAATCACATGCTATGAGCTAGGGCGGGTTCTTACCTCCAGTAACTCCTGTGTGTCGTTTCCGGGTCTCTCGTTGAAAGAGTCTTCCCTGGATTTATGTGCTTGTTCTAGGTAGTGCAGGGCATGGCGTTGTAAGCCAAGGCACACGTAGATCACGGCAATGTTTGCCAGGATCTGCAGGAAAGAAGGAAATATGCCGAAGAAGAGATATTGAATCTATTAGTCTTCCCCGTGCTCGGATTTGAGAAGGGATGGTAGAAAAAGCTTCATCGGATTCACAACTGGCTTTGCCTCTTTGTGTGCAAAGATTAGTCTTCCATTATGATAAGAAGATGGCATGCAAATACCCACCGGTCTCTTCTGATATTTCACTTGCAAGCAAAGCGCCCAGATACAAGTTTGCTGGCTTTCAAGATTGGTAAATCTGACCAGTTTCGGACCAGTTTCGAAAAGTGAACGACCATGCAGAGACTGTTCCGAGTTGCATCTGCATGCATTTCAGTCATGCTTGTCTGTGTGCATGCATGGTGATCTGTGGTGCACATGCCTACTGGTATGGATGTATGTATCACATGCTTTTAGATGGTACAGCTATCCCATGAGGAGCATAGCTAGGGCTACTTGGACATTTGAAATGGTTAGCGAGTATTTAAGCTCTGGACGCATAGTATCAGCCTATAATGGTGAAACACTGTGTTTATTGCAAGAGTTTCAGGATTTCCTGGCTGTCAGCCATGTCAGACTACACCCTTGCATAACCATGTGCCAGAAAATAGGACAACTACGAACAGCTGTGTGATAACTTGAGCTGAAGCTGGAACCTTTTTCATCTGGTACTGAGGTACCTTTGAATTCATTTCGACTCAAAAGATCTTGATCCAAATAAAAGAGTCTCCACGAAGTCCAAACATACCTGGCACTCCCACTGGACATAGCTGAGACCGAGGTTTGTGTAGTCGATGAACCGGTTGCCACGCATGCGCCGATGGGCCTCGTGTAGATCACGCAGGGCATCTTCATTCCTGCGCAAACATACAAGAACAGCATACCGAAGGTTATCCAAATTTCTTGGCTTTCCATATTATCGGGCTACCAGATCCTAAGTGAGTTTGTACAAGGCCATGCAAATTGGCTTCATTATACGACTGGGTGTTTGAAAGAAGGATCTTTCAGTGGGAAGGAAAATGCTGAACCAGATCATTAGCTGAAGCCGTTCTTGAATTACTCCTGACAAGAATCTCTAGGATGAAGGTCAAGGGGGAGGTCTGGTGGTGAGATGACATCATGCAAAGAATTCCCATGATGGGCACACATGCCCTGCGGCCTTGCTCACCATCCATAGATGTGGAAGGACATGGCTCTTTGGCAGTATGCGAGAACAAAGTGTTTGTCTCGCTTGAGTGTCTCTGTGTAAATCTGTTTGATAAAGCACAAGAACACGCAGACACACACACAGACACAGACACACATACACAGACACTCAGACAGACACACATACACATGCACACACACACACACACACACGCGTGCGCACACACACACATTATGAAACCAGTTACGGACCCGGGATTATATTTTGGAATGGAAAAGGAGAGGGTTGACCTTGCACATTTCTGTTCATCATGTAATCTGACGTCTATGTTTTGGATCATGACGGATCATGCTTTCACCAAGCTAGGCTTGACAGTGAGCCAGAACACAATCAATCCATCCACAGTAGGTTCGTGGATTGAAGCAATGGTTGAGACCTAGGCAAGTAGTGTACTGATGTGGATCCTAGCTGTACATATGACAGTTACCAGCGTCACAAGTCTACACGTAATTGCCAACTACCACTCATGCTATTACAGCACATTATCTTCTTGACCAGGGTACCATCTCTTTGCCGGACTTAGATTTTCTCTGATATTGAAAAGAGTACAATCGTGTGGCGTGTCCTTGAGGCAGTATGCACCGGGCTTTCATGACAACCTTCCAACACCGTTGCTTTCAGAATGGAAATTATGCTTTACATCGTGCTATTTTTTTCAAGAGTTCAGCAGCGAGAAGGCCCACTGACATGACACACTAACTGATTTACCTTGCTACACAACGATTTGTTGTCACGCTGCTGCGTCCGGCACGTGTCGAGATCCCTCTTCTTGAGGAGATACCGCTAGCAGAACCCATTATCTACTGCTCGCGTGAAAACTGCCTTTCAAGGTCTCTCTACCATGCAAAGAAGGGCGACAGTGGAATCATGGTAATTGCTGCATCTCCAAATTTAATATCAGCACCAACACTACAGTGGACCGTATGCGTGTTAAAACAAAATGGCGTCACGATTTATTGAAAGTGGTATAGTTGGTGGAACGAGTGTTCAAACCCATTTGAACTTCATACTGTTCGTCTTCTTTTTGACATGCTCTCTTTCCATCGTCCTTAGCTTTTGTTTGTTGAGAGCTGTTTTGGCTTTCTCCTATACCTCTGGGGGATGCCAAGTGATGGTTTTGAGAGGCTGGTGATGGCTGTGAGCGAGAGTTTGCCGATCGGCGTCGTCCTCGCTATAGCGATGAAAATACTAGTTACTGCGCACCTGGCAGATATCACAACACGTCGGAGCGTCCAGGAGCAAAGGAATCTTGGGTTTTCACTGGAATCTAGTTCCACCAGCATCGTGTAGCCCACCGTCGGTGAATGGCGGTCCAGAAAGGTCGAAACTGGTCTTCTGCAGCATCTCGCAGTCCTGCGAGGCACACTGAATACGCCTGTCATGTATTCTACAAATAAAAATCACGAAGTAGTGGACTTTACAGTGATGAGTCTATCCTGTATGCTGCAAAAGACGCAGGAAATGTGACTGGTGTCCGTACACTGGACGCCAATATCATCCCAGTCTTCTCCTGCAGGATCTGTTTGACATTGACATACCGGTATGCAGTGGGTCGACATTGGCCTGGTTTGGCAGCTATCTGCCTGGGTGGATGTAGCAGGTTTGCATTGGCGCGTCGTCCAGTCCGACATTTTCTTGTAACTGTGGAGTACCGGCAGGGTCTGAGAGGTTGCTCGTGCTGTGAACACATCTCTACTGCCTGTCTCGTCCTGGAAGTGCCGTCTCGCCGCTTCCTTGCTCTACAGTCACGCCGTTATTTCGCTTTGTTTCGTGGTGCAGCTCAAAACCTGCCCAAACAACTGTGAGCTCGCGACATGGTATGGACAAATTGCACCACTCATGCTGGTTAACTAAAACCGGGATAGTCGAGTAAGCGAGTTCACTCCCTGGGCCATGGCAAGATCTGTTCAGCGCGGGCTATTCCAACCTCCAAGTGCATAGTCACCGATCGATCCATGCGATGGTGGTTGACCTACAAAGAGCCAAGGTCTACGAGTACTACTATTGGATGCTGTCTACATGCAGTCAACAAAATCAAAGTACCTCAGTATGCCCCAGAACAGGGCATGTGCATCTATAGCATGACACAACAGGGGTTCTGGCGGCACCTGTCAAACAAGCAGTAGCGACTAGTGCCAGCTACCTATTGGAGGCTAGCTGCTACAGTCTGTCACTGGAGATAATTATTATGTTCACTGTTTAGACTGAGCACAATCAATGATGCCCAATCAATCTGCCCAATGTGTGTTCTGTTCCACCTAATTATAACGTCCCATCGCATCAACCCTACTACACGCACATGTCGTCACTCTAGCACGACTTGTGTTATTATTGTTTATTTTGATTCGCACGATAAATAGAGCACAATAAACGTTAACTTGACCGAAGGTTAAAGGCGACTGCAGATAGAGGAACACATCGAGGTACAGGTGCCGGCATCAATACAGTATCAGAGAGGTACGCAGGAAAAACTCTCGTAAGCCCAAGGGGAAGTGGTTGATGAGGGATGAATGTACTCTCCACGCTCGTCTACACTGTTCGTGGAAATGCACACATACATACAATAATATACAACATAGCAATAGCATGCACAGAACCGAACAATTTCATGTTCACACATGCAAGCACAGACCTGAACATTAGTACCAAAAGCCGATACAGACAATATCCCCATACACACAGACGCACACACACACAATGTCCCATGTATGCGCCCGTGGCGAGAAAAGCACGCAGATCTAAAAATGCACTGGATGTGAACCCACAGATTTTCTCTAATAGCAATGATAGCGGATCTGATTCTGAATGAAACACACACACAATACAATTATTGAATGCCCATCCGCAGATGATGGCAGGTCCTGAAAGAACAGGCAGTGTTCCAGTGATGGGGAACAGAACTTCGAGTGGCGAGTGAGGTATACACACACACGTGCGTGCGCGGGCACACGCCAAAGTATGAAGAAATAGAATCGACATTGTAGTATTCATTGGTTGGGGAATGGAAAGGAAAATAAAACATTGCTATAAGTTATTGTTGTAAGGACACTGGGAGCACAACAGAAAGGTAAGCAACTTGCTTTGAAGCAAAGAAAGTTATTATTCCACGGATCTCAGAAGGAAGGAACGTTCCAGAATGCTGCACTGGCAACAGGCGGCCTGCATGTGCGCGGCCCCTGCAGTCGGTCCAGCTGCCGGCCTTGCAGTGCTGAAAAGAATGTGCAGTACAGCATGTCACATAGTATCGCAGCCTGGACAAATAGACGCTGGGAAGTCCTAGTTATGTGCTCACCTACACCACGATGCACCAATCTTCTGAGCTACTTTGGCAACAATTTTGTCCACTTGAGACTCCCATGGGCTGAGCCAGTTGTTGAGGGCTGCATCAAGGTGGACGGCAATGACCGCTGATGGCAAGGCAATCCATGACACACAGTCACTAGGGCATCGTCAACATGGCGCTAAGGCTGGATGAATAAAATCAACCTTTAGGCTGCCGCGGGATTGACAACGAGGCCGCTGTCTCGAAGCTAGTCAGTCAGCCTGGTCACCGCCATTGACGAACCAGTCGCCACCGCCAGCAGTGGCGGTAGGTTGTGACAAGTATGGTGCAATATTGTCAGCAAATTCAGTACTCAGGATAAGATGAGTGACAAAGGGAACGTTGTGTTTGATAATATTGAAGTGAACAGGGATGATCACAAACCCTGCGCGTACTCCACCGTGAGTTACAAGAAAATTCCGGACTGGACGACGAGCAAACACCAACCTGCTACATCCAACCAGGCAGATACTATAACGATAGCTGCCAAACCAGGTCAATGCCGACCTACTGCATAATGTCAATGTCAAACAGATCCTGCAGGAGAAGACTGGGGTGTTGGCGTCCAGTCACTGAGTGTACAGACACCAGTCACATTTCCTGCGTCTTTTGCAGCATACAGGATAGACTCATCACTGTAAAGTCCACAACTTCGTGATTTTTATTTGTAGAATACATGACAGGCGTATTCAGTGTGCCTCGCAGGACTGCGAGATGCTGCAGAAGACCAGGTTCGACCTTTCTGGACCGCCATTCACCGACGGTGGGCTACACGATGCTGGAGGAACTAGATTCCAGTGAAAACCCAAGATTCCTTTGCTCCTGGACGCTCCGACGTGTTGTGATATCTGCCAGGTGCGCAGTAACTAGTATTTTCATCGCTATAGCGAGGACGACGCCGATCGGCAAACTCTCGCTCACAGCCATCACCAGCCTCTCAAAACCATCACTTGGCATCCCCCAGAGGTATAGGAGAAAGCCAAAACAGCTCTCAACAAATAAAAGCTAAGGACGATGGAAAGGGAGCATGTCAAAAAGAAGACGAACAGTATGAAGTTCAAATGGGTTTGAACACTCGTTCCACCAACTATACCACTTTCAATAAATCGTGACGCCATTTTGTTTTAACATGAATATCGCGGATTCCCGAATGTTCACTTGGATCGATCATGGAAACGGTGTTTGCTCTTTTGAAGTTTCGTCACCATTCTGGTCAGGAACAACAGACTGTACATATTATGTAGTACCGTACATGTACAGTGCGGGCACCTGAAATCCGACCCCCTGGCCTGGGCGGCGCTTTCACTTTCTAGCGGCCTCTATTTCGGGTCTTTGCGATGTGAGCGCGCTGCTCAGGGATCGGATTTTAGGTGCCAGCACTGAGTGTAGTACTACTAGTACTAGTACTAGGGCAGTGCCAGTACTGAGTAGTTGGTAGCCATGGTAACATCACAACAAGTGAAGGAGAGAGCAGCAGCTTTCACGAAATCTGACTACCTACATGTATGGTGACAGTTACCCTTACAGTCATGCATGTAGATCTACATGATTGTACTGACAGTGACAGGACTTTTGGTTTTAGTTTTACAGTGAGTGAGACCACAGCACCAGAAGATTGGAGATCGCGTGAACCAGTTGAACCATCGATTCGTGCACAGAGTGACATTGTAATTGTACTGTAGCTTATTTTTTATAAGTAACTACTACAAGTAGTAGTTAGGTATGCCTATGTTACGTATGTATGATATCTTGCTCCCAGCACATCGCCCAACCCGGTACGGCCACCCTGGGTCTATGTTGCACTCCTCAAGACATTTGCCAAAATTAATGATGATTTGCTGGCTTTGCTCTACATCCTTCCCATCAGCTCTTCTTTATGACATGTGATGACAGTGATGTGTGGAGGAGTTTCCAAGTCGTCGCTGTCCCCACTGCTTGGTTTGCGTGTGGCGTTGACCATTTCTATGATAAATTCACTCTCTGCTTAGACTATCACGAGGCTGACAAATGTAATGAAGCCAATCAGTACACTCTCGCCGCACCAAATACGACTCCTTCGAGACAGACGCCAGCAGTTGCACAGAGAACGGCAGCAGTCTTCTAATGATTATGATGCCTCAACCACACGCCAGTAAACCAGACTCAGTCAGCGCCGCGAATGCACGCTGCTGAGGTATCCCGTACACGGCCTGTAAGGCTGTAGGAGGACGAGCCCCATACCATGGTCTAAGAGTACTGTAGTTGGATATGAAGTCAACAGAAGGTCATGACCTCACCATGCCAATCATGGTATTGTTTCTAGAGTAGCCTAATAGGGCAATTACATGTACATGATTGTAATCACAATAGCGAGAGTTTCCAGATTGCCTAGAGTGCTCAACACCACAAGGATGGAGCATTACCACAAAGGCAGAAGAGAACAGAGACAGCCGGCTAGGCCATTGTTGTAACGCTGCGTTTCATGCACATAGCAAAGCTAAGGCAATCCTCAGACAACTAATTGTACATTGCTACATACATGTAATTTGATACCAAGTCAAGTAACAGTCTTCGTCTTTACTTCAAAAATGAAGCACCCAAACCACGGCTGCCACTAGCCACCGTTTCTCCCGGTTTATTGCACCCACTCTGATTGATAACACATAGTACTGTCTCTCTCTTATTGGCTACGGCCATCGTGAGAATAAAGATAATACTAATAATAGTTAGAGGCCAAACGCCACGGCATGACACCTGGCACTGAGTGGTGCCCCAGACCCCGGCCACATAACTGACATGAAGATCGTCGTTGATCATAATAATTTTATTTTACATGTGCGTCGGTTTGTCGACTGTCCATATTCGGTCACGAAACACGAAACGTCTTCAGCGTGGCATGATACGCGATACCGCAGGCACATAGGTACAGTATGTATGTGCGCCCGACAATTATGCTCTGCCTTGGAAACCAGTATAATAATTGTGTATACGACGCGATCACGTGTCTCGATGCGTAGGACATTGTTGTAAGCTTTCCGCGTTGAAGTGTTTACCATCAGTGCAGTAAGCTGAGTCCACAGCAATGCTGAATGGCTTGGGACATGCCAGTGCCTGTGCTAAATCTAACCATGTAATGTTACACGAACAATACGCATGCACTGCACTACAAGATCCCTCGGCAAACTAAGCCTAATAAGGCAATATACCAGCACTTAGCCATGTTGCAGGTCAATTATAGAAGAAAAGGCCAGTGACGGCAGTGTAGGTCATATTTGCTACAGGACCGCTGACGGAACTGTATGACAAATAGAGTAGAACTAAATGTATGTGACAGCTTCCCCCTAACTGTAACCATTGTACACACAAGCCCCAACTCGGCTCTGTCTATCGAATTATCTGCCACTTCCCGGAGGACCATTTATGGAGCCTATTCTCAGCGGAGGATAAATGCTATTTTTACACTGTATGTGACACTAGAGGATAATGCTACTAGTCTTTATGTGACATGTACCAGGTGATGCAGCGGACGGTGGCCATGGAGACGTTAGTGGAGCTGGTACTGCTCGGAACAACAGACTAACTGGATACTGATCACAACACTGGTGCAGTATCCTTGAGAAGCAAGTCTCGCAGGGTTGACAACGAGACGCGAGACGCTTTGTTCTGGGCTTGTATACCCATCGTTTGATGTCACGTGTGTCGTCGAAATTATCACACGGATTTAAAGATCAGCTGTCACTAGAGTTTTCCTGTTTATGCAGCAGGTTTCTCAGTCGAGCATACCCGTATCGTTTCCATGCATCAAGATTATTACCCTCCAATGTTCAAGACGGTTGGCATGATTGCGACGTTGAGCGTGTCATGAATGGGGTGAATGTGTCTCCGCTGTGCGCGGTAAGACCAGTGTTCCGAACGTAATCACACGAAACGGCTTTGCAATTCTGGTCCTTGCCTCGGTCAATACTCATAATGTGGCAGGTAAAAGAGCGATGATTATATCGATATGCTATCTAAAGTGGGCAATCGTAGCGTACCGTGACGGAGTAGAGGCTCGTGTATGATAATTTATGGAGGTCATTTAGGCTTCAAACACGTGTCTGTTGGCCATTTGTGAACAGTAACGATGACGAGTAACCCGCAAGAGACGACGTGAGCACGAATTGAATCTTAACATTCAATTCCTCAGAGCCAATACATTCCCGCATAACCATCAACCTCATGTGTTGTATGCATCTCCGGCTGCCCCAGCATCCCGGCAAGAACCGCTATAGACCAGGCACGTATCAGGCTATCAACGTCTGATACGCCATATCCCACATCTTTTAACAATTGTGACATTGGTTTCTATATGGCGCTAGCCATGTTATATCGCACAGCAGTCATTGACTCCACCCCGAGCGTTCATGGACCAGATAATCATTGTAGAGCTGTGCTTGCAGATGCTGCGCTGAGGCTACACAGTACGGAGTTCAGCCAAATATCTAAGATGACAGACATGATTCTGCCTTCAACACAGTAAATTAATCCCAACACGAATGTTGTCTTGCCATGCCCAGTTTAAACACATTATCCTTCTCCATCATTGGAAGTGAATGCGGCAGTTGTATTCTCGCTCCCCACACCACATTGAACGATAATTTCCACCTTTCTTCGTAGGTACGAGTAGCTCAGGTATCTTTGCATCCTTGCTACAACACCACACTGAACGTCACCGCGGCACCCGCCATTCCTCATGGGTATGAAATAGTGGGCCAAGTAGCCCTCGACCAGTCCCTGATGCACAGCACAAGGTGGTCGTCCTTGGGAGTTGTAATTGAAGCATGTGAGGAATGGGAACCCGGAACTACTCTCCGCTAGTCGTAGCGTATGCACGGAACAAATGCCCAATCCTGCTACAACGTTAAGACCTCCGCTTGTCACTCACGTTTGTAGTGCTCGATTGCATCAAAACCACCATATGTTTTTATACAAAGAGCTATGCGCGCGACACACACATGACACGATATCCGCTGTAGTTCCTCTACAGGCCAGGGTTGGACGGAAAATAGAAGCAACCATAGAGGGAAAAGTGCCTAAGAAATTGACACCGAAAAATCTTTAGATTTCGTACTCTGTTAGATATGTTCGCTTGGCGCGAAATGGATACACATCCCTCTGTTCGATAATGCTGTCTATCTAGCGATCTACCTCCGTATCATGCATTCTGCACCACCTCTTGGAAGACACCAGCCGGACCCCACGATTGTGAAAGCAGCACGCGTACGGTCACCATCTCTCAGCGTGGACGCACGCACACCAACTGAGCCATAGAGTACCACTCCACGATGCGAACACAGAGTCGTGTAAAAACACGAACACAAAGGCAGAGTGACAGTACACGACCGGAGAGGTGTATGGGACTGGTAATGCATCTTCTAAGTTCTAACTAATGGCGATGCCTTGTCATGGTCCTGTCCTCCGCAAAAACTTTGTTCATCCAGAGTTCATGTCCACGGCGAGGGTAAGATAGCGATCTTGGCGTCATTGACGACCATGGTCTGATTAGTAATGCCTGTGGCGTTGGAGTCATTGTCCTGACTGTGAAGCGTTCAGCACAGTCACTACTCTCCTTTCCTCAGGAAATTGACGTTTCTCTTTCGGTGAGATTGTCCATGCGTTCTGCGCAATTGCCTTCCAGACACTTACCTCAGGAAAGTGTAGCAGAAGCATGAGATATTTTCGAGGGGGAAATGAAAGGAGCGCACAGATATTCTCCTGCACGTTAGGTGCAGTCTACATTATCACTCACTCACAAAACTATAACCCGCGTTTATATCAACTTTCAGTACAAACAATAGGAGGGCAGAGAAAGTGTTTTTACTCCGAGTTTCAAGCACTAAGCGATCATCTGATGATCGCTTTAGTGCGTGAAACTCGGAGTAAAAACACTTTCTCTGTCCTCCTATTGTTTGAACCAGCTCTACCTCTCGGTATTGAGCCCTCTCTTCGACAGCCTGGAACCTCTCTGTTTTTCAACTTTCAGTACATGTAGTCACAGAATTTTCGATAAAAAGGTGATGCCTTTTCGACTGTACATTCGTTACTAAACTGTGGATGAGAAACCACGGACAGAAGAGCGAAGTACTCGATATCCACGTTCGGTATGTGTTTGTAGTTTGGGTCAGAAATAGTATTCTAGAGGAGCAAACCAGCGATACGGTGACAAGCTACATGTACATGTAGGTGTATGGTGAAAGTTCTGGCTCAACGCTGAACGGATAGGTATTTCAATTCGCGCTTCTAGTGTTCAGACTAAGAGGTTCGTGGCGAACAAACGTCAACAGAAATAATCCCAGTGTACAATGCAGGAATTTTCCACAGAGATGCGTTAAGTTCCTGCATTCGTCTGTACGAGTACCCCACGAGGCCTATTCACCATCAGCCCACAGCCCACAACGTACAGAGCACAATCCACGCCACAACACACACACACACACAACACTGGACATTACTCAAGGACATTACCTCTATTGCTTTCTCCACATCACCCATGGAGAGACTGCACGTGGCGGCGTTGAACTGCACAGCACTGGTGACATAATCCATGGAAGAGAAGGTCTCCTCGGCCTGGGCAAACTCTCCTTTCTCGAACAGGCTGATCGCCTCACTCCATATGGCCGTGTTCTCGCGCACATGGCGCGCAATGTTCCGCTTACGCTGCGCCACGGGCATGTTGGACTCCTTCAGAAAGACACCACAACAATACTACTACCTAGACTCGTGTCGAAGTTGATTTGAACCAAAGAAGTCTCCACGGCCAAAGGCCGCCGTCGTCTCCGCTCCTTGCTAAACGGATTTCTCTCTCGCTCTCGTCCTCCAACTGAAAGCGCCCACTTGTGTAGCTACACAAGTTGCCTTTCGAAAACTTCACACGCTGTACACAAGCTGCCTGAGTTCCTCAAGGACACCTCATCGGCTCTCCACTCGAAAAGGCGCTAGCACTCCAAGCAACGGTGGGTGGCCACCACCAATATTTAGCACCTTTTGTCCAGCAGCTCCCACTGACTGGGGCAAGGACGTGTCGATCAGTGTGGCTCCTCTCACCCTAATCGTCCCCTCCCAGGACTCAGGAGCATAGGAATCAGAGGGAAACTCCAGCACTTGCTGTTTGCGCAAGGGAGCGCATATCCATCATGAAACTACAACGTGTCACAGGACAAGGCTTCGCGCCGCTTCGCCATTGCGTCAAGCGTACAGGGGAAAGATAGTGTAGGTCTCAGACACGGAGTCAACCTTGCATAGCCAGGCAGAGTAGTGCTACCCAGCTGGGCAGTGATTTGCTGTGCGCTTGCGCAACTTTGGACACTTCGGATAGGCCACCTATCCACTCGCATGATGAGGTCGCAGAGCGGTTTCGGTTACACTTGCGCTTTCCGTCAGAACGCATTCATCAGCTTGACAGTGCAGCCATCACCGTGCTGCACCTCGGCAATAGCCAGCACCACCACCAGCACTAACACTAGCACTACAATTGTAGGTCCCTCGCATCAGCCGTGGCAAGTTCAGCGGTAGCCCTTGCCCGCTGCTAATGCAGTAATGCCTGTAATGCCAATGGACACCACCACGGCACCAGGTCCTAGTCGATGTATACTCTGCAGTAGTGGAATGTGTGCTGAGAAGAGTGTGGTGGTTGCAGGATGCATACAGCGGCAACCAATCATGACTTAGCTTAGATACTGGTCGGAAGGTCACCGGTGACGGGTAGTGCCTGGCACGATGCTCAGTCGTGATCGATATCAGGTGGCTGTACTGGTCCAAGGTGCTGAGCTTCTAGATGCATGGCGGTGCATGGGTACAAAGAGCAACGACGCGTGAGAAAACAACCGCCATTAGCGCTTGCACGCCGCACACTACCAACCTAGCCAGTGAAGCTGGGCAAGATTACGAAAGAGTTTATTTTACTATCATAGTCCTAGAATATAAACGCGTGGGCAAGACAGAGAGAGAAAGCAGAAGAGAGACGTCGACCTCGGCCTCCTTCCAAACAGAATGTTTGTCAACAGACCGACCGCACGCCACGACCACAGCGCATGCGTTCTTTGCAATGGCCCACGTGAGTAACCAGGGGACAATTGCACGAATATGGTACTGGACACACTTTATCAACTGTCTCCGAACATAAACTGCAATAATAACTGCAGTCTCCGAACACTGTACACTGTACACTGTCTGTAGGCGTACAAGCCGATTTTCCGACAGGTAATACAGCACTAGAGCATGTATACACAATATTCTGCCATCTCTTGTTCACTGATAGCCTGTAGCCTTGTGTATCTTGTGCATGATTGCTTCAACTGATCGGCTATTATGTGCTGTGCATGCGTATGTCAGCGAGGTAACTCTGTCGCTCTGCACGCCAATTCCATGGTACACTATCCTGGCTTGTGACAGCTATGGTTGGTTGGTTGCTTGGTTTATCTATTTTTAAATCGCACAATAAACGAGAACTACAGCCCATACATTGGAAACTGGCACCCTAACTTTTTGGTGTCTCCCACACATAGTTGTAGATATCGTGAAAACAACAGTACATCCTGCATTGTGTGATCCGTGCAATTACTCCTTGTAGGCCCAGTGATATAATGGCGAATGGACAAGCCGCCGCATTTAGAACTGAAAGGAAAGGAATTTGTCGAGGCTACAGATTATTACGAAAGAGAAAGGATCGTACCGAGGAGTTATAAGCTCAGGGTATTGGACTATCGCCTGTTGCAATATTATCCTCAGTGTACATGGGCATCGGCGAAAGGCCGTCGTCACCCAAACACGTACGTTTATCGCTTGTTCGGGGAACTTGGGAGGGACGATGAACATAGAGCCCCGCGTTACTGTTAACCTTATGACCACTGTTATGTGGTTGACCCTTGAGATATAATTATATCATGGTGTGATAAAAAACATTCCGAGATCAGGTTTTCACCCGAAATATTAGAAGTCGCGCCTCAGCTCGGCGTACACGAGAATCCAGCCGTAGACTGATACTACATACATGATTGTACTTCTACTAGTACATACAAAAAGAATAGAATGGGATACGGAGCTTGGGTTGGCTGTGACTCAGAGTTTCACGCCTGTGGCGATCATCAGACAGCAATGATTACAAAAACTCAATGAATGTTCTTGATAATTATAGTGTGGTAAGGTGCTAACAGTTAGTGGTATCAGAGAATTTAGGCGCAAATACGGTCAAGCGGTGATTCTATGCATGTACTTGCAAGATCAGCGCCAGACATCATGTGTAATCCTGGTTTATGTAACTGGACGTGTGAAGTTAGATAGGTGGAATTTGTACATACAGGTACCACAACTGAGCTACCATTCCATGCAGGCTATTGTTTGCCGTCGAAGTGTAAAGCGATCCTTCCAAGCGCCCGTCCAACACGACGCATACGGACACAAGGCCGAGCGGGCAATGGCGCCAGACGCAACGCAGCAATAATGATCTTCACGTCTCGGTCAACGAGGCTAATGGACGGGGCCCGAATGCGTTGGTTTCCCAGTTAGCACGAGCATCCTCCAGAAGGATTGAGGGATGGCCAAGATGAACGGGTGTTCATCGAAGCGCTTTGTAAGAGCAGGTGGTGACAATGGCCCGATACTGCGGTTGAAACGTGATAGTAGAATTGTTCTTTTCAGAATTGATTACCTGAAAAGTCGCCCATGATAAGCTGAAGGAAGTTGAGTTGTTCTGGCACCTGATACAATCACATAAGAACTGTTTATGTTTTCAATCAGCATTGAGCACCGTTCTAAAGGAGATGTACTGTATACGGACTTGTAGAAGATGGCTGGGTATTTTGAACTATTTCTTTCCCCCGGCTGTGAAGCGATCTGGTTCGTCTTGCATACATTGAGAGGACGGCATGAGATTGGTAAGCTGTAAACGGGTCGCAAATACTTCGAAGTACATAGGCGGGTGCAATCGGCTCTTCTTATCCCCCCACCCCGTCAATATTCAGGTGGAGTGGGTGACGGTACTGTTTGCACCATCATTGCGGACACGTATCGTGTGTTGTCAACTATATTCATAACAGCATAACATTTTTACTATCTGCGTGCATAGCACTCAATGTGTTGTGATATTTTGCGTTACGTCCGCCCGATTGGTTCGTTGGACGTTGTGCAAAGTACTAGTACACATTTTTACACTTGTTTTTAAACTTTGGAAGCGGAAGGATGGTTTCCAGCCGTGCAGCGACCCACAGTTATTGGGAACTCGTGGCCTGGCACGAGGAAAACATGGATGCAGTGAATGGGATTTTCGGTCTTTGACCACTTGCTGGTGAGCTGATCTACTCACCTCCCACCGCTTTAGGAGCTGCATCTGCGCCTTGATCCTTGAAGGGTGGTGGCGTTCCTACGGATGCGGAAAGCCCGGCTTCCAGCCGAGTCTCACGCGAACCGTGAATTTTTTTATAAACTTCGAAGTATTTTATGGGAGGGAAAAGTCACTACTACTGTACCTTGTTTACTTTCTCAGTGTCTTTTGGTGGTCTTTTTTGGATTGCTGCTGTGGAATGCTCAGCCTACGTATGAACCAGCATCGAGAATGTGAAGCTCATACCTGTCACTGGCTTTGCAGGAAAAAGATCCCTCCAATAAACGGCGGTAGATGTTGATGCATTTTTGAGTCAGTTTGTAGCCATAGAAAAAGGTCATCAATTCTGAACCAGCAACAGTACAGTTTCAAGCCTGATCTCTTGCGGGAGGTATCCCCAATGGCATAATTTGACTTAGAAGTGATTTATTCTGGATGCAGAATGCGCACTCTTGTTGCCGAGAGGATATCTGCTTCTTCAGCCGCCATATTGCGTTAACCTCCCACTGCAGATAGCGACTTTCATGATCAGATCAGTTTTTGCCATTCGCACAGATTGCCATTGTGAGATTCGAGATTAAAAATAGTTTAAATTACCCATGAAGCAAGAATGAAAAATCTCACTGGTTAGGAGAGCCGTGTAAAGCCAACAAATGTATGCCTGACTGTATGCCGAGGAACTTGAAAAAATTAAAGTAATCAACCAGTTTCATACAACACTACAACTTTCCCATTGGCAGACATCTGTAGCGTCCCTTTAGAAGCAAAAGCATATTAATTTCTTAGGATTTCAAGGGTCAGGAAAAAAACACAGATACAGGCACTTTTGTGAACAATCCAAGGAAAACAATGAAGAAGCTTTGCAGTCAGTTTTTCAGCGTTTACAAAAATCGGAACTAGTGGGAACCCTGCAGTTCTTAGACAAATTAAAAAAACATGTGACAACATTAGCGCAATACAACTCAAGGTGGTGCTAGCGGAAATCGATTTCAAATCAGAAAGTCGAATGCAGAGTTAAGGCGACACAAGGAAAACACAAGTTCTGTATTTAGGAATCTCTCTGCACGTGAGTGTTTCTAGTGTTTCAACAACGAGGTTTACATATATGTAATTTGGCCTGGGGTAGGTTCGACCGGTTTGATGGCATTCGCCGACAGCGTTTTCCGTGGCGATTGTCGAGTGATAACTCTCTTTGGCAGCCCGATTCCCTCTTCTCTTGTCGTTGACCCGGTAGTGGAGAGGCTGAATACATTGCTAGCGCTGCGGTGGTGACGTTTCTCTCCAGCAGACCCTCCACTGCTGCGACCAACACTCTGCGTGGACTTCATCTTGCCCAGCGCTTTGTGTTGACTGGAGCTCTCAGCCTTATCCACATCGGAAGCTGAAGGAATTAAGCAAACAGAGATACCCACAGAAAGACAAGTTGTTAGACAACCGGAAACTATCTCTCGACTAGGACTGGCATAGTCAATCTTATGCAGAACCACAGTGACAGGAAGTGAATATTGTACAACAACTAGAAGTGCATATTTCTGCAGCATCAACACTAGCAGCATGAAGAAAAGAAAGAGTGAGCCAGAGGGAGAGAAAGAGAGAGAGAGAGGGAAAGAGAGAGAGAGAGTGTGTGTTTGTGTGAGAGAGATATGATATTATGTCCAAACAAACCTTGTAGGTTTCGTATATAGGCATAAGAGACAAAGAGAGGCACAGAAGGCAAGAGATAGATCGAGAGATAGAGAGGGAGAGAGAGACAGGGAGAGAGAGAGACAGAGGGGAGAGAGATAGAGAGACAGAGACTGAGAGAGTATAATGATGGATGGATAGAAAGAGAGAGAGAGAGAGAGAGAGAGAGAGAGAGAGAGAGAGAGACAGAGAGAGAGGGAGAGAGAGAGAGAGAGAAGAGAGAGAGAGAGAGAGAGAGAGAGAGAGAGAGAGAGAAAGAGAAAGAGAGAGACAGAGAGAGAGATAGAGAGAGAGAGGGAGAGAGAGATGAAGAGTGACAGGGGGAGACTGTCAGACAGCGATAGATAGAGCATATGTCACGGTATTATCGAAGCTTTTGTTGCAGGCAGTCCACCTACCCTTCCCATGTCTCACACAGGGTGGGACGAACACCAGCTTTTTCATTCTCACCTTTGTTACTTCCAAGCTTCATCAGCTCGCTCATGCTGCGCCGACGTACGTAGCTACTTCTCAACGAGCCACCTCTACCTGCAGCTGCCGGTCCGACGGCATTGCTGCCGTGTGGTAGGTGTAAAGCCGTCATGTCGGGTGAGGCGGATGTGGAGGAACAGAATACGTTGTCCTCGCTGTCGGCCGTATTGAGAAAGTCAGCACTTGCCGAGCGACTTGCCGGTTCCTGGATTTGCCGACCGTGTTCCAAAATATTCTCATAGTCATTCTGCTTGCGATCCTTGCTGCCATGACGGCCGAGGGTGAAAATATTCTCAAAGTTGTTCTGTCGGTTGGCGGCACTTTTCTTGTTTGATTTCTTAGCAGCTTTGCTGCTGCTGCCAGTGCTACCGGATGTCTTCTTAGTTGAAGTGCTGCTGCCCACGGCTAGGTCTAGCTCATGTCGTGGCTTCTGCATAAACATGCATGCCTATACGGAACAACAGGGAGCAGAATAACTACTCATAGGCACATTCAATACTGGAGGTGAATATCAGTTATTCTAACACTCTCATTTTTAGTTTGCAACTCTATGCAACACATACATGTACATGTATGTGTTGGACATCAACTGTGGTGGTAATGAAATCCTAGAACAAAGGTGTTGAGATACACGTGCTACTAATAAACATAGGAATGACTGAATGATCCATGTACAGGTGGGACTTCTTGTTCACTTGGCTTCATTGCGAGGCTGGTCGCTGTGGGGAGGCTGGTCGCTGTGCGCTCTGCTGATCAGATGAAAGATTGTTGAAGCAGCTTCATGAAGCTGTTCAGAGATAAACATGCCGCGCGTACACGTGCATGCAGCTTCACTCCGTAACGGTGCTGATGTCTATCAAGGGAATTGCACAGTTCGGACTGTGTAACCATAGCAACTGGCTTACCGGTGCTGTCACTCTCTGGTCATCGATGCGATCGCCTTGCATCTTCGTGATCATGGCGAAGAATTCCTTGTCCTCTGATTTCGCCTTGACGGGTCTCTGCAGTGTCGGTGTCTCTGGTGCCACACTATTCCGCTTGCTTAGGCGTGCTGAGTTCCTTAGCCTGGCAGGGATGATGACACAAACAGAGAGATTGTCAAGCTCAGATTTGGACGGAAAGGTCGGCCCTAGTCACTTTCTGTGTACACTGTACTTCCTGACCACCCCTTGGGGCCGGAGTAAGCGGTCTTTAGTGGCAGGTGGTCCTTAGTAAGAGGTTTGCACTGCACAAATAATTATGATATGAATGTGAAACCGTTCGTGCCTGGTGAAGTGGTCTTTAGTACCAGGCTGGTCTCTAGTCACGGTGGTCTTTAGTACCAGGCTGGTCTCTAGTCACGGTGGTCTTTAGTACCAGGCTGGTCTCTAGTCACGGTGGTCTTAAGTTAAAGGTTTTACTGTATATCGTTCTATGATCCTATTATACGGGTTGTGCACATTATGCCATGGTTCCCACCCATGCCCAGCAAGCCGACTCCACTATGGCCGCAAAGCATACATGTTGGGTTGGCAGATTAACTTATGTGTGCTAAGTAAAGAGGGCTAGTCAGGGGTTGCGAGTCCGGAGATTCACTTACCGGAGCTCAGTATGCAGCACAAGAAGTGGTTTCGCCTAAGCTAGTACTGTAAAACATGTAATTTAGGTGCATTAAAATTTCGGTGTCAGGGACCTGCCAGGTTTCAGGTGTAATGTAGAATTAGGTGACCAGCGTTCCCTTCACATACAGTGCATGCTCTAGTGCCTTTTAGGTGTAATTTAATTTTAGGTGCCTGTTTTCTCTACCGAAATCACCGAAAGTAAAGTTACACCGAAAATTACATGTTTTACAGTACATCGTCGCTGTGCCGTGGCTTTGCAAATCCATAGAAAACATCTCAACGGATGATTCACTTGCATCACCTCTACAGGGTAACTGCTAGCACTGTGAGTGAAATAATTATTTAGAATACATTCAAAAACCATGGACATAGACTATCCGCATTGGCCAGTGAATGCAGTGCTTCAAGATCACGCACGTTTGAAACCGCTTGAAGATGCTGGGCGTGAGTGGTCGGTTGTTGTCCTTGGTCGGTGTTCCCTGTTCGCGGTTCGCCTCGATCTTGGCCAGCTCTATGTCCTCGCTGATGGTGTCTGCCTGGACCTCGCGCACTGTGGAGTGCAGCTCCCTCTGTGTCCTGGACGAGTGCTGCTGAGCAGGTAGCATGGACCTACCCTGAGGGGTACTAGGTGCAGTCATATCTTCATCAAACTCCACCGAGAGTGCATCGGATGACGTAGAAATGACCTGCGTGAACGTTAGGTGACATAAACAATTGGATTGAGTTTAAAAATATTCCCAGGCATTCTTACATACATGACTTGTGATAGAAGTAAAGAAGGTATGTGTCTCACAAATCGCCATATTTCAGACACAGATGCATTCTGCCTTCCCTACTCCTGTCTGACTTAGGAGAGTGTATGCCAATTTTATGTAATGTGCAAATTTCACACCCATATATTTACACTGAAACTCTCATCAACACCCACACAGTTACAGACAGATAGACGGACAGACAGGCAGACAAACAGTCCCATACACCCACTTCTACCACACGCACGCACGCATGCACCCCCCCCCCCCCCACCCCACCCCCTCCTCCCACCGACACAAACACACCCGCTCACCCACCCACCCACCGCCACAGACACACCACCACACACACACACCCATACTCCCTCCCCCCCCACCCGCACGCACCCCCCCCCCCCCCACCCACCCACACACACACACAAGCAAACACAGGCACACACATTATACACGTGATACGTCTTGTGGTCATACATGATTACTCACATTATCACGGATCTCATGCACCATTTCATTGATCTCATCATTGTCCATGCCGCAGTGCAGTGACTCCAGCCACTGGGCTAGATCTGAGTAAGCAGAGGAAGTATTGAAGTTAATCTCCTTGGTTGATACGAGGAGGTAGGGGTGGGTTTGGGATGGGGAATCAAGTGGAGTGGTAACCAATAAACTATTTGCCACTGAGCTCTGTTTGTACAATCCACTCCATTCGTTTTGCAGCATGGCGTGTTTTGAGTCTCACTCAGTGCTGACCAGTGCTACGGACACAAGAAAGAGTCGATAACGCCAAGAGTGTGCAACTCTCTGGGCTATGGGCGCTCTGTGAGGCCCATTGCCTCCTGGCTACGTAGTGAGATGAAGAGCAAGCTGCCTGCTTGTGAGTGTTCCTACAGTGCTGGCAACTGAAATCCGACCCCCTGGGCGGTGCGTTCACTTTCTAGCGGCCTCTATTTCGTAGTGTTTCGATGTGAGCGCACCGCTCAGGGGGTCGGATTTCAGTTGCCACCACTGTACTTTTGGCAGCAACACGTGCAATACGGTAAGTTTAAAGCACAGCAGCACACTGTCAGCAACATCATTTAAAAGAGAGAAACAGACAACATGGCTCAGCCTTAGTGGAAGGCACACACACGCACGCACGCACATACACAAACAACCATGCACACACATTCGCGTCTCCCATACACATATCGCATGCAAGATGCAAACAGAAATGCCTTGTTTGATAGGACAGAACAGGGGAATAGAACTACACATTTGAGTTCACTTCCTTCTTACCGTTGCCCTGCAATGGACAGGTTGGAAGAAGAGCTAGGCGAATAGTGACAAGCAGCAGTTTGACACTTGTTAGCTGACAACGCTGACGACTAGGGCTTGGCTGGTCATGGCTACCACCGGCTTCTTCAATGCATGGTGCTAGTTGATTGTTCCACAACTCTGCCAGCCAACTATAGGCACAAACATATGCATGCCACAAGACAGACACATACACACACACACAGATACAGACACACACATACACACACACACACACGCACACACACACAGACAGAAAAACATATACACAGACACACAGACAGGCACACAGACAGACACACAGACAGACATACACATGCAGAGAAGCACACATCAACACACTGACTAACACAATGAGACAACAGAAGCAACATGACTAGAACAAGAAGGGCGGTGTGAAATTCTTATACCCTAAAGAGAGTTTACAGGGTTGGATGATTACAGGACATGGTGCCAACTGGTTAGAGAGGCAGTATGCCACAAATACCGAGGTGGAGATACAGTAACTAACTATCAATCATATTCACACATATCTGCTGGACGAGTACGCATGGCCTATGCAATATAGGGATCCACGAATTAGGGATCAGCATGCATTCCATCAGACAGCAACGCAAGCAAAGAGAAGCAGATTGTTTGCGTGCACACAGGTGCAGCAGAAAACACAGCTAGCATACCGAAGCGGACTCTGGGAATGTAGAGATGTATTTTTTTTTTTTTTACAAAATCCACATTTCTCCAGACACTGGGGTGAATGTTGGAGTGTGGTGGTGGGGCCCATTAAGCTCCGCGTATACAATCAACTTTGCGTATTACAACACTCGGCGGGGCATCAGAAAAGTGTCCTTTTTCGCAAAGTGTCCTCATGCCCAATGTCTCATTATATTATGTATTACAGTGGGATGGGACTTTGCTCTGTGCATGGAAATTCTGTTGTTATTCGCGAATTGTCGTTATATCCGCAGTCGTTATTAGCGAAGTTGACTGTGTCAATGATCACAATACCATACCTTGCTACTGCTGCCGGGTCGGATGACTGAATCGGGCAGGAAAAGAAGACGTTTGGTCCTGCAGGTAACAACCAGATACGCACAACATCTCTGCTGAAATCAGCTACTAGTACAGCTAACGTGACATGAATCTTGAGAAGCCAAGTGAGGCTTCAGTGTGATGAATGGATTTGGGATTCCAATCGAAGGTCTGAAGGGAAGCTGTGTGTGTACACGCTAGAGGGAAACGCGAAATCACTGCACACGGCATAAAGCCATCACTGCACACGGCATAAAGCCATCACTGCACACGGCATAAAGCCATCACTGCACACAGCATAAAGCCATCACTGCACACAGTATAAAGCCATCACTGCACACAGTATAAAGCCATCACTGCACACAGTATAAAGCCATCACTGCACACAGTATAAAGCCATCACTGCACACAGTATAAAGCCATCACTGCACACAGTATAAAGCCATCACTGCACACAGTATAAAGCCATCACTGCACACAGTATAAAGCCATCACTGCACACAGTATAAAGCCATCACTGCACACAGTATAAAGCCATCACTGCACACAGTATAAAGCCATCACTGCACACAGTATAAAGCCATCACTGCACACAGTATAAAGCCATCACTGCACACAGTATAAAGCCATCACTGCACACAGTATAAAGCCATCACTGAACACAGTATAAAGCCATCACTGCACACAGTATAAAGCCATCACTGCACACAGTATAAAGCCATCACTGCACACAGTATAAAGACTGTGAATACAGGCTCTTCTTTCCATGCTGTTACAATTTATCTACGCTGTTACTTCTCGGATACAGCAGCGGAATATAGGTTTTTATGCCAAGAAGAAGGACACACTTCAGGCTCTTGAACTTTTCGAATACATTTATAGGAAACCCCGGCAAAAAAAATGAACACATGGTGTCTCACCTAGCACTAGCTGACTATAGCCAAGGAAAGTGAATAGCTTGTTGATCCTCTGCCATACATCATTGATCCAGGCAATGCACTGTTCTTGACCAGACGGCAGCTCTGCTCCTGATCCGGTTATCATTGCTACATCACTGACATACACAATAGCAATATAGCAGAATGGATGAATATCTATTGCCGGTTTGATTGCCAAGTATCATCTCTGGCTTGGGGGGGGAGGGGGGGGGGATGTATGACTTGGGGTTGGCGCTACATTGGTAAGGCAAAGACAATGAAAGAAAGCAGGTAAAAATGATGTCAAACTCATTGATAGGGCCTACACAGGGTCAGAATTAACTAAAGGGCGCCTTTACTTTCAACTTTGCTACCGTTATCTCTGGACCACATCGTGGGCTTCTCTCAGCATTCATTATTGTGATTTCGTTTTCGTGTGAAACTCGGCTAGAGGCCAAGTATTCCGCATCCGGAGGAACGTCACCATCCTCAAGGATCAAGGCGCAGATGCATCTCCTAAATCGACGAGAAGTGAGTAGATCAGGTCCACCGCCAAGTGGTCAAAGATAGAAAAACCCAATCGCTGCATCCATGCTTCCCTCCTAGCCTAAATCAAGGGCTCTCCTAGGATACGTGAAGCAGAAATCACTACATGCAGGCCATGCACTACCGACCTGCTGCAGGTGTGTGCGTGAACATCGGCTGCTCTGGCAATGACAAGTTGGCGCTGTAGATGCCGCTGAAGCTGCCCGCCGAGCGGCTCAACGTCCCAGCGCCATCGGATGTGGAAAAACCGGTGCCAGCTGCGTGGGTCCAGACCGATAGGGCTGTTTGCAAGTAACACAGGGGACACACAAACACCCAGTGGTTAGTTTCATACACAAACTCAATACAGTCAAGCTTGCGAATAGCGATGATCGGTCATGCATGATAAAAGTGTCGTTATTCACGAGTTGTTGTTATACCCGAGGTTGGCATTCACATGCATGATTGCATACTTGAATTGCTAAGTCTTGATGCTTTCACTGGCCAGGGGCAAAGCCGTGGTACTAAACAACTGCCAAGAGCCATGGAACCACAGAACATGTTTGCTAGGTGAGATACTGTTGTGGACCTCGACGTCCGTTGAGAAGTCAATCGGGCACGTGGCGCTGGCCTTGCAGCCGTGAGTACTGCTGGTCCGTTTTTACAGTGTATACCGTCAGGCGAAATTACTGGTCAGTCGGCGACACGCATTTTTCACAAAAAATTGCGTTTCACCTGCTGGGAGAGTGCGCGTGTACTCGAGTCTCATCCTGAGCACGTTTTTTTCTTTCTTTTTTCAGCTCCAGTATAGCTGTATTTTTCATTGCAAAGCCGTCCTCGATTGTTGTGTTCGTTATTCAAACGAAGTGGACACTCAATCATGAAGGCAGAGGACATAGGAGCCTGAGTGGAGTTTCTCGTGGCATAGGACGGCCACACAGAGACACTTTGGGATTTTCTGAATATAAAATACCGTACGCACGATGCTGAGATCAATTTGTGCGATATCAAATTGTTTGTGATCTACCACATCGAGCAGAACGGGATCCAAACACAAGCTTACCGACGGTTAGGCTGCCGACCTGACTGGACAAATGATCCCTGGCTTCACAAGGCGCCAGAAGTCGGACACCATGTCCTTTGCCGCGACGTCCATCTCCAAAAAGAACTCCATCTTCGTCGTGAAAAGGCTTGAAATACTCAATATTCAACCGAGATTCGCGGTCTCACCCTTTCTCAGATCGAATCATATTTTGTTGTAGCAGTTGCAGGGCAGATCACCGCCACTACTTCAACAGAAGATGGCTCCAAAGCATGTCTGGAACAAGCCATATCGAGGTTGCAAGCCACCCCTCTCAGCACTTTTTTTGAAGAAATTCGAAATTTCAATGGTGGAAGATATACTATGAAGAGAATTTCAAAAAGTATGTTTCGCGGAGCGATCGCTCAACCTACATCATTAAAACTTTGCAGGATGGTTCAGACGTACATGCTAGGCATGGAACCACAGAAGATGATATCATAGCTGACACACAGAGTCACACACACAGCAGATTCGTGTGCACAGATACGAAATTAGTGGACGTCGTCATCTTCTTCCCGCTGATCTCAAATGTACTATGACGTGCTATTTCGCCTGACGGTGAGCTACAGTGCGTGTACGCGCTAAAGGCCCTGGTCATTCCACCAGATTCCAATGTACACAACAGTAGGACACAACTGCAGAGTTGTGACCAAGATCTAAGCATACACTTGCAAGTACGCCAAACATGTTTATTCGGACAGGCTTACCCAGTCGTATCCAAGGTAACCATGAGGTGCAACACCCCGACAAGGCGGTACAGACCGCCTGGCAGTGCGCCCTCGTTCAGCCACAGAGTCTGATCGCCGTGGAGACAGCTGAGCAGTTCGCCCAAACCATTCTGTATGGACTGTGCTGAGCTGCTCTCGACAACCAGTATGCAGTGACGAGGCGGCGGTGATTGCCGTGAACTTGAAGTGGCGGAGCGATCACCACATGTCTCGTAGTCTTCCTCAACCAGCATACCTGTGCACACCAGCACACACATTCACATGCACACATGTGAACACACACGTACAATAAAACCTGTGACTAACGACCACCCCTTGGGGCCAGAGAAAGCGGTCTTTACTGGCAGGTGGTCCTTAGTTAGAGGTTTGCACCGCACAACCATACAATAAAACCTGTGACTAACGAACACCCCTTGGGGCCAGAGAAAACGGTCTTTAGTGGCAGGTGGTCCTTAGTTAGAGGTTTGCACCGCACAACCATGATTATAGGAATGTGAGACCGTCCGCGCCTGGTGAAGTGGTCTGTAGTACCAGGCTGGTTGCTAGCTACGGTGGTCTTTAGTTACAGGTTTACTGTACAAAAGAGAGTGATGTCTACTAGCAGAATACCATGATCATGAACGTCGATGAACCACCAAAAGACACTAACACTAACTTTGACTTCTTACACCACCATAATCGTATATTGTGATATAAAGCAAAGACTCTCTGCCGAACAGAGTTCTCTCATCTTTAGTTGGACTTACGACTTACCTGTTCTGTGCAGCATTTTTAGTATCCTATCCTGTTCACCGTGCTGTCCTCGCAAAGAGCAACCCAGCATGTCCACCTTCACCTTTTCTGCCTTCAGTGCACTCTGCAAGTCATACAGATATTACGCATGGGAACAAGTCAACATCCACACAAGTTCACATAGTCATTCACAGAAGTGGAGCCAGTTACATAATTCACATACACATCAGGTTAGTGAGAAGCAATTTCGAGCAGCTTCATCTGTAGAAAGTAGTTGGGTGGACACACCCATTCCCCAAGCGCTGCACAAGACCGACCCAATTCTTACCGTACCGTTTCGAAAATATTGCCATTTGTCAGGTAAGAGTGAAACAATCATTGATTGAACTGGTATGTGGAAGTCCCTTGATGTGTACATTAAATTTTGTGCACAGTTGCACGCTACATCTCTCCGACTTGCCGTGAAAGTGCAGGCAAAGTCTCATTCCAAATTTTTGGACTGTGCTGTGTTGCTATCAGTTAAGATAAATCGTACGGGTTGCTCATCTCATCAATGTCAACATTTACCCTTGTCAGCTAAGGAGAGTACACATGGTCACAAGTACTTACCAAAAGGCACCGGGCAAGGCTTGTGGCAATCTCGGATTTGCCGCATGCAGGCGGGCCACTGAACAGTACCTTGCCTTGTAGACGAAACTGCAATACGCCAAACAACACAATAGAAATGTTAGTGTCAGCATTTCAATGGCAGAGAGGTTATTGGGAGAGTGTTCTTATGAGCGAGTTCATACATGACTTGACTAAATGCACTCCAGCAGTATAGGGAAGGTTAGACCAGGACCCACCGTTGACCAAGAAAGATAACCATGCCCCTTTCTGACACTGTATGTAACATTTAACTTCCCATGCCTTAGTCAATCCTGGAAGAATACTCTAATTTCAGAAACGTTCGGTGCTCAATATTTTCGGTATGAGAGCAACAGGCCAGGTTAGGTGAACAGACATTTTAGGTACAAGAAGCAGTTCCCTATTGGATTATGTGTCTTAGTGTTTGTTCGGTGTATTGAAATTTTAGGTATATAACAGACGCACCGAAAGCACCGAAAATAAAAGTACACCGAAAATTTGTGAAATTACAGTACATAGTTATACTGCTGTGGACATTGAGATCCTATGGGATAACTGGGGCCGGCGTCCCTACAGCCTTAGCACATATATGCATTGTAGTTCACGTACACACTGCAAAAATGCACCAACAGTGCTCTCGGCTACAAGGCCAGCGGCCCGTGCCCGCTTGACTTCTCAACGGATTTTAATATCCACAACAGTAGCTAATAATACCTTGTCAAGATAGGACCGGAGGGTGTTCATTGGTATTAGTGTCTGGTAGCTGAGCTGATCAAGACGACCTTCACCGATGCCTGCAGACAGAGAATAACAGAGAATGACACCAGCAGGAACAGCGTTCAGGAATGTGTTGCAAAAAATGGCATCGGGCAACGGCCCAGACGCCAGAGAAGTCTACGGAACGGCTATTTATAGACACTACACACTCTACTTAGCTGAAAACAATGTTTTTTTTCACATTGCTGGGTATGTCTGTGCTGTTTCCTCTCGCCCTAAACATCAGTACTTGCCTAGCTTGTCTGCACAGGCTAGACAGAGGTATATAAAACGAAAATGTCATTGTTCGAGTGAGACTCTGCTAGAGGCTGAGTTTTCCGCATCCGTAGGAATGCCACCACCCTTCAAGGATCAAGGCGCAGATGCAGCTCCCAAAGGGGTGGGAGAGGTACATAGGGAGTATTCAAATTGCAGTCCATACAAAGAAAGTCGGCGCGGTTTAAACTACGAAGGTCAAATTATCGGTGGTATTGAGGTAGAGGTCTGTCGTTCGTGACAGGAAGTCTGGGTGCGGCTTATACTCCGGAAAATATGGCAATCGCATAACCTCTAGAGCATACATTAGACTCCATGGGGCTACATGTATGTGTACACAGATCTAACATACCCTTTAGGGACACAGTGATGCTCTTCTCCTCTCCAAAGAGCTGGTATGGTGATGTGCCCGCGGCATCGTTGATTCCTTCATCACTGGGTAGAGTCTGGGCATCCGGTCTCCACTTCTACGAAAGAACACAAGCAAACACAAGTAGCAGTATGATATATCACTCATAATGATGACATACAGCCAGGATATTGTACTTCGGATGACATCATAGCCTGTCATGGGAATTCATTCACATCTTTCTGAGGAAGAGGGGAGGGGAGTGGCGAGGGGGAGGGTAGTGGAGAGGGGGAGGGGGAGGGGAGAAGGAGAGGGAGGTGATTAAAACATAATTTTTTGAAAGAACCTACAGTTCATACCTTATCCTGTCCAGCTGAGTACATTCTGACTGAGTCCACGCCTAGGCCAATGTCGCTGGCATACACAGTCGATGCCTTCAGCTGGCCAGCTGTCGGTAGTACAACATTACTGCCACTGCTGGTGTTACAACAGCTTCCAGCGCTGTTAGCCGTGATTGAACTACTCCATGATGTTATGGACTTTAGTGTGGCAGTTTTCACCACCGGGTCATGTGTACCAACGGCTAGGTGGCTGGCCTGCAGAACAAAACAAGGGAGCCGAGTAGGATGATGATGTCACTCTACTTACTTCAGTTGAAACCTGGTTTCCATGACAACTCACAACACTGGCCTATCGTGGTGTTTCAACACGTGGTCTCTGAAACCAGGTTGACCCTTCCACATTTCCCATATTCAGTGGAAGAACATAGTGGTCCTTCAGCCAAGGTGGCTGCTGAAACCAGGTGGCTGCTGAAACCAGGTGGTTGCTAAAACCGGGCGGTTGCTTGAGCCAGCTGGTCTGTTGACCAGGTTCATCAGCAGTGTACTAGTAGTGCAGTTTTTCCAACTAAAGGGTGTTCCTTGCTGTTGTGCTTAGCCTTGCAGATGTACCAAGGACACACAGGTCTGTCTAAAAAAAGGCCTATCCCAGGTTTGATGAAATTCACTGTCTGCCATCAAAGGAAAGCCAATAGCGTCAGATAATCCTACAGCACACAAAGTTTGCTTACTGGTGGTATGGCTCGATGCTGCAGACATTCCGTGGGCAGAGGTTGCGAAACAGACTTGCATATAGCTGACAAGTGCCTATCAAGTGTCTTCCACACATCCGTCTCCAGCCTAGACCAGCTTGTTCTTCTGGTGATTGTGACCGTTCCAAGATTGATGCTTGTGTCTCCTTGCACACCTGCGGAAAGAAATGATAAAGATTACAGTTCGCATGACACTCGGTCACACAGAGGTTTCCGCATCCATAGGAAAGCCATCATCCCGTGGGATCAATGCGCCTACGCAGCTTCTAAAGCGGACCCGTGGATGGTGTGGAACAAACAACCTAGGCATGCCCGCCGGTGCAGCTAAATGATGTCACACATAGAGTCTGGCGTATGCTGTAAAAGGACTGGCTTATTTTCTGACTGTCTGTCCGTCTGTCTGTCAATCTCGCCTGTTGCTTGACCATGAATAACTGGGGAGCATTTGGACACCAGATGGTATCTCAAATATTCCTGCTATGCTTTCAATGACACCCAACATCAGATACAGGCTAAAGAACTACCCGAGACTTACCATATCCCTGTCCACTGTTGAGATAGGGAAATTGTAAGACGACGTCTAGCTCGCACGCACACTCATCTATGCAGTGAGAAAGCAAAGACAAAGTGCAGGAGCAAAACATGCCCTCAATACCACCATTCATTACACAGCGGATTGCGACAGGAATATCAAGACACAAGACCTGAAAGCAAGTACAAAATCATTAGAAATGAGGATAGAGGATGGGGTGAAAATCACAACATCATTATACTCTGTCAGGGAAAATTTTTACAAGGAGTGCAACTTTATTCCTCAAATATCTTTGCGGGGATACAAATGCTAAGGAGAAAATTGGACACGTCAATCGTCACTGAGCTCACCTTGCCGGTAGGGCAACCTCAAAAAGGATATTGAAATGTGGTTATTCTTGATATAATTATTAAATGTAAATATACAAAATTTCAGCAGCTTTTCAATTTCGGCTATATTCGGCACTGACCCAAAACGCCCAAATTACAACGCCGATGAAATGTTTCACAAGTCTCGTTGTGGAACTGACCCTATACCTCGTGCCAAAAATAAATAACGGTGGTACAGTAAAAGCTGTCAAGGCGACCACTCGGATAAGGCGACCACCTGTCCACGAAGACCACTGAAACCAGGACCAAGGGATGCTATTTCCAGTCAATTGACCCTGGATAAGGAGACCACCTGGTAACAGAGACCAGGTTTTGAAGGTCCCACGAGCGGTCGTCTTAGACAGGTTTCACTGTGTATTAAATTTTACAGTAGATGCAAGGTCGCACCCCACATACCACATGCCACACACCACATGCCACACAGCACACTGCACACACCGCATGCCACACACCACATGCCACACAGCACACTGCACACACCGCATGCCACACACCGCATGCCACACAGCACACTGCACACACCGCATGCCACACAGCACATGCCACACAGCACACTGCACACACCGCATGCCACACACCACATGCCACACAGCACACTGCACACACCGCATGCCACACACCACATGCCACACAGCACACTGCACACACCGCATGCCACACACCACATGCCACACAGCACACTGCACACACCGCATGCCACACACCACATGCCACACAGCACACTGCACACACCACATGCCACACAGCACATGCCACACAGCACACTGCACACACCGCATGCCACACACCACATGCCACACAGCACACTGCACACACCACATGCCACACAGCACATGCCACACAGCACACTGCACACACCACATGCCACACAGCACATGCCACACAGCACACTGCACACACCGCATGCCACACACCACATGCCACACAGCACACTGCACACACCACATGCCACACAGCACATGCCACACAGCACACTGCACACACCGCATGCCACACTCTGCACATTGTACACCAGTTACCTATGCTCTCTTGACGCCGATCATGAGCTGGCGATATGCCAGTACTGTAATCTTCAGCTCCCAGTGCCTGCAATCACGTAGCGAACATGACCAACGAAGAGGATCAATAATGCCGGACAAGCCAAAAGACATGACAACACGCAATCTAAAGACCAGAAGCTTTTCACGCGTGAGGAGTATCATCATGCTGCATGACAGTTCATGGGTAGAATCAGCAACGCTTCAGTGGGAATCAGGCAAATTTTCACATCCATTGCTTTCTACAAGCTTCCAAACTAGCCTGAAGAATTCAATATGTTATTGCAGTTAATCAGGCAGAAGTCATTCAGATGAGACGTCATTTGATATATAAGGCTGATCCAAATCATCTTAAAATGGCTGACCACAGTCTTGATATGAGGAGGCTAGAATGAGGACAGTTGCATGAGTAGAAAACTCACAGAGTCTGTGCTACTTGGCGAGACAATGACGGTGGATTTCTGTGCTAATGTCAGGTCACTGGCAGAATCTGTCTCTGTTGTCTTGGAATGTCTCAGCTTCTCCAGACTAGTGTCGCCGTTCACTACACGTTGCAGAATCTCAATACAACGCTTATGACTTCCCAGACACGCGAGTAGCAATGCTTTCTTCAAGGCCTGGACCAGCAAGCAATACAAGCAAAACAAATGTTACACTCACGCACAGACACAAACACATCCACGCACCCGCACACGCAAACACACACACAAACACACACACACACACACGAACACACTTTCTATGTATACACGCTTTTGAGTAGAAAAGTAGTGTAGTAAAGTGCAGCATCACCCTTATCAAGGGGCCTTCGGAGAAAATTTCCAATGCTTTCACCGAAGTGTGACCATTATCACAATATCTCACTCACACACAGTGAAACGTATCCAGTACGTATTCTGCTGAGATGAACACTTGCTTACTACAGCCAGTGTCTGCGGTATCCATGACTGTATTGCCCAATAATTGATGACTGCTCGGAAAACAAATACCTCCGTACTAAGTAAACGTTTCTGTTTCTCCTGTGAGTACGTATAATCAGAGTTTCACAGCAGTTATCAGCAGTACACTTACCTGCTGTCTCTCAGCTGTGTCTGCAGTGTTCTGTAGTATGGTTTCCACACACGGTGCATGTCCATTCTTAGCCGATAGCTGCACAGCACTGAGACCCTGGGTGTCAAGCATCCATGGCTGCGCACCGTGACTCAATAGCTCCTGCACACATCTGCATCAGAGCGATACACACAATGCACAACACGCTAAGTTACGTATGAACAGACATAATGGTCTGAAATGAAATGGTGGTTTTTGATGAAATCGGACCTTGTTCATTTTTCAAATAGACATGGAACCCGTATTCAGTGAAGCAGCATGCTCTTTAGCTGGGTCTTTGTATTGCAGCGGTACGTACTTCGAAGTAACTTAGATGAGCGTACAAGCAGCACTCGCCCTTGAAGGTAAATATCACGTTCCAGTTTGCGTTTGCATTCTCATATTGCAATGCATTCTGACTATGGATTTCTGGCGCATTTATTCGCGTAAAAAAAGAGAATTGAAGGGGCAAAGAAAGTTTAAAGAAAGAATTGGCGTATCATGGCAAAGTGAACTAGCTAGCACTGGTCATTGTGCAGCCTTACTGCAGCACTGTCAGTGGTCTGGGTGCAGTGGACCAAGGGTGAGGGGTAACCTCTGGTTACGTTGCACGTCACCTATGATTCTGCCACATATACCACCATTATTTGCAGCACGGTTTTAGTATAAAACTGACATTTCAAAAACAGAAAAGAAAATGGAATACCCGGAATACCCTATCTCACATAGCAAGGCAGATTTTGGCCAATACTAGAGGAGCTCGAGTGCAGATTGCTTCACATAAACCCCAGTTCCGATTGTGTAGGGTGGCTATTATTTTAACCCACGGCCACGGCTGGCTATCGCCGCTCTCTCCATATTGGCCTCTATTCCACGAGAAGGTGAAATAAAAAATACATAAAAATTACCAAGTACTTCCGTGTATGTGTGGTTGTGATGTCCCATTAGCTAGTGTGGCAGGTGATGCACGTGGTGATATGGGACTACTTACACCTTATGGCCGTTAGCAGAGGCCAGATGCAGTGCAGAGGAGTTGCCTGTGCTGACAGCATTACAGTCTGCGCCTTGCGAGAGCAACAACTTCACGCACGCTGTGCACACAACATGGATGGCAGCCAGAGAGAGCAGATCTAACTCCTGCATCCTTCAGTCCAACTCATGCACCCTTCAGTACAACTCATGCACCCTTCAGTCCCAAGACATCAATAGAGATGAAAAGTATGGCGGCCACTGTGAGCATGTGGCGGCCCCTGTGAGCATGTGGCGGCCCCTGTGAGCATGCATCACGTATACATACAGTGGAACCTGCCTTAGGCGACTGACCGCTAAAATGTGGTCTCTGTGTACAGGTGATTTTCTTATCCAGGATCATTTGACTGGAATAACATCCCTTTGTCCTGGTTGTAGTGGACCTCTACGACAGGTGGTCACCTTGACAGGTTTTACTGTGTCTGCTTGCTTACTGGAAACTAAACATGAGCAGCATCTCTAGAACGATTGTAGCAGCGTGGCCATCGGAGTTAGCGTCCCCCACTTTGTTTAGTGGATATACAGCAGTGGTTTCCAAAGTTAGGAACAAAATCATCATGTATTGTAAATGCCTGTTCCGTATTTCTTTGGATTGTGCTCACATTCATTTACCGTCTTTTCAGAAGTATAATCCAGACCTAGATTTGTTGCCAGGAAATACAAACATCTACTCTGTTTACCAACATCAATTTGACCCGCGTAGTGTTAGCCTCAGCACCGACTTCATTGCGTGAATTACTAGTGTTTACAGTGCGGTTTGCACTCCGAAAAATACGGCGTGTAGAGAGGTCTTGCAATCACACCATCGTTTCAAGTTCCATGGAGTAGCATCACCAGCACTGGTTTGCTCTTCAACACAAAGCATACGCTGTCACCACAGGTTTGCCTTGCATTACACAAACACTATGATGTAATCCCCGGTTTGCCTTTCAATAAAAATCACACGGTATGATGTAATCTAAAGAGTCTCTATAAATATAGAAATGCCCATATCCCTGAACTTACCCAGCTTGCCATCCTCAGCGGCTAGCCTGAGCGCTGACTCTATGGAGCTGGCAGGGCTGCTGGCTCGGAAACAGGCGTGCACATTGGAGTTGGTTGCCGAGAGTGAGCCAATAGCAGCGGGGAGATCTCTATCAGATCTAGCTATCGCATTCTGCCTGAGAAGCTGGGATGAGTTCCTGACAAGCGGTGACTGTAGTACCGGTACCGATGCATGTGAGCTCAGCTGCGGTCTCATGCCAGGTGATCGCGGTGTGCTGGGATGCGAGCTTGAAGACGCGGGCAGTGAGCTCGTTGCCACGGCACCGTTGGGCTCAGCTGTGGGCTGAGATGAGCGTACGCGTGGTGCCACTGGAGGCGGCGTAGCTGCACTGCGAGTTTCTTCCACTGGTGCACCATCCTGCTCCGCCGGCATGTTGTCGCAGGGCGGTGTTTTGCGACCGGATTTCACAGTGTCATCACACAGTAGCTCTAGCTCTGCCAGCTCCATTGCTCCCGAGTAGCGCTCGGTAGCTCGCTCTGCACTGGATGTTGAACTCCTGGATGGTGTGCGAACGCGAGCGACACCGGGATCGTCGACCGTCACCGTCAACACCGTGCTGGCGCTGAATTCCTGGCTGACTCTTGATTTGGCTGATTGATTGTGATCGGGTGCAGGGAAAACGTCGTTCTCCGCAAACACGTCCACAGCTGTGTCAGTGGCGGATGGCGATTGCAGAGATGGTGCGTGTGATTGAGGCTTGTCCAGTGTCTGTAGGTTGGGTGTGGACAAAGCCACACGCTGCAGCTGAGTACTGGTAGGACTGGCACTGCTGCTGTTGCCACCACCACTGGCACTGGCACTGCTCAGTTCTTGCATGGGCGTGAGGACCGAGCCACGACGCGGCGGGGGCAGGGGACGATTACCTGCAGGTGACTGCGGTCGGTCGGTCAAGCTCAGCTTCCTGCCTAGATGGTCACGACGGCCTGGTGATGTCGGCGTGACAACAGTTGCTGACGGCGATGTAGCTAGAGTACTGGCTCCGTCTTCGGATGCCTGGCCGGGCTTCTTGAGCTTGAAGTTTGCTGGTTTTCTGGCTACTGGTGGTGGTGGTGGACCACCGGAGGGTGACGGAGTGTTTCGATTCGCAAGTTCAGGTGAATCTGGGAAAAACAATCACACACGATTCCCCCACACACATATGTACACATACACATACCCACATACGTACACACCCACCCACACACTTAACATCAACTTTACTGCTCAAACTCGTGTCTAATTGTAAATCTTGGTATCCCATTTACATGGGTGATTTACTGCTTTCTCTATTTGGCAATAAAGTAACAAACCAGGTACAAACACTCGGCGGTATACACAGAAATGACAGAACTATTATTGGTACTTTGATACTATGCAAGGCACTAAGCGTTAGGATACGGAATACTGTCATTGTGGCATGTATTACGATGGCATTGCATTGCTTCGTGGTGATTGTTGTCCTTGTTGGTGTGTTTGTGAATTTGCCGGCTGCTCGATTTGGTCCGTGGAACAGCTCATTAATGAAAATGAACTACCTGATGTATTTCCACAGTGTACTCTGACAATTTGCTATTCATTAGTCACAGGGCTTGGTTTAGAGGAACAGTGGACAGTGGTTCCAGTGTTACCGTCGGCCATTGTTTTCCTGTAGCAGGCTCTGTTTCACTGAGGACGTTTTGTGTGTGAATGCATTACAGAGGGCTTCACATGACTGGACCGTGATGCTCAATGAAATCCAGGCGAACACTCAAGTACGCGCCGGGCGTTGCGCAGCTCTAGACCTGCGAACACTGGACAGCGAAACGGTGCAAGGCGCAAGGCGCAAACTTGAGCGACGCGCGCGTTCATTGAGCAGGACTGTAGCAGAGTCTTTCGCTGCCACTAGAGAGGGAGAGAGACCAGCGCAATGCCTTGGCCTTAGATCAGGCAGCTTGTAACTGCTGAGAGTGAATCTGTGTGCATGGCAGTATCACCTGCTACATGTATATCACTGTTTTGGTTTATTGCTACGTAACGCTATTTCAAACCTGAGCGGAGTACCATTGTGGCTCAAACTACAGCCGAAACACTGACTGAGGAGCTGGCTCATTCACTGCACAGTTTAGTACTTATGGACAGCTTGTCTGATAAGTTCAATGCCTGGAGGACTCACTGGCACCACCTTGTACAAGATTTTTTACGTGCAGCTGCAGACTTGAGAATTGCTCTACATGATGAGTTAGTCAGTCTACTGAAATATGTTTGCTATCTCCGACTCCCTGGCAGCCACAACTTCGACGACAGGTGCTGGACTCGCTAAGGTATCTCAAACAGCTCAATCTAACTTTCCACAGTTCACAGTGTAAACACTAGAACAGTGGAAGACAGTCAGACTTGAATACCTGAGCGTCAGCCCGTTACAAAACTCCCATTTTCACTATTTTTTTTATACATCCAACGATGCATCGCAAGTCAGTAGTCGACACGCACAGTTGGAAAGCCAAAGGAGGGCACGGAGTAACACCCTGCTCAAATATGGACCACGAAAAGGAAACACACGACAATCCATGTTTTACCTGCAGATCTCGCTGGAAGTGGAGATGATGAATCGCCTGCTCGAGTACCCTCTTGAGGGATTCTTTCACGGTGTCGTCCAAGTGCTTGCTGCGCTTCGACAAGAGTCACCAATCGCTCCTGAGCAGATGCTTCTGTTGACACCTGCGCTGTATCATCGGGTTCTGACGCTTTCTGTTGTTGCTCCTGTTGTTGCCGCAAAAGGGCGATGAGGTCGTGAGCGTCTCGGAGTTGTTGCTCCAATTTCTGCAGGCGAACAGCCTCTTTGCGCTGCTCGTCAGTTAGAACTACGGCAGGACAGCTCCTGTCACCGATGGCGGTCGTAGAGATTGCCGATGAAGCTTGCACTGCTGCGCTTCCAACTGCAGATACCACACAGCCAGCAGAGGCAGTTGCGTGTCGCTGTGCCGCCTGCTGGGCCGGATGAAGACTTGCTTGAGTGACGACTGCGGAGGTGACCAGCTCCGTGCGCTGTGGCGTCGCACCGCGAGATGAGAGTGCTGCTTGGGCCGACAGATCATCTTTTGTTGTAAGTGAGTGTGCCATACTACCCGACTGCTCCGCTACCACTGCTTCTGGTGATATTAGCTGGCCATAAACAGTGCGGTCAGGATCCATTCGCCGTTACACGATCATGCGTTGGGAGGCTGTCGAGGAAAGAGCGGTCGCAACTCGATACACCCTTGACAGAACTCCTCACCTCACCCCTTTCTCTTTCTTGTTGTCGACCCCGTCGCCGCTCCACTGCCGGCCTGGATATTCAGTACAGCAAAGCGAAAACACACAAAACTGCTTTCTTGCATGGTGAGGATTTACGGAACGAGAATGGAAAACACTTCCAAACGTAGCCAGTGCTAGCACGGAAGTGGCTTTGCATGCAACAGTGCAGAGCTTACGTTAGCTTTCCAAGGAACATAGCTGTCCTCTCTTGTACTTGAAGTACCAGAAAAGGGCAGCCTTGTAGCCCTCCGCATCATTCCTGCTGGGCTCTCGAGCACAGCAGTGCGCAACGAAGCTAGCCCACATTTTTTTACAGGCAGCTCCACTGAAGTATCTAAATTGTAAACGATAAAGCTGCAGGACTCCGCATCGCTGCTCAGGGAGCCACACTCATGTACACAGCTCACAGCTAAACGACCCGAGAACAAGAAAAGGAAATGAGCGCTCAAGTAACTTCGACTGGGCCTCTGCCTCTGGTGGCTCAGTGTTGCTACATTTTCGTAACGAGACCTTCCTTTGCCATGTCATATTATGCAGCCTTCGGGAACAAAACAAAGCAACCATGATGCTCAGCTGGACCGCATTTCAACGAAACGCGCTGAAAGCGTGCCGATCTGGACCCCAGTCACACGTCCTTTGCACATGACTGTAGTTTTCTTGATCACTAATGAACCAGGGAGTAGTAAAATACAATTAATTTATTTACTACTCCCTGCTATGAACTACTGGGTCCAGAACGTCAGACTCAAACTAAGGCAAAGCCAAAGGTACTAGGTATGACCTGACCTACCTAAGACTTTACTTTTTAGAGACTTTTTCATTATTTGTACGGTAGATCTACATCAACGTCTAGACTCTAGACCGTAGACGTCTCTTGAGTAAGATCATGCTCACCCTCAAAACCATAACTGTAGACGTTCGTCAGGACAACATGATTGTGTTTCGAATCCCAGGTTTCTGTCCAGAGACACACGTAGTCGTTGAAGAACCTCTGAACTTCAAGTCGCGTTTTTTAGGCAGAGTGTCTCCCACAAAGACTACCGTATTTTCCCCATTAAATGTACAGTACCTTTATTTTTTCAAAGGTGGTCAGACCTGTACTACTATAGGAGACTGTACTAGTATTGGAGACGTGTACTTTTATTGTTTCTGGAAAGATTGATTGCCTGGGTTGGGTGGCAAACAACTCGTGATAATGATGCTGTAAGGCTCTAAGTACATCCAGCCATGGTAAGAATCAGTGTACAAAGACACAAAGATGATGAATGGGTAAGAAGAACGAAGTAATGTGGACCCTTGGTACCTGTACCCCAGTAATACCCATCACATCATTCCGGCATGTACTCTTATTAGAGACGTGTCCTTTTATATTTTTGATCCACACTCAAATTGTACTACAATTGGAGACGTTCTAGTATTGGAGACGTGTACGTTTAATGAGGAAAATACGGTAAGTGCAATCGATAAAAAAATTGTTGGGAAAAAATTAATGTAGATCTACCGGTGATTTATTTCACACCCTACATGTACATGTATGTGTTATCCAATCCGTGAGGGCCGGAGGGGGGGGGGGGGGGAGGGGGGCGGGGGCATACATCACCACCATGATGATACATGTACCAGAATGCAGCCTACTTCTATTTTTCTTTTTTTCTTTTTTGTGTTTCAATTGGTTTACTAGCATTTAAATTGATCTTTGCATTTCAAAGTAGTTTATTGAATTATTATAATAATTTGTTTGATGATACATGTATGACTAGCAGTAGCAGGCTGCATTGGGACTTGGGTACTGTAGCACTGCATAGTATGGAGTATGACTGTACATGTATCAAGATCATTCTAACGTCAGTAGTATTCCAATCACTTGTATTACGTCACTGCATTCTTTGCAGTTGGACAAGGCATTGTTCCCTCGAAGTCTAACTCACGCAATTGCTTCATACCTCGTACCCCGATAGCATAGTGATTCACCAAGGAACCCGAGTTCACTGAGCAATCGTAGCTGATTGTTTCCTCCGTCTGAAAAAACCCCCGTACCTACGCCGTCGGTGCCCGGGTGACAAGAGATGTGAAGAGAGCATTCCCATGCGAACTGAGAGATGGTTGTTGTTTTATGGTCAGCGTCCCGAGCACGTTACAAACGGCATGGCATAGAGAGGACCATGGAAGAGGTACAGCTGCGGCGGCCCTGGTCATGCCAATGCCACCGGAATCTTGTGAGTTGACCAGATGAAGTAGTAGGTTTGACCATCTGCATTCTCCATTACAGTGAACCTTCGAAACGGTGTACATGTATAATGCCTTGTGTGTCCAATAATGGCTAATGCTTAGATTTCGGAGATACACAAGAACGGTACGCGGTCGATATCAACAGCAGTGTACAGCAATGCCTACATGGTGCAAAGCTGTATCTGAATCATCATTCGACTCATCTCTCGATCGGGGCAAAGACAAGTTTTTCGCAGTCTTGTGATGTCTGAAATTGAACTTAATATCGCTCTGTAACCGGATACGGCTGTTTCGTTTACTGGCAGCGTGCTGGTCTGCTACAGCTTCACATCTGCTGTGGTATTGTCTACTGGCCGTGCTGCGTCTGTGTTACAGTGAACTGATAAAATAATTAGGTTTGGCGCTGGGATCGTTGATTTCACTTCTCCGATGTGCTGTTCGTCACTCCCTATCTGTACACCATGGTACACTGTGCTCAAACTTCTGATGATGGAACGGATGCCGCAACTCGAGGGCAGCAGACCAAGATCACCAGATTGGGTCACACAGAGGTTAAGGAGGTGGTGACACATACGCCGCCTGTCCTACCTAGGCAAACAATCCGCCACAGTCTTGTGTTGTCATGGATCATCAAGGGGGCAGAACACCTCCAATACGGCGTACACGCACAAAGCATAGTCGTCCCATACCTACCAGTCGTCCAGCATTCACTCGAGGTTCACCTCAACATGACCTGAAAACCTCTGTTACTCGCATCCCTATACACAACGGATTCCTGGTTTGGTAAACGAACTCATGCATCAAGAGGTCTCTCATCGCTGACAATTCTCACAGTACATGTCATGTACCACCTGGAGTTACGCTTTCACTGGCAAACAACTACATCGATCACTGCTCGCTTCTCTCTCCATCTCTTTTTGTCTCTCTCTCTCACTCTCTCTCTCTCTCTCTCTCTCTCTCTCTCTCTCTCTCTCTCTCTCTCTCTCTCTCTCTCTCTCTCTCTCTCTCTCTCTCTCTCTCTCTATCTATCTATCTATCTCTCTCACACACTCTCTCTCTCTCTTCTCTCTCTCTCTCTCTCTCTCTCTCTCTCTCTCTCTCTCTCTCTCTCTCTCTCTCTCTCTCTCTCTCTCTCTCTCTCTCTCTCTCTCTCCAAATGGCACCGAGAGGCTTGCTGTGTAACACGTCATGTACAGGAATGTTGATGTGAGCACAAACACTGAATGTTGCTGAGGGCAAGAATGCCCAGAACAGCGGTACTGCAAAAATGCGTGTCCAGTACTTTACAACACAAGGTCGCAAGGTTACCTGGCGTCTCGACCTCATAATCATAATAATTATTATTTACCATGCTACCGTTGGAGCTGTGGCTCGAGGGCGTTGACTCATCCGTAGGTTTATCCTAGCTAGTTGTCAATACCTTACCATGGCATTATTCGGGTGATTGATGGTACCTTGCGAGAAAGGTGATGACAGAATTTCAAGTAACGTATCGGTCGGGACGGCGGCTCGGGCAAAGGTGTGAGAACTGAGGTAACCTCTTCTGCGCATCTACTCCCGGCTCCGAGTAGCTAGCTAGCTAGACCGGTCATCATACACAATCAGCCCTGGAGTATGGACAAGTGATGACGTGAACCATTCCAACTGGCATCTGCTGTCTGGTAGGTACACACACTGAAATGACGCACGATCAAATGCTGCATGGTACGTCTGCGTGTCATTATGTGTACGCGTATGTGCGCGTGTAATCGAAGCCACACCATGCACCCAATCCACCCTCGATTCGAATATCTCATGAATTAGTTATTAGTATCACTGTGCGTGTGATCTTCTACGCGCTACCACCTATTTAATAGCATGGTGCTGATGATCAAGAACGGCATCCCCAGTTCCCCACATTGCCTCAAGTAGTTGATACGCACCATTGCGTTGCACTGAGTGATGAGCGAGTCCAATAATGTAGCACTCATTCTAATCCATCGCTCAAATACGACTGGAATCTGAGATAGTACTCCCGCTAACACGACTACATGAACTGGCACGTTGTTCTGTCTCTTCTCTGATCATCTCTCCATTCCAGCATTGCACATCGATGAGGAGCGGCAACTGCTACACCGCCAACATTACCAATACCAAAAGCAAGGGGAGGTATGCTCACTACAGACTAGTACAGTGTATCGCACATTCATACGTAGTATTGTACATGATTGTATGTTATTAGATAATCCAATAATACTAGTAGTACAGCACCAGCAGCAGACATACACGTATTAGATAATCCAATACTAGTACAGCAGCAGCATTAGATAAACCTTGTTATAGTTTCCGAACACATTGTCCACCACCTTGTTTGATGCTGTCAAACCAACAACATGATCGCATGTGTATGTGTGTGTGCGATGGAATGCTAACGTGGTCTGCTACATGTAGGGGACATGCCTCACGAAAACTGTAAGGTTTGTTCGGACGTAAGATCTCTCTCTGTCTGTCTGTCTGTCTGTCTGTCTGTCTCTCTCTCTCTCTCTCTCTCTCTCTCTCTCTCTCTCTCTCTCTCTCTCTCTCTCTCTCTCTCTCTCTCTCTCTCTCTCTCTCTCTCTCTCTCTCTCTCTCTCTCTCTCTCTCCCTCCCCTTCTCTCCCTCCACCCCCCTCTCCCTTTCCCTCTCTTTCTCTCTCTGTATGTGTGACAAAGGATATCATAGCGCTGATCTATGAGACTCAGTGAACACAAATCAAAGTATTTTCCTCACCGCTATGTCCTGATCAGCGTTCTGTAGCTGCTTTAGACCCCTGGCGCACTATACGGGCACAATCATTTCACACATGCACACACACACACACACACACACACACACACACACACACACACACACACACATACGCACACACACAAACTCTCCTCTTCAAAAGGCATGAAACGTCAGCAACTGATGACTGCCTCGGATAAGCATGGGATGATGTGCAATTAATTGGGCTCGGAGAGGAATTCAAAGATTGCAAAGGACTGAGTAGATAATCTTTCGGACTCAGATGTGTGAACACCTTCGCGAAATAGGCTATATCCTATCTCAAGAACAAGTTAGCACACTGCGTCCTATCAATATGCTTGACAGAAGGAACGCAATACCCATGGTGCGGTGCTCCCGCACAATGTCATCCTATATGACCTCCTTTCACAAGTTCAGATATTAATGAGCCGTAGCCACCCAGCACCTAGGAGCATTCCTGGGCAATGCTGACAAACCCTCACATCACATTCATAATATAAACACTAGGAGATCTGTACCCTGCGCTCTGCCGGTCTAACCCCGCACAGGCATTGTCAGTTTGCTAGTGCCAAACTGAAAAAAAGTAATGTTGCCTGGGATAGACGTCTAACGAGTAACGTGCGCTAGTAGTTTGCGCGTTGTCCTGAGGGGACGAGCAAACACAGTCATTGTCTCGACTGCTTGTATCGCGACCAGTGACATTGCCCAGTACAGCCGTCAAACCGTAATTTCGTTATGCTCAACCCATTGTGCGCGCCTATGAAGAATTGGACGTTTTAGGTAGTTAGCAATCTCGGCGAACACGACGGCGTCCATTGCGGTGCTAGGTGGAACCATTGGCGACAGACCCAATACGGAAAAGGTACAATGGAAGACAAAGCGGATTGACAATATCAGCGTCGAAGCCTACCGATGTCGTTCATCATAAATGGTCTAGAGGCATAAGTACAACGAATGCCCTGGCAATTGAAGTGAGGAAGGGTTTAATTTCCCCCTGAAAACATATTTCCTTCCTCGCTGCGGGGCGCCGCATAATGAAGCCTATGTCAGGCAAAACATTTGCTAACATGACATTACAGGCTGTTTCATTGCAAATGCGAAAGCCGCCTCTAATCACCTGCAAGATTCGCAACAGTTTTCGCCTTTTCGCCAGTTGTCGTCACCTGCGTGCTAAAAGATTCGTGTTTCTGCTTGAAGGGAAGTTCATTAAGATCAAGGGAGGACATGATAACCACCGATGAACATCGCACGGGGATATACGATCATGTCTGAACCACCAGGTGAAACACGCAAAACCCAATAACGCTGATTATAATAATTATTATGGTATCATTGATACGGAACACGCCAAATCTAAAGACTTGGTTTGGGCTTGAAAGCGCGCAGAAACACTCATGCAGTAGATCAGTCAGATCAAGTCTTACCTAGATAATGCAGCCTGCGGAAATCCACTAACGCCACTTTCCTCCCAGATACTGCTTCCTTCTCCAATGTCGCCTCTCCACCCTTCCACCTCACGATCAAATGGCAGCAACGCGCGGCGCTTCCTGCGGGCCTTAAACGCCACAGACACCACCAACAGCGCGGGAAGAGAGGCGTCCACAAGGGAAGCTCCGTGGCCGATGAGCGCCGTCTCTCGCCTGGTCTCGCCCTGAAGACGTGTTGCACGTCTACGTGTATGTAGTGGCCAGAGAGCGTGTTGCTTGTGAAGACGCTCGGCGTATGTCGACGTCGGGAGCGTAGAGCAATCGCCTCTCACGCCGTCAGCGCCGACAAGCCCGACAGTCAGAAGTCAAACAAGCATCTCAGTGCACTCTCCTTTCCAGCAGATCATGTGTTACTGCAAGCGTCTGCAGCACTTAGTCGTGCAATCTTCCTTACAAAGTTACAGACACATGACATTGTATCACATTACACTCAACTCTTGTCTTGTTCTGGTCTCTAGCTAGCCTGTCATCAATGTGGCTCCACGACTCAATGACAAGGATTGGAGAGAGGCTGAACGCCACCTTAGTTAAAGACGTGTCGTGTTACACTGGCACTTACAAGAAATGAAGAAAAAGACCTTGAAGACCTGAATGCTAGTAGCCACTCAGGACTTCACAAGCTACACAGCTGTCGTGCTGAGTCTGTAGTATGATGATGAATATGTACATATAGGTGTAGGCTTGCTCAGGAGGCCGGTACGAGTATGATGCGTTGGTAGGTGACGAACATCAGGGCATGGGGTAGTAAGTAGGACTACAGAAATACAGCCACACAGACACACAAGTACATCTGTAGGATGTAACTTACGTGTACTCGAAGTACATGTACATGTACCGACCACACAGACATGCGTGTACAAACATGCTACCCAGTACTACATTCTGTAGTGTAGGTAATACAATGACTATTGTGATGTAGACTATAATGCACATGTGGTTGCGTTTAATTTAACTACGAACATGGACACGCAACGGATGCGTTCTACTGGATAGTTAAACTGGGAGTACACTCTACTTGCCATGGACGTACAGTGCTGGAAACTGAAATCCGACCCCTGAGCAGTGCGCTCACATTGCAAAGACCCAACGCGGGATGGTGAAACTACATGACAGAGACTTCTAGAATGTGAACCCACCGCTCAGGGGGTCGGATTTCACTTGCCAGTACTGTAGATGTACGCACCGTTCATAGGCATAGGCATAGGCATAGGCATAGGCATAGGCATAGGCATAGGCATAGGCATAGGCATAGGCATAGGCATAGGCATAGGCGTGCTACATTGAGCAGAATAAATTTGAAGAATGGAACTGAGTACACGTACACGAATGCAAGTGTACATGTCTTGGGATTTGTGTAGCGATGGGCAGACCATCGGGGTGGGCAACGGTTACGTTCATCTGAACTGTAATATCAGTCTCACAGTAGACGTATATCGATTGTACTTCGGACGGCCATTGCCTTCACCACCATAATCATACTCACAGCATCTACATGTACTCCACAGCGTTGCACAGTACAGCCATGTACACATTAAATAATTTGAATCACGCTCATCCCCCATGGCATCAGGACATTCAGTGTGGGTACACCGGTACATGCCATGGACAACATCTCGCAGTCACACACACACGCGCACCTCTCTCTCTCACACACACACACGCACACACACACACACGCACGCACACACACACACACACACACACACATTGTACAGGCCCAACCCTGATGACTGGCCTACAAGAGTAATGACTGTTGTCAGTGCCGAGGTCGGTCAGCAGTCGACTAGTCAGCACAGGCCGCGAGAGAGCGGAACACATCGCTTTAGTACTGCCGGCCTTATCGAGGAACTGGCACACTGCTGGTAAGTTGCCAAGTGACTAACCGTATGTTAATTTAACGGCAGCGCTACGTGTCCCGTCAACCTGCCATGTGTACCCCGTACTTGATGGCTGAAAGTGAAAGCAGCCCACACTGCCACAGCCAGCCACAGTATGGATGGTGCCGTGATGTCCTCGACCAACACACAAAATACATGCAGGGTATGACCACTATGGGGCAGTATGGGAGGCTGCTTTCTGGAGTTTCAAGCTAGTTTTCATGCACTGGACGATCGTCGGACATCAATGCCCAGACACACTATCTGATGGGTGAGATGACAATTGCATGTACATAAATAAATTTAATAAATTTATTTATTAAATTATGGATGGTGCCGTGATGTCCTCGACCAACACACAAAATACATGCAGGGTATGACCACTATGGGGCAGTATGGGAGGCTGCTTTCTGGAGTTTCAAGCTAGTTTTCATGCACTGGACGATCGTCGGACATCAATGCCCAGGCACACTATCTGATGGGTGAGATGACAATTGCATGTACATGTACATGTACAAGTAGTAGCATTGGCACCGTACGCTCTGACACTGCACTGTGGTCTCTTCAACACCAACTAAGCTTACACTGACTGCGCCTGTTCAGGTACATGACGTGGTACACTGTCTGTACAAGTAACGATAATGCTTGCAGTTGCACTACTCCCTGATGTGATCATCTCAGAAAGTTAGTTTTCAGGTGGTGCTCCCACAGTAACTGAGATGAAAGAAGAACACAAGATGGGCAAGGAAGAGGAGCGGATGATACTGCTGAGGAAGCCCTTTTGCCACGTCCGCGTTCTGACATTCTTTGCTTTATGATAACGAGATGCCCTGGAACTGGAAGCTGCCGTCCGTGCATGCATGTCAAATCGCATTACTGCGCAAAGAGGCAGTACCCACACGCCCACGAGCCTATTCTGCTTTCTGTCACGGAAGAGAGAACGGATGCATGGTGATGACACATACCATTCTCGCGCGATTAGTGACCCTGGGGCACCATTTTTTTAAATGTCCATCACGGATGGGGCACTATTCAAGAGAGGGCACTATGTTTTTCAGTGCTGGTAATGTGCGTTGTCCAGCATAAAACAAAGCAAAACAGAGCCTAAAGTCTACTGCAAACTATCACGACTCAACAGAAACGGCAACAAGAACTGAGATTTCGATCCTTTAACGACCAGTGCAATCACATGGACAAGGAAATTAGCAAAAGAAGACCAAACTTGCACATGCGCTTGGTTACAAGGGAGGGAGCGGGGGGGGGGGGGCACTATTCAAGAGAGAGCTTCGTTTTTTCACTATCTCTTACAGACTATTAGAGATACATGTAGGGCACTATTCAAGAGAGGGCTCTAATCGCGCGAGTTCGTTAACCAGGTTACCTGTCTGCTGCGTGACAGACAGTCTGAGACTCTGCTCTGGACAGACTCCACTCTCACAAAAACCTACATGAAAGTCAATGTTCACATGAACACTGAGTTAGACAAAAAATGTACGTCCGATGGGAAACACTAAGTAAGTCTGTGATTATTTGCTACATAAGACTCGTGTGGAGAGCCAAGGATTAATTTATTAGAAGAAAAGAGGACCAATGAGCTACAAGTTACGCTATAATATCCACTAACACCACCAGTTACTCAGTAACTGTACAATCAGCTCATGCGATAACACTGCACGACACAGACCAACGGTACTGACGTTCTACACCTAATATTCTATTTCTATTAGACATTTTCTAATATTTTGCCACAGCCTTCTTTTTTGTGCGTTCGTAAAGTCGCAACACGAACAGGCAGCCTGTACGTCAGGATATTGCAGTAGGGGAGACAATTCAAGGTGTACGAGCTAGTATTGGAAGCACCGTGTCAGCGTTTTACCCCAAACCGCACTCCGCTAACTCCTTCGTAACTCAACTACACTGCGCATGTACAGTAAAACCTGTCAAGGCGACCACTCTGATAAGGCGACCACCTGTCACAGAAGACCACTGCAGCTACATGTAGGACCAAGGGCCGTAAGGGATGCTATTTCCAGTCAAATGGCACAGGATAAGAAGACCACCTGGTTACAGAGACCACACTTTGAAAGTCCCTTGAGCGGTCGTCTTAGACAGGTTTCACTGTACATTCTAAACATAGAATATCTCACAATTGTGTGTTGTCATCCTCATCCGAGTAGGCCAGCTTCCAGTCACAGGACCAGTACAGTACACACAACAGAGATTCTCACGGTGCATAATGTGTTTACGTTCCCCCCTTCTCCGTGAAATTAAGTTAAAAGAAAAAATGCGCACGTTCGGGCTCTCCGCCCTCCCCGTGAAATACAATTTAAAAAAAACGTCCGCGCTCCAGCTCTCCGCCTTCTCGTGAACAAAAAAACTAAAGGGAAAAAGCAAAAAACAAGAATGACTAGAAATGCAGAAAAAACGTCAAAAACGGTGCATAAGTTCCACTCCACAAACTCGGTACAAAGGCGATCGGTAGTGATCCATGTACATGTATATGTAGCTGGGTACGTGGCTTAAGTCCAAATTTTATAATACCAGGGCCTTCTAGTGCAGGCTGAGGCATTAATCCTTAGATTGGCTTTGAACAAAGATGCGTGCCTGTGTCAGCTCTCAGTTTCTGCCACCAGACCTGACGCCTATTTGAGGATGTAGAGGACAAGCCAGGCAGTCTGGCAGTCTGGCTCGTGCACTTTAGGTCTTCCTTGGACTAGGATATCAACAGTACGAGTGTACAGAAGCTATTCACCGTGAACATGTCGACAGTATTACAATAATCGGACTAGGATATCACATAGAAGGTGAATTTTCAACTGACACCGTGAGGTACTCGTGCACGGGGCCGGGGCTGACGCTGTCCAATCTCTCACGCCACTGTCAGTGTAATGTCATGTACTTGAAAACGTATTATAATGTGCTCGTACTATTGCTTGATTCAGTCTTGCCACACCTGGTACGTGGCTATCTATCAATCAATCCATTTAGTGGATCCGATCATTCCTTCAAGTACAAGTGGAACCGATTGAGCACAACGATGTTTCATCCTAATGTGACCATAATATTACATATTCGTTTGTGTCTTTCCCTCAAACTAGTCAAGATATACATAATTATAAATACAAACATTGTTCACAACATCACCACCTCCGAAACCAGCTGATTATTCAAACAATAGACCGTACGCACAGTCCGCAGACCATACACGTAGCTACTCTTCATGGGCCTAAGCCTGAGTGAGCATGGTAACGTGCACCATTCACTGTAGAAGGTACTCGAGTATGCGGGTTCCTCTCGACTAAAGGACGATGTTTAGCGTAGTGCCAAAATAGCCCAACTCGATTAGGAACTGGGTTCATATGCCCGTACAAGTTTGTACTATCCATCAGATCATGTTGCACAATCATGTACACATGGATGTCAAAACTATGTCAAAACTAAAAAATTAATATGTTTTACAAAAGAGCGAACCGTGACGGTTGTACTGTAAAGAAAAATTGCCTGAAAAGATGAGTTGAAACCATTCATTGAGTGACAGTCATGCAGTATCCCAATCAGTGCCCAAGTCCGTTGCCCGCTGCATCGTGGAGGGACAAACCAATGAGTCGTCGGCGAGATCCACGCAGCCGAAGGTCGACAGCACGAAAGATCAGTAAAAGAGCGTCGCTGTTCAATGACTTCAAGTACCTGACTAGTATGCCATAGTATGTTTAATTTATTCTACATGTACTTCGGTAACTCGACCGTGCTCAGTACTACTAAAGAGCAGAAACGAAAATGAAGACACTATAATTAATATACATGTAGAAAGAAAGGGGAGGATTATAAGGATAATCTGACACGAAAGCCTTGTATGTGTATGTATAGATACGTATAGGTACGTTCTCTCCTCTTGTCTGCCTTTGTGTACGTATAGGTACATATTAGAGAGGTTCCGCATAACGTAATTACGTTAGTAAAAAACGTAGCCGATCTACGGAAAGTCTTACGTAAACTGCATGCGCATCTGTGTTCCGCCATACGGAGTTTTCAAATCACGTAGCTGCCCTTGGCAACTCCGAACCCGGCAGTGTACGACCAGATCGACCTGGGGAGAGAGTCATAAATTTGTACCCCAATCCACTTACGGACCAGCTACGTTATCAGAGCCCTATCTACGTACTCTACGTAGACAACTTTCCGTAAGTGGAGTGCAAACTCGCGAATTCACGGGTTTTCCCCGCCCACTAACGTAAAGTTGCTCAACTTTACGTAGTGCGGAACCTCTCTATTAGGGAGGTTTAGTCCCACGTAATCCGTGGGTACTTTACGTGGGTGTACCACGTGATACTCAGTGACCCACGTACAGACGTTTTCTGATTCACGACATACCGTGTATGGAGGCTCACCCACGTTCCGCCAGAACGTGGGTGAAAATCAGAATGGAGCGCATTGTGCGAGCTGTGAGGGTGCTCAGCTGAAGAAGTTTCCGAAGCACGAAATCAAAATATTGGATGAGCTTCTTAGGCCGGGGTAGCTTCGTCTTTGACCAGGTTTTGGCCTTTAGTTTCATGCTTTTGTTTGTTCCGTGTGACTAAACACAACATTGCAACGTGGGTGCCCTTCATCCACTTTACGTGGATCACCCACGTACGCGTTTCCGTTACGTGGGAACTAAACCTCCCTATTGGATAAACCTTGTGCCGAAGGACGTACCCAGAGTGCTGGCAGTGCTCAACAGTTGTCTGATGATTGCGTGAGCATGAAACTTAAAGTAGCAGCAAACAAGCCTTGATTGTCCTTGTTGTTCTGTTGTGGATAAACCTTGTATTGTAGAAACACCTTTTTAGCTTGACAGCATAAAAAGAACGAAGTAGCGGTGAGGCATCCTGCAGCTTCATAACTCGAAGAGAATTGGTGAGCAAACATGCTCATTCCCTGATTCTGTAAAATGAAATGAGTTGTGAATTTGCAGTGCCCAGGGAATGAGCATGTTTGCTCACCAATTCTCTTCGAGCATAAAAAGAAAAGAAAAAAGCCTTGTAGTATGCTGTCAAACTCAAAACGTATACCGGTTGGTACACTCATTTATTGTTAGATTGGCAGCATGAAACAAGGTGGAGGACACTGTGTTCGGAAGCAGTGACCTTACTACAACCTTCCGCGGTTGGCAGAGCCCCAGTCCCTTCGGACCATTTGAACCATATGTGTGTTGAACCCGGTTCTGACCCTCATTATGCTAG